GTCGAATCCACCTCATGTTTAATCGGATTAAATCATCGGAATGATCGACTTGGGTCGTGCCAAAAAATCTGCGCGAACTGCGATACAGTTACGAAAAACCACGAAGACTGCGTCGCAGTTTCGCCCAATTGCCTCGCAAATGAGAAAATTGACAGACTCATCAAAAAGTTGGTGCTGTGGTTGAAAAGGAACATTGATGAACTTGAAGTATATTGACTGAATATGTGAAATAATGCAATCGCTCAAAGACTAAACCTGATTTTCTCGACTTAATCGACCACTTGCACCTCAATGGACTGTTGAAATGCAAAGAATCACAAATAAACATATATAAAAAGATTTTTGAACATATCCCAGGTCGATCGTTCCGGCGACTGGATCCTTCTAAAGCTGAGTCGGTTTTGATACACTTTTTGTCGATTCCGACCGGAATTTAAAAGGGAATTTCCGGTCACTTTCTAATCGTTTTCGGCTCAGAGGTTGCAGGAAACGGTCGGAAAATAAACTTTACCGGCTGAAACCGACAGGGCTACAATGACCTAGAATTGTTTTAAAGAATATTATTGAGAGCGTGCAATTTCTCGCAGATGTCTTCTGTAAAAATATCTAACGCTGTAAATCTTTTGTGGAATACCTTTTTTGTTTATTTCACAATAGATGTTACTAATATGTCTTCTCGAAAAGGTTCTTGACATCCAAGATAAAAAAACTCTCTAACAAAGTGTTAGTCCATGTCAAAAGAGGAGTCTGTATTTGAGTGGACGCTGAAATTCAATGTGTAATATAGTGGAATAATCCCTATTATCTAACATTATATGATGTGGAATTATCCATATATCTGAACACTATGTGTCATGGGCTTTATCCTGTTCTGTTATGGTTTTTTCCAACACACGCACGTATATATAGCTGTCGTTCTATGCATGTTAAGGATATTCTTATATCTACCGGGTGTACCAATAGTTTTGCGACATATTTTATTTCGTTGATTTCCTGAGTTGAGAAAATGATAAAATCTGGATTTTTCTTTTAAATGATAGAGCAAGGAGAGTTGTACAAAAAACTCATAAAAGAACATTTATTCTCTGATCCGAACAATCTGCTCGTGGAAGTTTTTAAGTGCCTATGCGAAACTCCGATGTCCCGTCATAATCGGATGAATATAAATATATTGCAGCCACTTTTGGTTCTTTTTTCTGAGTTTGTACACACAGTTAGTGTAGAGCTTGTGATGGCGTATCCTTGAGAAAAAAAATTATTTTTTATTATTCGTTCGAGTCGATAGAAATAGAAAACTAACAAACTCATAATAAATGAGACGATATAGGTCAATTGTCCATCTTGTGTTTAAAAAAACACAGATGTATAAATTTCGATCAGTTTGTTTTGACTTATTTTGTAGTTCTTTACATGGCGCATCTTATACAAATAAAATGTATATCCTATCGTTTTTAGAAACTATGATAGATTGAAAATAAAAGTAAAATATCGCAAAAAACAGGACCACCAATTGTAGACTTTCTGGTTTTGAGAATGGATAGACCAGTGAAAGCTGTTATTTGCAATTTCTTGCTATAGGTCTGAGAAAGCTTTGCATGGCGCAACTCGTAAACGACGAATTAGGTACATATCATTTTTCAATATTAAAATACATACAAAACTTTAAAAAATGTACTAGCACTTTTATCGTGCGGGGACATCAGAGTTCTGCATAGGCACTTAAAAACTTCCACGAGCAGATTGTTCGAATCAGAGAATAAAGGTTCTTTTATGAGTTTTTTGTACAACTCTCCTTGCTCTATCATTTAAAAGAAAAATCCAGATTTTATCATTTTCTGAACTCAGGAAATCAACGAAATAAAAAATGTCGCAAAACTATTGGTACACCCGGTATATCTCTCCTGTTCTCTCTGTACCTGTTGTGTTTCTTCCTTCTCTCTTCTTAATGAATAGACGTTTTCCTAAACTCATATTTATTAACGTTCACGACGCGACACAATGAATTTAAGTAATATTTTGAGGCATGTCTTTCTAAAACAAAGTGAAAATAATATAGAAGACTGAACATGCCGATGAGAAATTAACAATGAGCGCAATAACAACTCAAAAATTGCATAGACGTACCAATAGGCCCTATTAGTAATTAATGATATATTTTAAGCTTGAATAGTGCTCCAATACTTCATAGGAGAGACATGTTTCAAAATTCGACAGCATTTAATAACATGGCGCTCAAGAAGTCACAGTATATGTCGATAGTATTTCGTAGTTGCAATTTGAAAAAATGCACAAGTAACTCTTACAAAATAATGAAACCTCTAACGCTTTCTCCAAAATCCAAACCAGATCAATCCCCAAAAAATCACACGAGTCGCACAGATCATAACTAATCTAACATCAATAAGAATGTCGATTTAATTATCATGCCTCACCAAATTTGAATAATCACATAAGTGTGTTATGAATCTATCTTAGTATGTTTCAAAACCCTATTCTTCTGAGTTCCAATGATTCTCAACAAAGAAAGTCCAATCATTATCATCTTGTGCGGCCTGCGTCATGTGAACAGCCTCGTATGCATCTACACAATTTTGTGTATCATCAGATCAGATTTCATTGATTTTCGAAAAAATTCCTCTTCCCTTTTCAAATCTTATTTTCAGTCCTCATCCGTGCCACATGAGTTCGAAGTTTTTTCTGAAATAAGTCAAAAATCTCTTCAACAACCACATTCACCAATACGCGGATCATTTTGTCTCCTCATTCCTATTCATTTCTCCTTGCCATTACAGATCAGGTTCAATACTCTTTGCAAGTAATATTTCTCTCATTTCAAATCTATCTCGACATCAAACAATCCATCAAATACAAAATCTAATCAATACAGTCAATAATTCCAAACATNCATGGTTGAAGTGAAGTGGAGGGTAATTCGAAACCGTGTACACACATTGGTTTCTCTCTCTCTCTCTCTCTCTCTCTTGCTCTGCCTAATTCGATACATTTCTCATTGTGAGATCGTTTCTTGTTTCTGTAAAAATTTATTCGTCATGATGATCGCCGTCGCCACCGTGTTGATCGGCAGAGTGGGCGGTGATGCGACTAAGCCGATTAACAAAGTTTAGAGAGATAAGCATTGGACTTTTAAAGAAAAGAAGTAGATGAAGAGCAATCGAAGGTCGCTTGAAAGGAAAATGATTTACATTTTTGACATCACTGAGAGTGTGAAGAAGTTGACTATCATAAAAGTTTGACTATAAAAAAAAGAAAACTAGTTAACAAACAAAACACTTATGTGTGTAGAGTAGACATCGAAGATGTTGTATTCAAAGAAAAGAAGAAGTGAAAAAGAGCACAGTGGATGAGATAATCATACTTCAACATCCTCAATCATCTCAATGATAAGAAAGGGATGTAAGATGTAATTGATATATATATATATATATATACTTTCAATCGTACGTTTGGCTACTTGATCAGTGAGATCTAATCCTGTCGAAGAGGAACTATGTATTAACAACTTTCGTTCTCTATATTGGTTTCTGTTTCACTTTTTCTTTCTTTTTTTTCTCTCTTAGGGACTTGTCTTTTCATTTGAGTTGTAAATACATGTAGATCGAAAAAAAAACGAAAGAAATAAAATAGAAGGAAGAGGGGAGAGAGAGAGAGGAAAGAGAAGAAAGAGCAAGAGAAGAAGTATGTGACAAAATCTCTTGTCGAACAGCGCAAGGCGAATTTAAAAAAAATACCAATATTGGTTGTCATCGTCATGCAGACAAATCACTTATCGTTGAAAGAAAAACTGGCTGCGCGTGTCTTACCATATCTGCATAATATGATTTTCATATATTGTCACATTTAAGTGCGATTAAAGGAGCAGAGAATCATAAATCTATCTACTCTGATTCATCCTTTGCCTTATTCATTAGATTCTATGCTGATTAATCAAATCTAACTCTTCAATAACAAGTATGTCAACAACGAATTATCCCACACAAGATGCTACTCCTACGGTTACACGCCGCCCGTTACAAATGCAAGAAAATACAGGCAGTGCTTCACAACGGAGTGGTAATCGGCGTAGTTTAAGTGTTAAACTTCGAGATTTATTTCGCAAAGATTCATCAGCATCTAATCGCCCACCGAACGATCAACGTTCGCCCACATCGCCTGCACGTCACAGTTCATCATCGCCCGTCGCTACATCCGAAGCAACTCACTTTCAGACGCCGCGTATTCCCTGGCCATTCGGAAAAAAAAGCAAATCGTCAACAACAATGAATACATCCAAAACAAATAAAATCAAAGTTAAAAAAGAAAAAGGCAAAATAAAACAACCCACAACAGCTACTATATCAAGTCCTGTCTATGAACAAGAAAATCAATCTACATCAATCTACGGTCAACATTTCGTTCCAAGAAGTCCAAATTTTGAACACAGTACGAACGAACGAATGCAAACATCAACAATGTATCAGCCGTCAACGACAACAACAGCAAAAGGCTTTCGTGATTATACTGTTATCGATCAAACACGATATCCCCAACAGGTAAGATCATTCCTCACTAGCTTGACTCATTTCTCTCTTGTATACGAAGTCAGTTATATCACTCTCGTAAAAATAACAACAACAACAACAACAACAACAACGATCAGCATCGATCGTTTGTCTACCCTAATCTTTTACTATTGATAGCTATCTAATGCTGAATGTATACGTGTGTGCAGCCTATTTGCAATTTGTTTGTCGTTGTCTTTCGATTCTCTTCGATTGGCATTTTAACATGACATTTAGTTGAATAATCGTCTCATGAAAGAAAAGAAAAGAACAAAAAAAATAGCTTGTGTATTAAAAAACACTTGATAAATCGAAATATACTTGCAATGAAAAGCTGTTTATTCAGCGCAGATCTCAAGAGAGTGTATAAAATGCTAAAGAACACCTATAAATGGAAACGTTCTTTTGCTTCTTCTTTTTTTCTTCTTCTTCTTCTTATCATTTATCTCTATATATTCTCTTAACAGAAACGAAAGAGATTACTCGATCAAGATTATATTTGATTTTTGTTCTCTCTTCTCTCTCGTCTTCGTTTTTTGTTTTATTGTAGGTAATGGTACCTGATGGTGATGTTTTCACACCTCCAACATATACATCTGATCGGAGCCGTTCACCATCGATGAGTCGCCAACGTCAAATTGACTATCATTATCAGCATGAACGTTCAACATCACCAGTCTCGATTCCGTTACCGGATATCGAGACTATGCCAACACCATCACAAAAACGTAAAGTTGATCCAATCTCAATCGAAAAACCATCAACTCCGAAAACCACATCGTCCTCAATACTGAGCAATACAGGCATTAATCGAGCTGCATCACCGTCCAGGGAAGTTGGTGTCTCAAAGTTACGTACACCTACTGTACCCTTTGGTAGTACGTCGAGCAAGAAAAAGCCGAAGAAAAGTAAATCAAAAAGTCGTGCCGATGGAAAAACTAGTTCATCGACAACGATTAATAATTTAATTCAACAAAATCCACTTGGACCAAGTCGATCATGGACAAGTGCGTACGGATCGCTGCCCGATGTTGAACTCGTCTCCGATAATGCTTTAAAAACAACAACAAAACCATCGAAACAAACAAGTAAGTTTTCAAAGTAGACGAACGACGAGAGAAAGACATTTGATTTCTTTGATAGATAAAGAATATCCGGGATTAAGTGCCATAGTTCGACATCATCAGCGTCCGACAACAACCTATTACAATGAATATCCACCTCCAATAAGAACATCGGATTCACATCGACCGCGACGTTTTGAAACATCAACAACAACATTGAATGAATACGATCAAAATCAGCCGTGGACTCAAACGCCGATTTATGGTTCAGGGCCAATTATTTCCTCAACGCAACGTCACGATGGTTATATTCGCCCATTAACTCCTCAAATACCAATTCTCCAAGCAGATATCACCATCACTCATGTTGATCTTGGCGATACGCATCGTCAAACTCCGTCGATTCGACCAACGTATCAACAAGCACCCGAATCTCCAGCAACCTATCGTAGTTCGACAACGGTCTATACAAAAGATAAACATCGATATGTCGATGGTGGTGAAATTCGAACATGGAGCGTTCAAGATAATGGTAATCAAAATGATTACAGTACTTCCTATCAAAAACCATATACATATGTGGAAATCGATCGAAACACTACTCGACAAACGGCGAATCAGTATGATCATCAAATCGTTCCGCCGAAGATTTCGAATAATTTGCAAGAATATCGATATAGTCCTCGAATGCACGAACGAGAAGTTTATGAAAAACGAGAAATAATTGCTGAAAGTAGAGATCATGAATTCCAAGAAGAAGAAGAATGTTACGAAGTTTCATTCGAATACGAACGTGAACAACCAAACTATTCGTATGAAACATCGAAATATTACGATGAATTACATTCAGCCAATCGATATTCCAGTACGATCAATAATTATCTAGATCAAACATTTCATTTTATATCTCTTCTAGGTACGAGTGGCATCGAGAAGAAAGCTTATACATCTCTTAAATCTGAACGAGATCAAATCTACGATCAAACATCTCGTTCATATCAACGCACACAGGGTAATTCAATTGATTGTGGTTCGATATGAAAAGTTCCGTTTTCGATATTTCTAGAGACTCGTTCGACCGTGTCTCCTGTTCGAGGTTCTTCTCCACTCATTCGTACTTGTACTCTAAAACGTACAGATTCTTATGATGGTCTTGGTATCTTGATTTCTGCCGATTCACAAACTCGTTTGAATCATTATATTCGCGAAGTTGAACCGAATTCTCCAGGTCATTTGGCCGGCCTGCGTAAAAACGATCGTATTCTTAGCATCAATGGTATTAACGTTGAAAATGTTGACTTTAGCAACGTTCTCGCTCTAATAAAACAAGGTTTAGATAATGATAATCTTCAAATATCGGTCGTCGATGCACCCGAACATATCTGAACACGTTTATTCTCTTTTCTTTTTCTTGCTACACACATATATACATTTATTTCTTTATTGCTTCTCTTTTTTCTTGAAATCTGTGTCCAAATGGAAAAAGAAAAGATTATTCGCTTTTTTCTTCTTCAGAAAACTAGATTATATATGTATTATTCTTTTTTCAATTCATGATAAGAAAAAACACACACATACACATCATTTGTATTCGATATTTTGTGCACGTTATCCAAAATCAAGAATAGACATGTGGATTTAGTCGAAATAATGTCGAAAATATGTGAATATCAAAATGGCGATAGAGATTCTCAGCTGTCTCTCTCTCTCTCTCTCACTCTTCTTCATGTACTTGTATCAGTTCGAAGGCAAAAGAGAAGAGAGAGCAGATGCGAATGATCGATAACGAGAGAGAACAAACAGAAGAAGAAGAAGAACTAATTGTCATCATTGAAAGTGTATACACTGCAGCAGACAGAAGCTTTTAGTATTCTTCTTTTGTTAAGTTACAGTGAACAGTAACAATGACTGTTCTTCTTCCGAACCGCTCCATATCGATGATTGTAAGTTAACAAAAGTTTTCCATCGTAAGATTTAAGTGAATTCTCTCTGTTGATGATAGCTAATGGTACCAGATGTTGAAACTCCAACGCCATCATCAGCGCTGAATCCCGAACAAATTGATCGATCTGAATCGACTCGGTCGATGCCTGTTTATCACGGAACGATTATTCACGTTGAACCGCATAGTAACAACCGTAATACTTCGGATCTAATCATTCGTATCCCTAATTTTCAATGTTCACCATCGTCAGCGAGTGGTACAAATCCAAAGCTGCAACAAACAATCAAACGACGTGCACCGATATGCCCTGTTCTCAGCAATCTCAACACAGCTAATAATCGAGAGAATATACGTCATGTTGATCTTAAACAAACTCAAATTGTTCAAAGCAATCGTTTAACAACTGGTTTACGAAGTTTAGGCCGCGCGTTTACTCATAACTGTCGATCGAAACGATCGGCTAGTATAACTGAAGTAATCTTCCCTCGGTCTCTTCCAGATGTGGAAGTTCTGAATGAAAAATGCGAAACGCTCTCCTCATCGAAAAAAACCGTCAAAGACGATACGTTTTCATCGACAATTCCAAAGATGACTCCACCGAAAATCTCATTTGTTAAACGAAAGAATTTGCCGACGAAGAAAAGACAAGTTTCGTCATCATCATCATCGTCACTGAGTTCAACAGATATGAGGCGTGAGCTCAAACACCAACGGCTTGATCAAATCTCTACATCAACAATTCTGACTACCCAGTACACAGAAGTCACGAAGTCGAATTCACCGAAAGTCACATCATTTCTACAAGGCTTGGATGAAGATGATCATTCTGCTGAAGCAGTTCATATTTGCGAAGAAGATGATCATCATGAAATGCAATCAAGTAGTTTAACTTATGAAGGTATTTCCCACCCATAAACATCGCCTTTCTTTCATTTATTATTTTTCTCATATGAATAGTTGAACAGCAAATCAAAGCCATTTGTCAACTCGTTTCCGATCAACCTGTTTCATCAGTCGAGACTGATTCGTTATCCATTCATCGATACAGCAGCATCTCAACGATTATCCCCGAAAACCGTACTGAAGAAATTTCAGCGTCTGATAAACCATTTACTGTTACGCTTCCAACATCGATGGAAATTTCTGAGAGTATCAATAGAAAATTGTCGTCGAGACCTTACCGACCATTTCATATTCAAACAAGTATACTTCAACCTGATATTAGTGTTGTACGAATCGGTACAAGTAATTTAGCAACTGAAATCGGTTGTATCCTACCAGGAGAAACGGGTTTTCATGGAAAGCAACAGATTGAAAGTATTCTTGAAGAAGATTCCACGAATGGAATTCAATCCAATGATGAAGTGTTTACTGAATGCTATGAAGTTACGTACCAACTTGATGAAAGTAAACGAATAGCAAGTAAGAAGGAAAAAATTAGTCTTACACAAGAATCTATTTGAATTTCTCTTGTTTTTCGATTAGACCAATCAATAACTCCAACCCAGATTATTCTGAACCCATCAGAATATCGGCAACTGGTTACAGGATTATCTGAAACTTCTTCAAAGCAATACAAACAAATCAAACGCGGTAATACGATCTCTGAAACTGTTTCTACCGATCGACTCTCAGACATTCACGAGCAATCTCCTGAAAATCCAACCAATGAAGAGATCTTCACATACAACACAAAATCTGAAAATCTACCACAAGTCAACCTTGATCCAATCCCAGGTAAATGTAATAGCTAATGTTTATTCATTGTTTGATGTCTCATTCACAGCTGATCAACCTGAACCCACATCAGAAACATCATCATCATCGGATCATTCGGTTCGACATTGTTCTTTGAATCGTTCGAATTCTTACGATGGCTACGGCGTCTACGTCAGCACCGACATGGAAACACATCATGAACATGTTATTCAACAAGTCGAGAAATTCTCTCCGGGCGATGAAGCTGGTTTAAAAGAAAACGATCGAATATTGTTCATCAATGGTGCGCCAGTCATTGACGAAGACTATACCGTTGTTTTACAATTAATTAAACACGGTTCAGACACTGACACACTAGAGTTTGATGTTATGGCCAACGATGCTTATGAAGAATTCAAATCTCAAATGAACTCGATCAGTTAAAAGATGCGAAATCGAAATGTGCTTGTCATTTGTAAATGCTTTGCACTTATATGTTAGATTTTCGATAGAAATACAATTAGTTTGATTTCATCCTTGATTGAAAGAACGAAAAAAAATGTTAAATTAACAGATGGTGAAGAAGAACTGTTTTACAAGGATAGTGTTATCTAATTTCCTTCCTTTTCCCTTGCATGAAATCTGACATGACTTGTGCAGATATTTGTTCTCATTCAAATTTTAATGATTCCAAGTCGAACATGCAGCGAAAGAAAAGTAGAATTACGATTGTGTAACTATACTTTATATATGCACCAAACGATAGATGTCGTGATGAGTAGATCGGTATTTACAAATATATTTGTAACAAACCAATCATAAATCTTGTCTCAATTTCCTCCATCATCCATATTCTTTTTCATCCACAGTTTAAAAAAAAGAAAACAAGCGTAAACATCCACATAGGCGTCTCATTCAAATATCTTTTGCTGTTTATTTTATATTAGTATTCGACTATGGCCGAAGCTCTCAGTGATGATGTCGAGTCAAATAGCAACGCTCCATTAGCCGTTCAAGTCAATTATCCAGGTCCAAAACCTGATATTCAATATCCATTAAATATCCAATATTGCGGCGGTCAGTTTCACCCTCTTCTTTCCATTCCTCAGAATAACTTACTCGTTCAATGTATATCCTACAGAATGTTCTCTTCCATTGGAATACTGTGAATATGGTCCAGGTAAGGCGAGAACGTGTTTGTGAAAGATTTATGAAATGCTTCGTTTTGTAAAGATCCCGAACGATGTCGGGAATGGCTCGAACGAACACTACCTGATCTATTAAATCAAATGCAAGCAACATCAAATGCTGCTGATGACAAGAGTGGAGAGAAAAAACGACAAACTCGTGGCGGGAAAGGCATGCCCAAGGGAAAGAAGAAGTTCGAAGCACAAAAAATCATTGTTAGTAAACAACAACGAAAAGGAAATAAATTTGTTACGATTATTCAAGGTCTTGCATCGAACGGTAAGGGACAATTTGTTCAAATCGTCGAAAATTTCATCTGCCATCGTTGTAGAAGTGGATATGGAATTAGCGCGGAAGTTTTTCGCTCAAAAATTTTCCTGCGGCTGTTCAAAATCAGCCGACGATGAATTAACCATACAGGGTGATGTAGTCAGTGAGTTGATTGATTTATTACCAGAAAAATGGAATCAGGTATGCGTACATCTTTGCCTAATTCTGATCTAATTTATGATTTTCAGATTAATCCGGAATTGATTGAAGATAAATCTTGAATCTAAATCGATTGTGTGTATGTTGTACGATAAGACGAAAATATTCTTGTTATTTTTTATTTTATTTACCTTGCGTGCAACATTGTACACAGTGTTTTTTGTTCTCATTTCATTTTAGATAACTCTTGTAATTCATCGTTGTTTTATTTCGCTAGAAAAACCAACCAATGGCTAAAAGCAAAAACCATACCAATCATAACCAAAGTACGCGGTGACACTTTTCGAGAGATATCTTCTAAATTTCATTTCTACAGACCGAAAGGATCATCGTAATGGAATTAAGCGACCACAATCGCAACGATTTCCATCATTAACAGGAGTACGTCGACCAGAACCCGTAACGATGAATTGATCTCGAATATTTCTCCTTCAGGTTGATCCCAAATACGTTCGTAACTTGAAATTTACCAAGCATCACAACCATGTTGCTCGTAAAAACTTACGCAAAGCCCGTAAAGTAAAATTAGCCGGTGGTGATGCCGCTGCTGCAGGTAAGGTAGTTAAACGACCAATTCGCCAACCACAACCAACTCAAAAATCATCGTGGTCATTGTCATCGCTCTTGAAGAACGTTACTTCTTATTTTGCTGGTGAAACAGCTGCTCCAGCTAAGAAACGCGCTGTTCGTAAACATCCATCAAAGAAATCCAAATCCCATGCAGCGGCAGCAAAAACAACAACAACAACAAAAGCAACAACAGTTGCTGCTAAGAAATAAATCTTATTCTCAGTTGTTTTTGAATTTGTGTTTGAGCATATCATTGTAATTTCGAATGATATTGTTGAAAAGCACAAGGAAAAGAAAAGAATAAAATAACTAGAAGAAACATCATTTATTTTCTATCGTTTTTCTCATCGAAGTTGATTTGTAGATGAATCAGAAGACAGGGCTGAAAAGAACTAAATGTACAATTTGCTCTGGGCTTTGTAAGTTTTAGTTTCTCACCGATGGTGACTAAAGAAAATCTGAAATTTTAGCGTTGAACGCAAACGAAAACGGTGAAAACTTTTGCGAGAAATATTTTCTCAACTTCCTAATCGACCTACGCGAAAAGTTTCACGATCCGAGTCAAACTGAGGAATATTTTCAAAACTCAGCTTTCGATGATGATGATCATATTAATCAAATATCATGTACTGGCTTAACTCTAATGCATGTAAACGTTCTCGGCGGTAAGTCGAGCATGGTGTTCCCATTGGTCAAACTCCTCCTTTAGTAGATCTTACATCTTGCATGACGAATGAATCCTTATTTGATTTGGAATATCTGCGGTTGACTTAGGTCGAGAAGACTCGAATGGAGATCAATCGGAACAGGGGAATCTAGCCTTCATGCCATTGTATGAAGAAAATATCGCGATGGAGATTTGTCAGCTACTTTTGAAACGTGGAGCATCACCGCACGGAAATTCTATCTATGAAATGCGCCCATTGCACATCGCTATTCGACGACAATGGACGCGAATGACTCGTCTTTTGTTAGAAGCTGGTAAGGTCTTAAAATTCTGGTCGGAGAAAAATACCATCTGCGAAATATTCAGGTGCAAATCCAAGTTTACCTGAGAAAGATATGTATGCTTCACGACCGATGGACATCGCTGTTGTCAATGATGATCCTGAAACAGTCGAAGTATTGCCTGTTCGGTTGCTTCTTTTTGTTGTATGGACGCTTTCTAGCTACTTCATACTTTCGGTGCATCGTTGAATGGTGTCAAATCCATGTTTTATCTAACACCGTTAGCCGAAGCATTTATGCGAGGGTATTATGATGTTTTTAAAGTCCTACTCGAACGTGGGGCAAAGCCGGTCTTAGATCTACATTGGAACACATTTCGTTCATTTGGCAAACAATTGTTTGATGTCGGAACGAAAGGACGACAACGTTTTGTCCAGTTAATGTATGATCATGGTAAGATTAATAAAGAAAATCGAATGAACTTTTGCAAATTATTTGATATAGGAGCAGATATCGAGACCGAATTTCGACTGCGCACCATTCGAATTGAACCGAATGGAATAACCGATTTCGAACCGCGTTATGCATTCTGTTGTGATCCAATATACATTGGTGATCTCGATTCAGCAATATTCATCAAATGGATGTGTAACTATTAGGAACAATTGGAAATGTTTTCATTGTGTTCTTTTTCTCATCTAGGTAAATGCCGTTCATTGAAAGAACTTTGCCGTTTAACGATTCGTCGTTACCTTTTCAAGACATTTAAAAACGGTTTCAAGTGTCTTTTAGATTTGAAACAACAATGCTCATTAAACGATCGTTTATACAGATATATCATGTTCAGAAATTCAATTTAATCCTTTCGTTTTTCTAATAAATCAAGCATTTGACTAGTCAGAATCTAAGACATTTATTGATATGTGTTTTGAACAAATAAGTAATACATGAACAAAAAATAAGAACGAAACTATTGATTTGTATGTATAGATATTTACAATAAGCAATCGGAAGAGCATGATCATGGAGATTTTCGTCTAGCACCGAGTGAAATGTTGAGCGATTAGTTAGGTTGAGTAAGAGCCAAGGCGCGTCGACGTTCGATATATTTTGCCACATTCCATTCTTGACTTTTAATACTCACGTCACCGTTACAAACGAACAATAATTTAATCTTTCGACTATATTGTAAATTTGGTAAAAGCTAAACGATGAAAAATTTGCTTTTTTTTCTTCGAATACTTCAGTATCTTCGTTTTACTTTAGGCGAAAGAAGAAAGTATTGCGAATTTGCTTTATCTGACGAATGTCTCACAAGTAATTCAAATACACGACGTTCATTCGTTGGATCCATACCCTACAAATCATTGAAATTAAAAAATACGAAGACAAATCGCATACCTGGTTGATTTCATCAACACATCGAAATGGGCAAATTGTCATATCTTGTAAAGCAATCATGTATAACATTACTGACACACTTTTTTCACCACCACTTTGAAGAAATTCACTCTAGACACAAGATTTACTAATGAGATCAAGACAACCATCTTTCGTACCATTTCATGTAATCTTTCACCGTCGCGAAATTGCACTTTGATATTCACACCGTACTTTTCAAAGTCTTTCTAAATATTTCCAAACAAACTTCGATTTCGTTTATTTGAATGACATATTCTTACTTCTAACTCGGGAATATCTAAACAAATTTGCCCTTTGCAACCCATTGTCTCGAATAGGCCGACGAATTTTTTATTGATTTCGTTGACCATCGCATTAACTTGGTTCAACCAATCGGTTTTGTTTTTATCTGCAGTCATTTGTCCTTGTTTGATTCGATTTTCTAAATCAGTGATACGATTTTCAATTTGAATTAGATTCGTCTTTTCTTGTTGGTAGACACGGATAACCTAAACAGAACGTTATTTGAATTTGATTATCACCGAATCAGTTTTTTCTTCTGTCTTACATCGTCCTTCACCGTTCCTTGGCAGCTCAGCTGTGCATTAAAATTCATGATTTCTGATTCTAGGTCTGCTAAACTTGAAGGGAAATTTGCAAATTTTGCTCGAAATTCTTGAACGAGCTTATTCGGAAGAAGAACATCATCTGGTGAGATGGTTTTATTCATCGTTTTGCTTATTTTTTGTGCAGCCAAACGTGTTGATGATTCGCTCGTGTCCAAACGTTTTTTCGCATTTAACGTTTGTTCCTTAATACTTCCAAACTTTACTTCACGTTATTCCAGAGAAAAAGTGTTACTTTTAATTGCATTAATTCTTCTCTATGAGTTTCAAAACTCGCTTCAGCTTCGCTATGTTTTTGACGAGCTAAAGCAATACGACCGCTCTCGATGACCATCAAATGGCATTTTTGATTGAAATTCTAAGGAAAGAAATGACTTCGGTGTCTTATCTACGAATGTTTTACCTCGAATTCTTTCATTTGAACGTTTAGTTTGTGCATTTTATCTTCGTGAATTTTCTTTTCTTTCTCATAAGCTAATTTCTCTTCTTTGGCGATATCGATTTGCTTCTTCATGTATGATGTCAATCTAAGTATTTCGATTTTCAATGACGAACTTAATAGAATATTTAAATTTCACATACGTGTGTTTTTTCTCTTCGATCTTTCGTTCGAGTTTTGCTTTGGCGTTTCGTTTGTCTGTGATAGCGATCTATTCAATCGAATAGTACAAATGGATTTCTATTCGACATGAAAGGTACCTTTCGTGTTTTGATCTCGTCCAATTGACGAGCGAGATTAGTTTGGTCTTTCTCGTAGGTTTGTTGAGATTTCTGCAATTCCTCATAACGAGCTTTCAGTTGCTAAAGCACAGAATTTAATAATGCAATTGAATAGAAAAAGAAAATGAGATGTTTACCGTATGTTCCTGTTCGATTTGTTGTTTTCGGTCGTGACTAACACTATCAGTTAAATATCTTTCCTTTTGTACGTGTATGTTCGTTGTTGATGTGTCCTTTGTATAATATGAGGTCGACAATGTATACTAGAACGAACAAATCCGATATCACAGATTTCCAGAGAGAGTAGCGTTTAATTCTTACGCAAAAATTCTTCACGAAAAACCGTCGAACTTTCTGGTCTTTTGTTATCGTATCAATGTGTGTCATTGCCGAATCGTATGCAATGGGCAATGTGTGAATTTTCGTTGTTTGACATAAATATCGTAGGATTGCATCGGGTCCTTGAATTGTATCCAAAACATATTGAAACATTCCATAATGACTTAAATCGGTGATCGGCGGTGCTTCACGACGAAATTCATCCAACGACATTCGTGGAATAGCTGATCCGTGAACGACTAGTTTCTGTTTTTCATGGCATTCTTTGATAAATAATTCCATGTCATCTGTATCCTTTGAAGATAGAAAAGAATAGTTCAGTTACCGGAATGATGAATCTTACTTCGAATATGAACATAGCGAGGAGATCGCGTTTGGGAATGATGAACTCGACATATTTCATCATGTTTGGATCGCTGACATTTAACGATAAAATCATCGGCTCATAGACGTTCTTTTGAAATAACATTTTGTTTTGACGAAGCCATTTAACGGCTTTCCACGCATCAATATTTTGATGTTGTAATTTCGCTAAACGAGTTTCTTGGACGTTGGTTATGTGACTTAATTCTCGTTGTTTAACTGAAAACAAACGAGAAAAACTCGAATTAATGAATAGTTCGTTAGTTTACTTTGAACGTCCTGCTGAATTCGTCGTAGTTCATCAATGATTTGTTGATGTTTCATTGATAATTGATTTTGCTGTTCGGTCAGTTTTTTTCGTTCGTTTTCTAGATGATTCCATTCCGCCTGAAACGTCATTTCGTTGAAAATAAAATTCCTAAATGAAATCTTCTCGATCTAATTACTTGTAATTCATCTTGATCTTGTGAATCGATATCCATTGAGTTGATTTTTTCTTCTAATTGCTCGATTTGCTCTTGAACATCTTTACACTGAGTCAATCGACGGTTTTCTTCTTCTTTCTTATGTCGAAGTTCATCGCGAATCTTCTCGATCAAATCGTCACTTTGTTCCGATATCGCATTGATCTCCTTGGTTAGTTTATTCTTCAAATCAACTGATTCTTTGTACTAAAAGTATCGATAAGAAAGATGAAGATGTCTTTTGACAGTCGTACTTTTGATTTATAAGCTGTTTGAGCCTTTTCGAACTCTGTTTTGAATTTCTTGATTTGATCCTGTAAGGGTTTTAATCGATGGTCCACTTCCTTGACTTTATCCTTTATCGAATCGAATGTTTTCGCGATTTTTTCATGTTCAGAAGCTTTTTCTTCGTAATCCTAAATGAAAGAACAGATTCCATCGAAATTCCTATGGGGGAAATTCTTACACGAAAGTGTTTGCATTGAATGTACTCAGCAATTTTTGCTTCAAGATCTTTTCGACCTTGTATCGCTTGGACATCGGGTTCAAGATGTTTTAATGTTTGCTTGCAAGAAGCTGCTTGGTGTAAAGCTTCGTTTAAATCGCTTTCGAGAAGACGTGTCTCTTGTCCTAAGGTTTTTAAGGATTTGTGGAGAGTGTAAAGTTCTTCACCGCCGACCTATGCAAATCGAAAACGAAAATTCGAAGGAAAATGCAGGAACAGGTGAAATACAAACACATTTTTCGGTATTTTCGAGTAAGTCGCATTTGGACATGTTGGTAAACTCTGCTACTTTTTCTTGGGGTAAAAATTGACAAAGATTGTCGACTTGAATATGTAGCTTTTTCATCAAATCTTTGATCTAGTTGTGGAAAAAAAATAAAACTTTGTATTCGAGAGAAAGCGAGCCATTACCGCTGCTTCTGTCGTTTGTTTTCCATTCAATGTCCATTTATTTGCTTGCTGATGATAAAGCGTTCGATTAACTACCCAATTCGTTCCTTTCTCCGCATTGAATCTATCGATTGAATGTGTATATGAAAAGAGAGTACCGATGCTCGTCGACTTACAATTCAATTTCAATCATCCCCTTATCATTGCCGGTTTTGATGTAATCTCCGACACTTCCCGCTCGGCCGATGACTCGTGGATGCCCGGCAAGACCGAGACAAATCGCACAAACAATCGATGATTTCCTATACCAAAACAAAGGTTTCTTTTCAGTCTGTAAAGATCGGCCAAATCCTACCCACTACCATTCGGACCGATAATAACATTCAGACGTGGCCCGGGATACAGTTCAACTTCTTTATATGTCCTAAACAGCAACGACATTAAATCGAGCAAACATTCAGCAATGATTTTTACATAAAATTTTCTAAACGAATTCGTACAATAGCCCCGTGGGCATGTTTTTGCGTCTCGCATTGCGACATTGTGGTGGTTGATAATGTATCATTTAAAATCGATTGATTTTCTGACCGATCCATTGTCATCTAGAAAACAAAAACGGCCATGTCATGCATACGATTTCGCAATATAACAGTCCGTCATTGATATAGGCACAATCGAAAATCAGGGATATCACTTAATTCTTTGATAAGAGGTTTTTCATTCAACTTTGTAATTAGTTTACTTTTGTTTGAGATATGACATTTAATAGAGTAGAAACAAATTCTTCGCGTTCGAATAAACGGCTAGTTCATACAAGAGGACAAAACAATGACACTTTATACACAAAAAAAGAGAACAACTTGAAGTTTCTTAATCCGATGATGACCGTTCACGGTGTCGACGACGACGTGACTCTTCTTTGTCACCACTGCGATCTCTTCGGTGCCGGGATTCTTCCTTGTCACGACTATGATCTCTTCGGTGTTTTTTCGAACTAAATAAAAAAAGGAAAGTTTAAGATTCAGTCGAAATGCCGATTCTTCCTACTCACTGTTTATGACTACTACGTTCTTTAGTTGGTTCTGGTGATGTTTTACGTTTCTTCTCCTCACGCGATTTATGACGATCCTTTTTCTCTTTATCACTTTTTGTTGGTTGTTGTTGTTCTTCCACTACTGGTGGCTCGTTATCCTCTTCTTCCTCGTCCTCTTGAACGATTCTATATGAAAAATAAACAGCAACTTTAGTACAGAGCACAAAGTTCATGGTTTATCTTACGCGTATTGTTTATTGGCTAATTCCACTTTACGACGTTCGAGTTCTTTGGCTTCGTCGATCTTTTGCTGAACAATTTTCTTTTTATCGAACTCTGCAATACCGAATGCTTCGCGTAGTCTTCGATTTTTTTCGTCATTTGCGTGTGCCATTTGATGAGTCTCTTTGGATCTATTGTACAGAAAATGTCAATATGTTTTCGAGTCTTTCTCGACTTACAGAGGACGTCCGAATTCATCATAGTCAATATCGGTTTTGTCATAAAGACCTTCGCGTTCAACGAGCATGTCACGGAACTTTTGAACTTTTTCACTTGTTACTTGTTCGTCGTACCTAGACGAAAATGATTATTTCACCTTGATACGGATTTTAATACGTACCCATTGTTTAACATCATGTCACGCATTTCCATACATTTGACTTCAATGCGACGTTTTCTTTCGTGTTCAAGAATTTCCGCATTTCCCTTCTTTTCAATTAAAGTTTCGAGCTTTTTCAGTTCAACATCTTTGACATATTCGACACGTTCACGCTTGGTTGGAACGAACGATAAATTTCGTTGAACATAACCATTTGTACCAGTACCGCGCGCTGTTTGGATACCTATGCCGTTATACATGATTTATCTGAAAAAAAGCCAAAAACAAGCACATGAATAACAACGAAATTAAGCAGATTTTTTAGCTTTAAGTTTATCAAGATCGCGTTTTTCAATCGAACGCAATTGTTTCTTTTTCATGCGTTTTATTTTAGTTGGATTTTTAATCTAAAACAAACGCACAATCAGAATCATAAAATATCTGCGAAAGTTACTTACCACTTGGACAACTTCACCTTTACGTTCGTTGACTAGACGACGCTCCTTGTTTTCTTTTTGACGTTGTTTAAGTTTCTGAATGAACGAAAATAGAGTCGAATCGAAATTATCACAATGATTTTCTCACATCGCGTTTTTCGTTCACTTCGTTCCACATCTGTTTCTCACGATTGCGAGTTTCATTTAAATCAGCTCTCATCTTCATACGTTCTTCATAGGAAAGTTTGAGAGACTTTGGCCGAGATATGGCAGAATATCTAAATATTTTCTTTTCGTAGTGAAATATCTTCGTCGAGTTCGATCTTACCTTCCTTTGTTCAATTTCCAAGTACGACCACTTTTTGGTTTACCTTTCGGAATTGCATGCAATCGTTCTTTTTCTTGTTTATTAGCTGCTGTTCCGGTATCCATCTAGAACTGACAAATGTTTTTATGTTACAATCTTTCGATTTCAACTTGTTTGACTCATTTACGCAAGTTGTTTTGTCTTTTGAATGAATGCTTCTTCAGAAGTTTCCTACTAATAACCAATGAGAGAGGATTGTATTATTCATAGAATACGATAGGGGGCGTGAGATGGCTATCTTTTCAGTATATGCTACAGACGTCGAATCCGTGTCTGGTAATTACATGAAATAACGTATAGAAAATTATGCTTTATTTCCAACAGTTTTGAATGAAATTTTGATTTTTTTATTTTGTAACTGATCAAACAACATTAAGTGAATATATTTTATCGTACAAATTTTATTTTCAGGAAAAATTTTGTCATCAAGTGTTCCAATTGAATTGAAACGAATTTCTTGGATGAGAGTGTTACATTTATCTGAAGAGAAAAGTGAAGAAAAGGAGTCAGTAAAACTGTTTTTCATTTCAAATATGTCAATAGGCTCTTTGTTTATCACAACGAGAAAGCAATACATTAGTACATTTAAAAAAATACAATTCACCTAGATATAGCGAAAAAGGACATACTTGAATGTATAATTTCATGGAGTTTATTATGCAGTGATTGGTTTTAATTGTTGTTGTTCTTGATGTCTACGGGGTCGTCTTATACTGGAACGAATGTTAGGAAAATCATTCCGTTAATCATTTTTGTTTACGGAGATCTTATTGAAATAGTTAAACATACGAGCGCCGATCTTGGGGAACGTGTCCGACATCACCGATGCCATAGCAGATGACACGGCCGTCACTTGTTAATACAAGATGAGTTATGGAACAATGAAAGAGATTGAAACGAAGCCATGCATCAGCTGGAATTTGTAAAGCTCTGAGGAAGAGAAGAATTCTAGTTTTAGAAAGAACGATTTGTTAGACAGTCATACCGACAAACGAAATAACGAATCACATTTGCATGACACACGATTAATTCATGAGAATCTTCTGTTTGATTTGAAAGTGGGCGATGAATATACCGATGAAAAGCTCGTTCCAATCGAGCCGTTTCTAGTTCTAGACGACCCTAGTTGAAAATCATCCAAAGTGTGTGTGCAGATGAAAGTTACCAAATTATTACTTTAGCAACATCATCAGCGTATCGTTCACCTGGCTCCGGTAGGATTGGAAATCTAAAATTCAGTAGAAATGGGCCAGTTTTTAGGGAGAAACAGGGAGGGTGGCCAGAAAATACCCTTCGTTTAGATCGATATCTTGTTCAATTCGATTGAATCGCAAATGTTTATTGATAATCGTTGCTGTTTGAATTGCGCGAATGAGTCCTGATTGAATAAAACGAGTAAATGAAATTTTGGATTCAGCCAATGCTCGACCTGCCCAATCAGCTTGCTCATTACCTAAAATACAAAGCTCAACATATATCCACAGATACACATGAAATGCGCACCCAGTTCAGTCAATTGTTTCTCATCGTCAATTTTCGTTCGTGTCTGATACTGCCCATGTCGAACGAGATAAATATGTCGAACTACTCGACTTTTACTTGTTTCCGAATGCCGACTAGAAGTACAAAATTTCCTTGAACACAAGACGAAGTAAACAAAACTAACCCATCCCAGTTCCAATTCCATCGTTCACTTGATTGGATTGGTTTTGAAAGTGTTCGCGGATCGGGCTTAACGAGCTGACTACTATTATCGTTCGGCGATTGAGCAATTGTCGCTGCGAAAAGAACACCATAGCGGTTTTTTCCATCGACAAGATAATAAGCCGATGCTGTAGTACACAAGACTCCAACAGTTGAAGTCGCTAATTTCACGAAGAATCGCATATCGATAAGATGAAATGAATTACAAAAGCCCCTAACTTCCTGCATATATCAACCGTCATCTCTCATTGGTCCATTCGTATATAAATACGATTTCGTGTGAAAGATGCATTAGTGTATCAAATGAATGCATTTCTTGGTTGTCATGTCTTTCCTCACCTTCAATGGAGATAGAAGTAAAATCCAGTAAGAAAAGAACGTATATTGATAGAAATCAATTTTTAATCATGGCTAAGCGTCGCCTTGAAGATGCAATTGTAGCATCTCGTGCATTGAATGTTGGAATCAAACTTATTGATCATTTTCGTAGTGCAAAACCGTTATTCTCACATGATGTGCATGCACATGGTGGCATTTTCTCACTTCGTTTTTCTGATGAACTCGATCAATTAGCTGTTGGTTATGGTGATGGTTCGATACGTTCATTCTCGGTAACCAACGGCAAAGAAACAAACGAATATTTAGCAAGTAGTTTACCACCTATCGAACACTTACGTCGTCTTTCGATGGATTTACCGATCATGTCATTGAAGTGGCATCCATTAGCAAGTCATTGTCTTTACGCTGCGTGTGTCGATGGAACAATTCGGCATGTTGACAAGAAAACTAATGAATTATCGGTTCTTACGTATGAAATTGATAACGAACTAACATCGTTGGATTTTTCGTTCGACGGAAAACATTTTGCAACGGTTGGAAAAGATGCACATGTTCGAGTGTATGATAGTGAAAAAACAATGATCATACATAAATATAATAACCAACGTAATGATACTCAATTGGAACAAATTCTTCACCGTCGTGATAGTGGAGCCGATGAATTGTCATGTACGACAGGTCATTACCATCGGGCATTTGCATGTAAATTCCATCCGGATCATCGGAATGTTCTCCTAACAGCTGGATGGGATAATGTTATCAAGTTTTGGGATATTCGTCAAAAAGACGCGATGAGTGAAGAAATTGCTGGACCACATATCTGTGGTGAAGGAATTGATGCACGTGGAAATGAGATTTTAACTGCGTCATGGACATGTGCAAACTCATTGCAATTATGGGATTTTCGCACGATGGGTTTAATCAAAACATTGAATGTTCCCAATGCTGATACTGACAAAGGGGAATTTATGTATTCGGCTCAATTATGTGATAATAAAACGATCTTAGCAGTTGGAAGTGGTACATGTGCATGCCATGTGATTAACTCTGAAACAAATCAAGAATTGGCCCGTTTACCATTAACGAAGCCAGTGTATGCTTTGGATTCGATGTTAGGCGGACGCGTTTTTGCTTTTGGTGGTTTGGATAAATTTTCTCTGGCTCATATGAAAGACAGCTGAACACAACGTTTTCTTTTGAAAAATTTCCACCTTTTTTTTGTATAAACAGCTTTACTTCTTCTTATATTATTCCAGGGAATTAAGATGAATGTACAAAGGTCTTTCGTTTGTTATAGATATTAAACATGGCTTGGGTAGAACGAATGATACCACCGTAAGTGTTGATTACCAGAGATTCTCTTCCATATGTATATGCTTGTTTTTAGCGACCAAGATGAACAATTTGAAAGTTGGCGACAAGAATTTCTTCAAGAACGTTCGTTACGAATTGTTCGTGAACGAGAAATTATGAAAGAAACAGCTGAACGATGCAAGTATGTCTTAGAAACATTTACTTGAGATGAAATCACAGCATAGACACATATTAGATCATATAAAAAACGTGAACAAGAAGCCAATGAAGCTATTGAACGAAAACGTCAAGCAATTTTAGCACAACGCAAAGCAGCAACTGTGCAGGCAACAATGCGATTTCAACGTAATCTACCAGGATTTACTGTGATGGGTAAGAAATAACTTATTCCTTTTGCTTAAACGAACGTTTTTTTTCTATTGGAAATAAAGATCCAGACAAATTCGATCGAGCTATCGAAACGATCACCGGTCGACAACTATCCAATCGCTCGACGCCAAGACGAGTTCCTACGAATTATCAACAGCAGCAGAGAGCGAATGTAACATTTCGTCGGTCGATATCAATGGAAGAATTAGGATCGAAGCAGGCGATGTTAAATCCATTCAAACAAGACCAACGAACTCCACAGGTTTTACCTCGGACAAATTCCGTCATTCATGTCCCACAAAACGCCAATCCTGTTCAATACACTTCACCTTTACAAGAAGTTCAACGTCAGGTACTAAACGATTTTGCTGCTCAAGTTCAATCAACTCTTCATCATAAACAACAATTCGATGAAACGAACACATGGGATCGCGAAAGTATCGACAGTCTGGAAGAATCAAATCATTATCAACCACAGAAAATCAGCGGACCTATCGTTCGTCCAACTCCTGTTGTAAATATTCAGCCGAGAAAATCTACAAATGAAGATCAACAAGCACTATTACGTCGAAGTTATCACGAGAGTTTTTTTGTTAGAACCACTCCTGTTACTGGTGACGAACAAGTAGCAGCATGGTTAGGTGCGAGTAAAAAACCCGAAATACCATCGCCTATGCAAAAACCTTCGTCACTCGATGGAACCGAGAGCGAAACAAATGGAAAACGGAAAAGTATTCTGAAACGATCGCCTTCTGTGGAAAGTAATCTATCAAATAACAAACCAATCGCGGTAGCAAGAAAAGGCAGTGCACCACAAACGCGTACCATTGGCGAAAAAACTCGCGTGAAAGATAGTTTAGAAGTCATCAATACGAAACTATTGAAAGACATGGACACGCAAGTATGAGCGATTGTATGTAGAAGCATCTCATCTCCAATGCGATCGTTTTTAGAAAAAAACTGTTCGATTTGCACCAGATACTGACAATCAACGATGTGTATCAGATACTCAACTTGTTAAACAATCCGATTTAGGTAAAAGAGCAACAACAACAACAACAAGAAATAAGATGTTCTATTGTTAGATTTAGACAATGAACAAACACCAGTACGCCGTGTTCAATCAGTGGCGATGTTCACTGTTCCACAACGTCCACCTTCGAAGTAAGTGTCATTCAAGTAGTTTTTCACAATCCCATTTGAGAAACGCGGTAATCAGCACAAATTGTCGAGCTTGTCCTTGTTTGATAATCGGCCGAAGGCGATACTCTTGAATTGATGCAGGAATGAGAAATGTTTCAATATAGTTGTACTGTCGAACTTCTTTATGTTGTTGATGGTCGATCGAGTCGAATTCAATTTCGATCGCATCGCCTTCAACTAACATACATAAGTGAAACCGATTTTCTGTTGATCGGACAACGTGAATCGACTCATTCGGTTCGATTCTCAATCGATAAACATCATAAAAATGCAATTCGTGCGTTGGCAAATGTTCTTCTTGGTATTGACCGATTTCGGTCTTTAGTAACTTTGGTTGACATTGAAGTTGTTCGCCACGTCGATCAAACTTTAAATTCTTCATTCCATGCTCTATATTCAACGGTCGAAGACGTCCGTCTAAACCTAATCTTAACCAATCGTATAGTTTGAATGTATAAGTATACGGCGTAGCAGAGATTTCCAGTACAACTTGATTTCGACCTGATGCGTGAATTGTCTCGTTGGGGATAAGAAAAAAGTCGTGAATTTTCGAAGGTAAACATTGAATATACTTCTCAACGTTTAATTCTTGTGCATGGCGACGACTGTGAAGTAACGCTTGATGGAACTCTTCCGAATCAACGTTTTCTTGGAATCCGAGATAAACACAAGCTGAAGATTGTTCATCGTTTTTCCAATGTTGTTTCGTTTCTAGAATGTAATACGTTTCATCTTGAGTGATTCTTTCTCTGAAGTTGCTTCGCATATATTGTAAATTTGGATGACATTGAATAGATAGATTTCCTCCATCGATCGTATCGAGAAAGTCAAATCGAATAGGAAAATCATTGATTCCATTAAATAATCGGCAGTGTGTATCGTTACCGAGAACGCGATTCGATTGTGAACCATAGAACAAATCCCAAGAAAATTCAGCTAAGTGAAGATTACTATCAGAAAGAATAATGCCGTTCTCCGGTGTAATCATTTCGAACGACCAGGCGTAGTTCTTGGGATATTGGGAAATATTTGTGCAAACAGATTTCAGCCATTGGCCACCCCATGGGCCAGGTTCAAACCATGGGCGAACACGAACGGGAACATTGGCGAGATGTGCAAGTGCTTGACGAAAGGTTTCGCCATCAAGCCATGTGGGACAATTCGGTCGTTGACCATCGACAAAAAACGACATTCGAGGAAGAAGCTCCTGCTTTAATGCGTTGAAGACTGGATAATCGAGGAAATATAAGCATTTTTGCTCGTACATGCCTGGAGTTAATTCATAATCATCTGTGTCAATGGAGTTGATCGGCTGAATGTCGCGTTTTTGTGGTTTTAGATACGAGCAGGCTGTCTGGGCAGCAACACGATAGTAGAGTTCGTTCTTAGGTAGATCGATGTAGATTAATGGAGCCGAGTCATGAACGAATGAAGCGCCAGGTCCAATGATGACACATGGATACGAAAGATTGTTTCGGAGATAGACTAGTTTGCTTTCATCGATAAAATCGTCTTTAAATTTTAAATCGGTTGCTAATTTGCCAAAGATTGATTTTGAAGATTTCAAATAGGAATTTCGTTTCTCGTCGGAATCGACTTGTAGAAATGCTCGCGAGTCATAGAATACTAAAGACGGTCGATTGAGTTTCTTCGCTTGTTGATGATAAGATTTGTTTAATTCACAGGCAAATTCATCAAAGTGCGTTCCAACGAAGCCATCGATTAATAAAATTTGATTCTCCTCGATTAATCGAAGTAATTTCTCATAGAGTTGTTTGTGACCGATGCCGATATAGCCAATAGGAATTTCGTGACATGGATATATATCGTAGGAATGCGTGTCGAGTGTTTTTATGACTGGAAGGAGATTTTGGGGCGTTTGTCGAACGATTTTCGGCTTGGTTGTGAATAGGCTTGGCATTTGTTGATACACAGCGCCAAGACATATAGATTTTTCATGCGAAAGGCTAAAATAGATCGGAATGGATAACGTTTCTCCGATAGTCTTTGTTAGTTGTTCTTCGATTAAATAATAGGCATGTGCAATTCCACCGCCGATAATGAGAATATTTGCTTGGAATTTTGTGAGATGCGGAATTAGAAAATTACCTAGTAGTTCAGCAAATTTTACGAAAGCTTTCTTTGCCTTTGCATTGCCATTTGAAGCTCGTTCAGCAAGAATTCGAGCATCGACTGCGTTTGTTAATTGATCACCGACCTCATCTGCTTCTTCGCGAAGGATTTGTTTATAAATATTGATCAATCCACGCGTAGAAAACCACTCATCTGCAATGGATTGTTGATCATAAGGATAATTCCAAAGCATTCCACCAGGTGGAACATCGTTTCGATTGAGAATAATTTCATTTCTATCAATGAATGTCGAACCAAAACCTGTACCAAGAGTCAAAGCAAGAATTCGTCGATAATCTCGATTTGGAGTTCTATGCGCTTCGCCTACTGCAAAGCACGTTGCGTCATTATAAAATGTAATTGGAATCTCTGCTAATTGCTTCATCATTGTCCAGATCTTAGGTGTAAGACTTTCATCGATTAGTAAATTCATCGATAAATCAATGTCTTTATCAGAAAATGAAGTTTCCGTTTGAGCATCTTCAGTGTCGGTATCTTGTAAACCACAATAACTGGTAATATCCTTCGTTGCCGGTTCATTCTCCTGATTTTTTAATTGTAAATCTTTGTAATGAAACGATGCTTGATTCATAGTCGAGTTAATTTCATTCGCTCGTTTCATATGTAACGATTTTTCCAATGCGACTTGCTTTTCTCGATCAAATAAGCTTGTGCGCGGTGATGTGGGTGGTGTAAAGTATTTCGGATTGTAGACATGTTTCCAACGCGAAATTAAATCGCGTAGAGCATCTTGCAATGAAAATTGTAGGTTAAGACCGAAAAATTTTTCGCATTTGTTCAGTTGAGTTGACTGAATGTAGCTTACACCACGTTCGTAATCCATCGGACCAGGAATTCCACATGCGATGCCGATAATTGCTTCATTCTCCTGATAATTTTTGACGAGATCATGAATAAGATGTCCGATACATTCAACCCAGGTGGAAATAATCGAACGAGGATCTTTCTCTTTTGTATTCTCGATAGAACGTGTGTAGAAAACATCGCGTTCGATTGTTGCAGTTCGATTTCCTAAGACTTGTTCAATACGCACAAGAGTTGCAGTTATATGAGTACCGCCGATATCCAGACCAATAACGAACGATGACATTTTGTCGACAAAAGTATACAAAAGCGAAGAAGAATACTCGAAATGAATATGTGAAAGACAGTTTCTTATCTTTTATTGACTCTTGTCAAACGAAAAAGATAAGATACCTTTTTTACATTAAAGTATTACGTTAAATGTTCATCGTTCCTTTTCGTTTTTCGATAGACAAATCAGCAGCAATGATGATCGAGCATCTGAATGCTCTTCAACTACCAGTTCGAAACCACCTGTATATCCTCTTACTCCGACAGGTCATACTCGGCAAGGATATACAACTATCGGAATGCGACAACGTGAATTACGGTCGAAATTGCACAAAACTCGTTATGCACAATCATTAAGGCAAACAAATGGGTCTCCGACAATGTATGACTCTCCATCATCGAGACGAACACCTATTCCATCGCCACATATCCCAATGGTAAACTTCTTCTTTTTGATCTGGAAAAGTTTCAGAGAAATTGTTTTAGCCACCTGCACCATTGAAAAACAATGGCATCAATCAGTATGACGACGAAAATGAATCATTATTCAGTGAACTCCGACTGAGTTCTATACCTGGCAGTAATTTCAGTCAAAATGACGCACGGTTACCACCACAGTATGTATTACAATTGATCCGATTGGAAATGAACGTTTCCTTGATCGTATTAGAGTACCAGCACCTCCTGTAAATAAATTCGCCGAACCGAAATTCAATGGAACAAAAAGTAAGTCTTGTCTTTCACTTCTTCTCCCGCATGAAAGTTCCTATTTTTCTAAAGATACAACCACACATGTCCCCACAACTCTTTCGATTGAGGAACGTCGAGTACAGGAATCCATCGATCGACTTGATCGACAACTAAAAGGTACAAACTCTCTCGTATCTTTCTTGTTAACTGTTTGTCTTTCAATTGTAGAAGCACAAGCTAAGATTCGCCCAAATTCCGGTACCCGACTACCTAAGTAAAACAGTTTCATTAACTAAGCATTCTTTTTCAAATCAGTTCTTCTATTTTCAGAACGCAAAAACGATAAATTTTGTACAAACGAAAATATTGTTTTTTTTCCTGTGTGTTTTTCGTTTTTTCTTTCTAAGTTCTTTTCATCTAATTGGTTTTCACGGCAATAGAGATACTAATAAAAACGCACGATTCTTTTTTTGCCTCATTAATTTCTTTTGTTAACATCTCTTATCTTTTCTATTTCCGATTTCTTCTTTCCGAAATGTCTCGATCGAAATCCATCAAGAAGGAAACCGATCCGGTAAATTCTCATCTCCATGCTTTTTCTCTTGAGAATTGCGAGTTTTCTCCTGTGTATAGAATGAATCCGATTCGGATACATCAATAGAAAAGTATTATCAAGATGAAGATTCGATCTCGTCGCTTTCGTCATCGTCAACAGCAACGAAATCATCGCGTAAACAAAAGTTTATCAAGATGAACTCTTGAATTGTTCTGATTTTTTTATATATAGCACCGCTACAGCCGAGAAAAACGTTTCTAAAAAAGTCCGGAGCGAAAAAAGAAGAATCTAAAGTAAGTTGGAGTAATTGATTTGGACATTCGAAAGGAATTAATTATATTGATTTAGTTTGATGATGATTTAAAATTTGAATCAACGGATGAAAATGATCTTGTTAGACCAGGTAAGTGTTGATTAGTCCTGTTCATTCAATGAATAGCTTGACTTTCAAAGGATTAAGACGACCATCAAATCCATTAGCGAAATCGGATATACAACAGAAGTAAGATGATCGTGTTCTGGTAAGAAAATCATCGGATATGTGTTTAGTTTTGTCACTGATTCGCCTGGAAATGCAATTCCGGATAGAAGTATGAGCGAAAACTAAACTTTGAATTAATAATTGGTTACTTTTACTCGATAGATGATGTTGATGGTACACCATTTTCAACGATGAAATTCGGCTCGGACACTCTTGATGAAGAACCGGAAAAGCAAGAATTTTTTCGTGTAAAACTTTTTCTCTTCGAAAATCGACATAAAACAAAGTTTGATTTGTAATGGTTTAGAACTTTGAAGAAAACAAAGACGAGAAGGGTATTGATTATGCAATGCTCAATCGTGACTTGGATCTTGATATATCTCCAACACGTACTGGTACAGGTGAGAAACATTCAATTAAAAAATCTCATATGCAACTTTGATAGTTTTAGTATTAAACTCGTTTGATAAACAAATCAATCAAATGAGTACGCCACTCCACCATCAGCCGGATGAGAATGCTATCAAAGGTATACAAAGTTGATTTTCGAATGAAAATTAAAAACAAAGTTTCTTTTAAAGAGTCTATAACGACCGAATTGGATCGAGAAATCGAAAACGAAATACAATTTATGAATAATACAACAACAAAACACGTGACGATTGTTGAGCCACCAATTCGTCCCACAGCATCAATTGACGATTTTAGTCGTACGGGCAAAACAGTATCTGGTAAATATCTTCTGAAAATCAAGCAACCAATACAGTTTCCTCTGATTTCATAGATCTTCTCACAACGACAAGTGACACCACTCGAGATCTGAACATGTTACATAATGCTTATCGACAAAATGTCAAACCCGTGCCCACTGCTCGTCCAATTAGAACTCACGCTTATGATCCGAAACCTAAGCCACAACCACAAAAATCCACAGGTAATAACCAAGCTTTTTTTTCCTCATAAACTTGAATTCTTCTCCAGCAATCAAAACCACTCCAAAACCAAACACTCCAACACCAGTCAAGAAAGGTTTTCATCAAATTCAAACATTTCTTCACCTTTTCATCAAATTTCCTCATAGTATCGCTAAGTGTTACTAATAATCGACCGAAAACAGCACCGGCACCAGCACCAGCACCAATCTCTAAAGAAAATCCATCCGTATGAAAGTTTTCCTCAATCACTTTTTTTTATGTTTATCTTCTTTTCAAACAGGAGGATGTAAAGGTGATTGAACAACTCAAATTGGACAAAGAACTATTAGCAGACAAACTCCGATCAATCGAAGCCGTACACGAAGAACAGCTACGCACTTTACGTGAAGAGAACTATCATCTTCAAGCCAAAGTACTTTTCCTCTTCATTGAACATCTCCTTGTATAGAAAATTTTATTTAGATTACTCAATTAACTTCAACAAATTCCGAGGGAAAACTCGAAACTCTCTCTCCCAAACAACGTGAAGTGAGTGAATTAGAAAAACTCATCGATGGTTATCAACTGGAAAACGAAAAACACTGTAAACAAATCAAACAACTCGAACAAGATCAAAAGCAAATGCAACAATCAATGTTTGAAGAAAACGAAAAACTTCGCAAGGAACTGATCCACACGAAAATGATCGTCGAACAATACGAAAACTGCCATCCGGGAAGCGTCAAAAAACACCCATCGACAATTGTTCTGACGAATTTAGTCAATGAAGACACGGAAAATCAACGATTGAAAAGTGAAATTCAAATTCTCGAAAAGAAATTAACTTCTTTAACAAACAAAACACATGAACCATCTCGTTCCTTCGATCAAAGACGCATTCAAGACCTCGAACGACAAGTCAAAGAGCTAGGTATGTGAATAATCACTTCAATGGCAAGTGTTGGTATCGGATTTTCCTTCGCGTTTAGAATTAATCAATCGTCGACGTCAGCAAAGTCCAACGACACAAGTCGGTATGGTTCTAAATCCATTAGATGAACGAAATCAACTCACAATTAAATTACATCAAACTGAAGAAACATTGCGAGGAAAACAACAAGCGGAAGAAAAGCTTTTACAAGAATTGAATCTTCTGCAGGAAAAATATGTTTTAATGAAGCAAACGTTCGCCAGTCATGATCAACACGATCAGGTCGAAAAACGAATTCATGACGCGTTAACTAAAACCAAAAACCTTCCAGGACAAAGTCAATTGCGACGAGAAAATGAGCGGTTGAAAACTGAATTAGAAGCAATGAAAACTCAGCAGATATCCAAACCAGCGAAATGTAAATTTGAACTTTGTTCATCGAATGACGTATTAGTTTGAATTTTAGCGTTAAAACGCGATCTGGATACGATTAAGCTATTACGGAGCGACCTCGAACGAAAGAACGATGAATTAGAGAAACTTCGAGCTTTATACGACGCTGTCAATGTTCAACATAAGAGTATTCTCGCTGAACGCGAGCGAGAGAAAACTCGTTTAGCAAGTAAGACACCTTCGAATAGAAACAGTCAGTTTTGCATTCGAAAATTTAGTTATGGGAAGTAAACCATATCAACCGGATCGATTTACCCAAGTTTTATCGCCTGTTGAAGTTGTTCATAGTGAAAATCAACAATTGAAACATTTGGTAATGGTTTGAAAGTAGCAGATGGAAAGCGTGATAATTTTTTAAAAAGTTGACTGATACCATCTTCCGGCTGTTTTGACGAACGAGAATAAAAAATTGTTTTTTTCTAGGTGGAAAAACTAGAACACGATGCTCAACAACAGCATGTCGAATTGATGCGTTTGCGAGAAGATCGACAAGCAGCGATTGTTTTGGCTTTGCGCGAGAAAGACGAAGAAGTAAAATCAAATCTCGATTTAGAATTTGATGTTGATTTCATTCATTGAAGAATGCGCGTCTTCGTCAACAACATAAACTAGAATTGCAAACACTTATCAACGAAATGGCGAATAAGGCAACGGAAACACGGGTGACCGATCTTCTCCGAAAACTCGAATCACAAGAATCCACAATCAATCATTTAAAAGTACACATCAACTTTCAAAGCTCGTTCTCGAACATCTATCTTTAGAAACTAACCGAGCACGCCGAAGACAACACTCGAGAACTAGTGATCTTACGTACACGTGACAATGAACTCAAAGCGACAATTCAGCGACTTGAACAGGAACTATCTGACGCACGAACCTATCATACCCCGGTAACTATCGAACAGCATTGTCTTTCTCTTCGTTCTGTGAAGTTGAGTACACTCGTTCAATGTCAATCCTCCTCATCAGACATTCTGTCATCTCCATCGAGAATTGAATTACTGAAATAGATACAGTTGCGTCAGAAGAACGCGGACGAAAGTCTGTTTTTTTTTAGGAAATGAAACACTTTCAAGAATTACAAAGTAAAATCAATCAATTAGAACATCGATGGTCGAAACGTGATCAAATCACGAAAGATTACACGTCAAGTTTGCTCAAACAACACGATCCCGAGACGAATAACGATGTGAACAAATTACGCGCGATCATCCGACAGAAAAATCAGGAAATCGAACGATTTCATCTCGAACTGGATTCCATGTTAGAATTATTAAAAACTCTCAAATTCCAACAAATGCTCTGCAATCATTAGATGATCTCTCTTCTTCTTCTTTTTCTTCTCAGGGTGCAATGTTTGTTGGAATTGAAATCTCAGTCTGAGCTTTTGTTTCTTCTAATAAAAAACACAATGAATCGATCTTTTCTTTCACTGATATTTATGCTAATAAAAAAAAGGCAAAATGAAATATAATTTTCCTTTAAAGGTCCCACGGGAAATGACCTCGGAGTATAGAGAGCCTCCAAACATATCGATTATTTGATCATATATACAGAGAACGAGAAAGAAAAGCGCGTTGAAGTCAAATCTTTCTTTCATTTACTTCGATAATTTATTCGAATATTATACTCTGATGAAAACTAGTTCTAAAGTGTTTTGTTATCGCCTGGTATTTTGTGCGTTTGTGTATAAGTCTCATCGTTCATTGAATTCGAATCGAGAAAGCGATTCTCATTTCCATGTGTGTTGATCACATTTGAATATTTGTTCTCTTCTCTTTCTTTAGATATGAAAAAAAAACGCGAAGAAAAAAAAAGAAGAAAAACTCAACGAGAAATATGAGATGTGAGAGAATGGCATTCCAAAGAAAAACTTGTGCTTTTTCTCAACGTCGTGGAATGCGACATTTATTCTCGTTTCTAAATATAAATTCAGACATTTCCTCGGTGATTTGCTACACAATAATTCAATTCAAAGTAATGTATGAAAATAATGACGAGTACGTCTCTCAATTGACTGTCATTTGCTTCTTTTGACGATATTGGTATTCACGGAGCGGAGTCCGTATGATGCTTCCGATTTTTCTCGAGAAATAACCTGCAACAGCAATGTCGTTTCTGATCGAATCGGAAGTCTTTATTATGCGAAGGTGTTATTTCCCGTCTAGCTGAGCAGTTTTTCACATATGAAAATAGGTCTTTTCGGGAGAAAAACGTAAGTAAACGGCAGATTCTCGTGACATCTATCGAGGAGAGTTTCTTCGTGTATTGGCTATGATATTTTTACAAAGAATTGAAAGTGTGATTGGGTCTGATCATTAGATGAGACAAAACATGAAGTTGAAGTCGAGACGAAGTAGGAAAGGTATTCTTCGACATTTTCTCTTCATATTCTTCATCCTCTTTTTTCTTTATTATTGTTTCCTCGGTATGACTTATTTTAAGTACTCTACTTGTCGGCTTTGTTTCTTCCCTCTCTGTATATTTCATTAAAGTCAACCAATCGACAATCATAACGGTGAGAGAGAAAAACGACGAACAGATTGATTCAGTTTGAAACGAAATAACAGATTTCGTCAGGCAAAATGTCTTCTTCATCGTCTTTCCTCGTTTTTCTTAAGAGGACGCCAAGCTTGGAGAGTGACTTCAGTTAATTGACTTACATACTTCGTTTATTATTCTGTGACATTATTTTATTTATATAATTTCTCGTCAATTCTGCTTTTTTCACATACACACATATCTCCACTTTGAAGCATCATTATAATCAGTGTGATAGGCTCCCGGGGTTGTTAGGAGAAGAAGAAGATGAAGCGGAAGACAAGATAATCACTCGTCGGTCTGATAATAACTTCAGCTAGCAACTATAACTTCGTTTTCTGTATCTTTCGAAACTCTTGAGAAAGGAAACTCTCGTAGCACGCTTTATTGATGTCCTAATATTGTTAACAAAACGTTTGCATTCGTGCGTCATCCTTCGTTCAAGCTGTCGCACAAGCATTAGCATCAGTTAAGTTCGGCATTTTATGTGTATATTTGTATATACACACATCTTCATCCACAAGCATAAAGCAGAAAGGAGAACAAAGAATTCTGAAAGCAAATGTGTCAATAGACATTTGCTTGTCATTATAGTAAATTTACACTATATTGTCGTTATCTCGAATAAATTAGCATTAGAGAACTTTCGCTAGGAGAAGGAACGAAGATGATGTGTCTTTTTTCTTCTCTTCTTCGTCGTGTTTTTCCGTGAAAGCATAACGACCTTTAATCTTGTTAAATTCATCTGTCATCAGTTTAGTATGACTGCTTTTACTGATGATTGTGATCATAACTGACTTGTTCTACTCCCTCTCTCTCTCTTATCTTCTCTTCTCTTCTTCTGTTTCCTTTATTCCCTTTTGTTTGTTTGTCGAGTCTTTTTGGCTCATCTTCTACTCATTCGTTCGTTCTTTTCTTTTCCAAAGAGTGAGACATGTCTTCTTCTTCTTCTTTCTCTTTTCCTCTTTCTCTTTGCTTTAAAAGATCGTTCTTTAATTTCCTTGTGCTTTGCTTACACTCTCCTTCATCCTTCTTTCTTCAACCATCACGTCGGTCGACCCATTTAACAGAACATAACGACACGCGATGAACGTCGTCTCTACTAGAAAGACAAACTTCAATCTTCTCATTCTTTGCAATGTAACATTTTCATTGTACACCTTGATGGCAAAAGAAGAGATTATTGCGAGACATTTGCAAAATTATTGTACTTAGTTTTAGATAACATCAAATGACAATGATTAATCTTGGTCAGATGAGAATTTCGACGATTTCTTCATGATCTACTAGAAAGAAAAAGCCAAACGCGATCTTGCCCGATATGTTCAAGTGTTTTCCATTACCGTTTTGTAATCGAAATTTGGAGCAAATTGATAAACGTCATTGTAACCTAACAGCAGTGCCAGATGACGTACTTCGTTACACACGTACATTAGAAGAGTTATTACTTGATGCTAACCAGCTTCAAGATTTGCCTAAGGTTGTTTGAAACAAAACATGAAAATGGTTCTGATTGTTTTTCTCTACTGTTGTTTGATTATTATATCTTAGGGCGTTTATCGGTTAACACAATTACGTCGTTTAACATTCAGTGACAATGAAATTCAACGTATCCTACCTGATATTGGACAACTGGTCAATCTTGAAGAACTTGATTGTTCAAGAAACGGTATGAATGCGAAGAAATGATTTGCAACGTTTAGTTTTCTTCTCTTTGAAGACATAGCCGAAATTCCGGATAACATTCGCCATTGTCGATCATTACAAAAGCTCGATTTCAGTGGAAATCCATTAGCCAATAAGTATGTTGACACATCACAAGAAGTCGTAAATCCGAACACTCTTCTATTTTCAGCCTTCCATCTGGTATAATTCATCTGCGTCAATTACGTCAGTTGATATTAAACGATGTTTCGTTGACGGAGTTACCCAGAGAAATTGGCAGGTAGGAGTTCGCGGGAATTGATGATTTCAAGATTTTTGATTTGTGATATTTTAGTCTGTCGAATTTGTGTGTTTTGGAAATTCGAGAAAATTTGCTCAAAATTCTCCCTGACTCACTTGTACAATTAACGAGACTTGAATCATTAGATTTAGGTTCGAATGTTCTCGAACAACTTCCAAATCATATTGGTCATCTCCACTCATTGAAAGAATTCTGGTTGGATTCCAATGAATTAACCGAATTACCACGTGACATCGGTCAATTGAAACATCTACAATGTTTAGATGTTTCAGAGAATAAATTAACTTATTTACCAGATGAAATCGGACAGTTGGAATCGTTAACGAATTTGGAGTTGTCAGCGAATCATGTCGAAGAATTGCCGAAAACAATCGGACGATTGAAAGAACGTTTGTTAATCATGAAAATCAATTCGAACAGTTTGACTAAATTATGCGAAGAAATCGGTCAATGTTCAGCACTAACGGAGTTGATCCTAACAGAGAACGCTCTTACTGAACTTCCAAAAACGATTGGAAACCTAAAGAATCTGACAAACTTAAACATTGATCGCAATCAATTAACATATCTCCCTGTCGAAGTAATAAACTCCATTTCTTTCCACGAAAAATCTTCATTTTGTAATTTAGATCGCCGGATGCGAATCATTAGGCATGTTGAGTTTACGTGATAATCGTTTAACACATATTCCATCAGAATTATCTCAACTAAGACATTTACACGTGTTGGATTTATCGGGAAATCGTTTATTAAACTTACCTTGTACATTACTCGATTGTGATTTGAAAGCGATCTGGTTAGCTGAGAATCAGGCTCAGCCGATGTTGAAATTCGCGACGGATGTCGATTTGGAAACCGGTCAGAAAGTTTTAACTTGTTATTTACTCCCTCAGCAACAATATACGACATCGTCAACTGGTAAGATTTCATTGATATTTAAATCGTTGAAATTTTTTTTTCGCCATGTGTGATTAACCTTTGCGAGTTTGAATAGTAATCCATTTTGCTTTTTTCGAATTTCGACAATCAGTTGTCAGTGATCATGTTCTTGCGTCTACATCGTCGTCCTTTGTATATCTATTTCATTGATGATGATCATGGGGGAAATAACGAATGGTAAAGTAGCGATGCTTGAGGCTTTTTCGGCAGGGAAATGGACAGAGATTCGTATTTCTTCGAGTTGAAATGTTGAAAAATGTTTTATTTAGAAAATCTTCTCAATACATCGAGATGTCAAAATATTAGCACGGAAACGCCCGTTCCGCGACAAACCTACTTTCAACAGGATGAATCGATCAATGATGAACGACACGAACGTACGGGTTCGGTTAAATTTGCAGATCAAGCCGAAGAGAACAAAGAGGTATGATACTGCCTTTGAGAATAACGTTCAGCATTGTGTTTTTCCGATTGAATAGAGTTCATTACAACGACACAATACTCCTCATCCAAAAGATTTACGATCATGGAGAAATAAAATGGTAAAAAAACTTCAAAGTGATGCTAATTCACCTCAACACGACCATCCAAATCCATCCCATTCAAAAAATCATATACATACAGATTCATCTCATCCGTCCATCTCGTCGGGAACATCAAGTACTCAACATAATCGTTTCACCACGAATAAGAACTCAATCATAGCAGCACATGATTCGATTGATTACATTCCACCCGAAATCTCCTACGATACTCATGATAGTTCCGATGTAAATCGAATTTTTCTCTCTCGTTCGTTCGATGCAACTCGATTTCTCTTTCAGAATGATCATGATGAAAATCCCGGTGAACATCTAGCATACGTTGAAAAGCATGTGGAATTTACCGATGACGCTCACAACGACGATGAAGATGAAAATACGAAACAAATTCATACTCAACAAAAACTTCATCGACGTGATACTCCACATCATTTGAAGAACAAACGTATTCTCAATCAAGAACACAATCCCGTTACACTAGATGTGCGCCTTATCGAATGTACTTTTCAAAAGTCATGCGATTTTTTACTTTTTCAGCATGTTATATTGCATAGTCCAACGAAATCTTCAATAGCGAGCGGAAGAAAGGACGTAAGAAGACATTTATAGTTCATTTTATACCGATCATAAACTTTGTGCTTCTCTCAGTCGACATCATCAACGACACAAAGCAATACTCGACCAATGACGATTCAACATGAACAGATCACTGTTACTGTTCATCGACCGAACAACACCGGACTTGGCATCAGCATTGCTGGTGGAATTGGTTCGTCGGCCTACAAGGATAATGATTACGTACGTAAGAAAGATTATTAATACCTCGTCTTAGTCACTTTCTCGTGCGAATTCATAATTATCATCAAACTATCACCTGTCATAACAAAGTTATTAACTTAAATATACTAATCGGAAATCGTTTTCAGGGAAAGATAATATTCATCCATTTGATTTTTGTTTAGGGGATATTTTTAACAAAGGTAACGGAAGAAGGTCCGGCTGGTCAAGCTGGTTTACTCGCCGGTGATAAACTTCTCTCAGTCAACGGAGTCTCGTTGACCAATTGCGAACATACCACAGCTGTCTCCACGTTAAAAAAATCTGGTGATGAGTTCGACGTAGTCGTTTTACGCGAAGTTCTTCGATCGTCGGATGATAATCTTTCCAAAGATGAAACAAGTTTTTCGAAAGAAGGTGAAAAATACTCCACCGTTCTTCATCGAGATACCAAACAAAATGGTCAATTTGGATTCTCAGTTGCGGGCGGAGTCAGTTCGGGCAATCGTACTGAGAACTTGTACGTATCAAAAACAAATAATCAAAATTCCTTAGCGACTGGTGATCGAGTTTTGTCGATCAATGGGTGCGATACATCAAATTTAACTCACGATCAAGCGATTGATTTGATTAACAATGGCGGAAGTGATTTACAATTAACATGTTACCGAGAAAGAACAGCGAATGGAACTTCGAACTCGTTATCGAAAGTTATCGATAATACCATTGAAGTTTGTAGAATATTCCCGAGACGAGTATTGTTATAAATTTCACTTTAGGAAGCACATGTGGTGAAAGGAAACGGTCCGATGGGTTTAAGTATTGTCGGTGGGAGTGATCAAGCATGTCCACCATTCGGAATGGACCAACGTGGTGTATTTGTTTCAAAAGTAACCTTTGTAGACGGAAAAATATGTAGATTTGTCATGTTTGTAAATAGATTCTTCCTGATGGATCGGCTTCACGGACGAATCTTCGCGTCGGCGATCGAATATTGAAAGTTAACAACCAAGATATTACTCAAGCAACACACTTAGAAGCTGTTCAAGCGCTTTTACAACCAACAAATGAAGTCGTTCTACTTGTTCGTCATGAACCACAACCACTTGGATTAAAAGTACGATTGAAATGCGAATATTCTCTTCATTTTGTCGATTTTTCCATTCTAGGAAGTTGTTCTGACAAGGCAATCAAACGAGGCACTTGGTATTCGTATCAATGGTGGTGTAGATGGCAAACATATGAATCCCGATAATCCAGAAGATGACGGAATATTTGTTACTGAAGTTTGTTCTTTCTCACGAATATCTTTGATTCCAATTCTTCCACGTATGTTCCTTCTAATCGCTTAGGTCAAAGAGAATAGTCCAGCATCTGGATTATTAACAGTTGGTACTCGAATATTGGAGGTAGGTTTGCAAATTTGATTCTTTAGTACGTATACCTCACTTTGTTGAAACCACTACCGTCATGATTCGCAATGTTTTGCCTCATTCGTTACGTGTTCATATTGATGTCGTCCTGTTGTTTGAACGTTTATATGATTTGACTCAGCTAATTGTAAGTATAAATCCAAACTAAAACCTACGTGTACACACAATGGTTGATTGATCAATCGAATGAATTATGTCTTTTCCACATCATCTGTTTCGTCTTTTCTCAAGCCGCTAATGCTTCATGTATCTTCGTCCATACGCTTAGAATGCCGCAGTGTTCACCTATTACCAACAATATCGATTCTTCTAGGCGGTGAATTGTTCGTGTCCGCAACGATGGTTTTGTTTATCACATAAATCTTCTTCAATTACTAGTACATCCTCATCCATAGTATCAACACCATCGTCGATCGACAATGGAACAATACGAGATTATTGTGAAACAAGTTTAGACGATATCGTTCATTTAAGAGGCCTGTTAACGCTAGAAAAGCTATCATCATTTCATGTTAAACGTACACGATCGAGTGGATACATCATGAAAAAGAAACGACGAACGACACGTCAACATAGGAAAGCTCGTTCATGTTGTCTATCCGCTTTGTTTCATTCGACCGAGAAAACTTTCACTAAGAAGAAAAAAGATATGACATTTACAGAACAAATCCTTGCGCCAATCGTCACATTAAAAGATTTGATATCTAGTTCATTCTCTCTCTCGTCTTTATCGTCATCATCGGCAAGTGATCAGAAATCAATCGCACCGTTACCGGTCATCAAACACGAAACTCCGCAGTTTTCATGTAAATCTCTTTCATTCGATCCGTCATTACCGCTCTCGTCGACACCGAAAACATTCCTTGTACACTCTTATACCTCTCTATCGAATTATCGAATCAAACAACAATACTCTCTCGATGAACAGACTCATACGGAGGAATGTCTTTACTGTTCGAATGAAAATGCTCTACCACAGAAATTAGACTCAAATAATAATCAATTCGATCAGATCTCTCTTCAATCGATGAATCTCTTTCATGCCGTTGAAATGTACCTTTCGTCGAGCAATTCGTCGCATGATGTATTTGATTTATCTTCGATCGCCTCCGAACAACATTTAAGTTTTCAGGAAACAAAACAACTAAACCTTTGCGAAATCAATGAAATTATCTATGCGATTCATACTGATATTGATAACGATCAAGAACGAAATGAAATACTTGATTCGCTGGCCGCATCCTTACGGCAAGTTGCTGAAGAGACACCTGTTGTCCTTCCGGACGATCAAGTTCAACCGACGGTTGATCCGCAACCGGAACCAGCGCCTGTGCCACCTCCGGGACTTGGTCAGATCTTAGCTCGAGCCGTTATGTATGATGTTGTCATGAGATTATTCAGCTTCTATTTATTGTTATTGATGTCCTATGGAAATTTATTTTAACTTTTACAAAGCAATCTTTGTATTTTCTTTTCTAGTCTATTTATGTAACGAATGAGGCAAAATATACCTTTATATTAGTGACGGGTGTTCCATCATTTCGCTTTTCTTATTGTATATTTCTACATTTTCTTAATCTAGGTGAATAATCAAAGTCTATTTGGTGCTCGATTGGACGATGCTCAGAAATGGTTGAGCGTACAAGATCAGAATATTCACTTGATCGTCTGCCATGGTTATACACCAAAAGAAGTAAAGTGATTTCTATCGAATTTGCTCGAGTTTTGATCTCTTTTGGTATCTAGGCGATCAATTCAAATAGTCCAAATTTTAGTTTGAACAAAAAACCGAAACAAAATGATGATGTTCCCGTGTCAACACAAAAATCGCCTTCACCAATAGTTTCAACGAGATCGAATGGTACTTTAAATTCGAAAGTTACCAGTCCGATTGTAAGCAGAATGGTTTTACCGACTATTCTCTTGACATAAGTTTTTATTTAGTCGTCGCCACCACCGCCGGTTGCTGCCAAACCGAAATTTCGTCCATTAAATACTCAAACAAACCCAACAAATGGAGCTAATCAAAAGTATCCATCCTCTGCGCGAATTCAACCACAAAACGGTTTTGAAATCGATGAAGTTAGCCTATCATTGCATAATTATTCCAATCATCGAGCCATTTCTTTGTAGTCTGATATGTCGATCTCCGAATCGGAAAGATCGTTCAATGATAAGAAGAAATTTTTCGAAAGTGCCGTGAAAGACTCAGTCCCAACACCAAAACGTACGTTTCAAATTCAGTTTTGACTCCAATTTCCCTCGTTTTCAATAGCTCGACAATTCAAGTACATCAACGACCACGAATTAATCCAAATGAAACACGAAGAAGGTAAGTTTGAGTAGAAAACTATTTTCCATTCGAGTACCATTCGCCTAATCACTTCCGCTGTTATGTCACACTAGAAAATATGTTTGAAATATCTGTATATACGTAATAAGCATGTCCAAACAGATTACTTCTGCATTCACTCATGCATATATAATTGCTCGATTTAATCTTTTCATATGATAGACCAAAAAGTCAAATCAATGAGTCCAAATGAACTTCTTCATTCGCGAACAATGCTTGTCAACGATCACAAGGAGTCCGAATTGATACAAACCACCTTATCTCAATATCAAACGCCAACCTATCTTGCTAAGTAAGTTGTTTTCAATCTTCTGAACTCTTCATGAAAAGATAATTTGCCTTTTTGTTAATATAAATTCATCTCACATCTTAGGCAACCGTCATCATGGGGAAAACGCGTGCGAACTATTTCGCTCGCTAAATTTTCCCATTATTTGTGAGTGATGATTGCATATCTGGGCAGCTCGAAATCTTTTGTTGTTCAATTTCGATGAAATACATTCGTATTTTTATCATTTAGACCCGAAGAAGATGATGATGACCTTATTCCACAACGACAATCTCGGAATATTCCTTCAAATGCAAGGTAAATAAGGGCAAGACGAAGTTGAATGCATGATTCACATAATTGCTTCGATGTAATCTATTAGAGTAACCTTGCTCGAACGTGATACCGCTTCTAATCATACTATGCTTTCGAAATTCGCTATTGGTAATTGATTACATTGCTCACTCTTTCGATAAATTCCCACATTTTCCATTTGAACTTAGAATCCGGTATGACATGATTCAAAGTGATCTGGTGTAGAATTCATCATCAATCAAAATTTATGCAAACTATTCTTTGTATATTGCTTTACTCGCCAATTGGACCTACTGAGCGTCTTCACTTGTTTTTTAATAAATTGTAATTAAAGTCATCTTGTTCTTTTTGTTTCGAAAATAATCTAATTACTCTCGTCGCTTTTGTTGTTATTGTACTTCGTCTCTCGTTTTCTTTTTATATTCTTGTTTGTTCTTCACCACTCGCATTCAGTTTTTCTTCTTCTTCTTCTACTTCTTATCAGTTTTTTCTCTCTTTCCTAAAGTAAATATAATGCGAATTTATGCTGCCTTGTTTTTTTCTATATCTATGGCAACTGAAAGTAAAGTGTGTTGCTATATGATCTTCAAAGATGAGTTCTCTTTCTTTCTTCTTACGCGTTTGCTCTTTGCTGATGGTAAAAGGTGAAGANATCAAATCATTTGTCATACTCGAACAATCCTCTGATCGAGGTTAATCTTACCGGCGCGATTTCTCCACAAACAGGAGCAAAAACACCTGCCAAAGTTTCATTTTGTATTTCCTTTGGTAAACCCGTTATATAGATAACATGTCGCAGAAGAGCATTTTCATCACCAGGTTCTATAGAAAAACAAATCGTTGTAAAAACAAACCAAATTCAATGACTTTGTCCACACTCGACACGACGCTATGAGGAAAAGAACATAACGAAATAAAATCAACACGAACGCTGATGAAATAGATAGAAAGAACGCTAAACATCATTTGATTACTTGTTTTATACCACACATACACACATAGATTGAAACGCGAAAGAGATCTGCTCATTCAAATGACACTCAGGAATGATTTCGTTTAATTTACTTTTCGTGTTTCAAGGAAGTACGTCTTATGAAATCGAAGCAAAAACACAAAATATAAACTGCTGAGCGGAAATAAAGATTAACGAAAGAAAAAAAAAACATATGAGACTTGAGTACTTACCATCAAGTTCACGTTGATAGCCCCCTCGCGGTGGCAAACTGGAATACACAAGAAGATAGTAGTAGAACAATAATTGTTGTGAAGATAAATTGTCAAAGAAAAGAAAATAAACAAAGAAAATAACACAAAAAACAAGGAAACGCCACTTCTAATATTCGTTTTTTGGATTTTATATGTGTACAGAAAAGTTTTAGATCACACTAGCTTTAAATTTTCTTTCTCTGATCAATCAACCTAAAATGAGACAAATGTAATTGTTATTTCAATGTGAGAAAATTAGATATTCCGATTGGACTTTGTTCCTAGAAAGTAGAAATAATAGAATATCAACTGATTAAAACACATTATACATCAAACACAAAAATGTTCATTTGTTTGAGTTTACCGACACATGAAAACGGAAAACTTAAGAAAAAAACGTATAACAATATCGAACGATCGATAGAAGAACACAATAGTTTGAACAAATAAACTTCAATGACTTTTTTCGGAGAAACTTTTTTCAAATGATTCACTTACCGATAATGTGTAGATTGAGGTTGTTGTGGAATATAATGCATTGGATGATGTACTGGAGCAGAAGGATAATACTCGGGACGACGAGGAATCATACCAGCTGCTGATGGAGGTGGTCCGTAGGCATGTGGTGGTGGCGGAGGTGGGCCCATTGCTCCAGACAGATGACTACCTGGTGGAATACCATACGCACCATGCGGTGGCGGTGGAGCAGAAGGATAAGGCTGATAGACGCTTGGTGGCGCCGCGCCATTTGCTGCCGGTCCGGTTTTGTACGGAGAGTAGGTTGCACCTGGTGGTGGTGGTGGTGCACCAGCATACGCACCTAGAAGGAGTGAATAGATACAGAAAGGAGAGAAGTGCTGGCAATCGGTATACCTGCCGCACTCGCAGCATAGTCGTACGAAGCATAATGGGCAGCGGCAGATGTAGGCGGCGGTGGTGGTGGTGTTGCACGTCTTGAATCGTATGCATAAGTTGCGGTTGAAGGTGATGTACCATATGTAGCAGAATAAGATGTCTGACCTGCTGTCGCTGTCGGCGGTGGAGCAGCCGCTGAGCTAGCAGTAGCTGATGTTGGATATGCATAAGCGGTAGTGGGATAACCGGAATATGGATCTACAGTTGCATAAGATGAACCTGGTGCAGCATCTAAATCGTCAACAATCGAGTTCTATTCAATTCATTGATTAGAATTATTTTACTTGACGGATAAGCTGCAGATGCTCCATAAGCATCATATGCTCCTGGTGGCGGATATGACGCACCTGCTTCATACCCTGCATAGGCTGAATATGTCGATGACGCACTTCCATCATATCCATAGTCATAGGCTGAATAATCAAAACTAAATGATATTCCTTTTTTTTCTCTAGATATACATTGCATAGCGGAAATACATACGCTGGTTGAGTGGTAGTCATCGTTCAATAATAATTTATCTAGAAACATCGAAAACAAAATAATCATCAATCTCTGTTTAAAAAATCAACTTTTTCTTGCGAGTGTAGATGTAGGAAACAATTCAGATATTTAAAAGATCAATGACTTCAACATGATATGCATAGCATCTCATTGTCTGCATGTACATAATGAAATAAAGAAACGAGAAAAAAAACTTACTGGAGCATTTTCTGTCTCGATCAACATTCTTCTGAGAAAGATGTCGTACAATATCGAAGAAAATATCTGTTCTTCTCATACAGAATCGCAGAGAATGCTTCATTCATCTTTCACTAAATACATTCCAGACAAGAAGAGTTTGCATAGCATGTGAATGCATTGAAAAAAAATCACGGATGTCCTTCTATGATGGTGTCATGTCAATTGCAACAGCTTGCCGAAGATACTTTTCATCTTTTAATATGTCGAGCATAAAACGAGCTACGTTTGCTCGTGGAATTCGATTAGCTGTTGATTGATCAGGAAAAAAATATTCATTTTCGTTGACTTTCACTTCCTTTTCTAAATAAAATCTATTGGATACGATTTAACAGAGAAATCTTCGCCGTACCAATCATACGATCATCCAGTAAACGAGGTGGACGAACGATCGTGTAATCTAAATCTTGACATTCTTTCTCAAGAAATTCTTCCATGACATACATGGAATCTAAATGACGACCAATCATCGGACGAATGATAAGTTTGAACTTGAACGGATACTTTTCAGGTTGATCTAAAGATATGATATAAGGAGAAGAATTTTGATAAGAGAAGCATTTGATTTACATTTCGTGTAGAAAGCAGTTACACATATCAAGCGCTTTATTTTCGCATTTCGCATTGCAGTAACAATTGATTTCATCGAATCTTCGTAGAACGTCATGCCTGCTATTTGCAAACCGGGTTGGCCAAGTGCTGACAAGACAGCTGTACGTCCTTCCATATGTGCAGTCAGATCGAGTGGATTCATCAAATCACATTTGATAACCTAAAATGACAATGTTTTTGCTCGCGTTCTTTCAATCATTGTCGTACTTCGAGATGTTTGTGCTCTAGGTGTGCAAGTTTTTCTGGGCTTCTGACAAGAGCCGTAACTTTATAATTTCGCTCCAAAGCTTGTTCTACAAGCTGTAAGCCGGTATTACCCGTTGCACCTAATACGACGATATTTCCTTTCGTACCATCCAACGAAGTCGCCATCGTTCTTGTTTCAATAATAAAAAGAGACAAATGAAATGAAAAAAGTAAATACGTACGTATATTCTTTTGCTGGTAAATCACTTCTACCAATCATTTCAGCGCTGTTAACGACATCTACTGAAGCCAATATTTCTCTCAGAGGTTACGCTATAGCAACAAGTTTACTGAAGACTGAAACTTTGTCTTGTTGATAATATTTCTGAAGTTTGTAAACGAAAGATTAGTGTACGAAACTGTCCGTTGAATTGAATGACAATGGATTCACATTCAAAGCAAAGTTCTGAGAAAGAAAATGAATCTCGACATTCTCCTCAACAAGAACATCACGAACAACAACGACACACCGGTTTCGAAGATACTATGCGAAGTGATCATAGTTCTGTGATGGATTTCAACAAAAGTGGCATCTTCGTCGAACGTACACTTGCATTGATTAAACCAGATGCAGTTCATAAAGCCAATGAGATCGAAACGATTCTCCTCAATCAAGGTTTTACTGTTCTACAAGTTCGTTGTTTTGATTTCATGTTTGACTATGGTGAATGGTTCGATGTTTAGAAACGCCGTGTCATCTTAACTGCTGAACAATGTTCAGATTTTTACAGTGAACATTACGGAAAGAAGTTTTTTCCAAGTTTAGTTGCATTCATGACAAGTGGTCCCATCGTTGCCATGGTTTTAGCTAAAGAGAACGCCGTTCAACAATGGAGAGAGCTAATCGGACCAACAAATTCCACTGTAGCAAAAGAAACTCATTCAGAAAGGTAAAATAATCGAAGATCTCATCTTGATGTATTCATTGGTATCATTTATAGTATTCGAGCATTGTTCGGAACAAATGAACAAAAGAATGCAGTGCATGGCAGTGATAGTGAAGTTAGTGCTGAACGTGAGATTCGATTTTTCTTTCCAAATTGTAAGAAAGAATATATTCACGAAAAAAAACATTTAGTAAACGGACTTGTATTTTAAGGCATTGTCGAACCAATCCCAATGGGACAGCCAGCGAAAGATTATCTGGAACAAAACGTTAATAAGACGTTAATGAAAGCATTGACAGCCTTATGTAAAGAAAAACCGAAAGATCCAGTCGTAAGTAAATATTTGATTCTAATCAATTGCATTTTCTCTCTTTTCTAGTTATGGTTAGCTGACAAATTAATGGAAATCAATCCATACAAACCAAAATTAACTCAAGTTCATTCATCATCTCCTGTAGATGACGTCATTATCATCGAGTGAATTTGTTAAATAAAGACTTTTGAAATCGAGTGTCATCACAGACTCGTATTCCGAAAAACTATTTTTTCTCCTTTTGGTTTCAAATAGAAAATGAAAGAACCTGCAATAGAGAAGGATTGACATTCTCTCATTAGCAATCATAGGACGCTGATGAGTGTTAGCATTAGATTCTTTATTAACCAAATCACCAATAAATAAAGGAATAAAAATATGTGTTGATTAGTAAAATAAAATTGAGAAACTACTTTTATGAAAGAAATGATTGAGGCATCATATTCGCCATATGAAAATACCGACAAAACTCGATGTATTATTTCGGTTCCTTTTTGGAGAAGAAGAAATCTCGAATTGTATCGTAAATTGTTCGAACAGTGGGAATGGCTTCTTGAATGTATTTTATTACCGTTTTCGCGGAATCAATGACTTTTTGAATGGGTGATATGGGCGATTTCTTGTCGTCTGGTGTCTTTGTTGTTGTTTGTGCTTCAGCTCGCTTCTGTTTCATCAAGTTTTGATGATCTCGTTTTTGCATTAGATTTGAAGATTTTCGTGCCGCAAATTCTCGATTATAGATCTCTTCGATCTCACGTTTTGTTGGAACAAATGCACGTCTTGGATATCGTTTATCTTGATCAGCTTTCGAGTTCGCTTTAGGACTGTAGGAACCAAAAATACGTAAGCCAAAATGTTGTAGTTCACCGGTATCTGAATATTCTGCGTTCGGATCACAGGTTTCTATACGTAGTATCCATTCACCAATTGGATTTTCATTCCAACTATGAGATGTCATGAATGGAAAATATTGAATGCCTAAAATAAGGAATAGAGTTTGAATATTTTTTTGGTACAAATTCAGACCTGCACTGGTTATATCATTTGGACGACAGGAAAGTACTTCTGATATCGTTCCACTTGGTGATAAGACGGATATTTTCAAATCACCACGGCGGGGAAAATCGAACGAGATGTTAGCAACGACATGTTCAACTCTTGTGATCGGTTCACATTGGATCACTTTTATTGGAACTTCTAGTTTTCCACCGATCACGATTTTACTAAAAGAACAAGATAGAAACAATGATTAAAGACTCGTGTCAGAAGAGCGTATATATTTACAGCGGTCCGCCAGTATGTTCTTGATAACATTCATATCTTGGCGGCACATTCGTCCAATTTTGTGCCAGCGCAACCATTTGAGCAACATCAAGCACGCCGAAACCAAATTTATCACTAACATGATAACCAGCTCCATTGATAAGCCAATCATCTGCTTCCAGTAACGATGGAATTCGCGCTGTTTCAGCCACAATATGCATAACATCACGATAGGTTAATTCTGGATTGGCTTCTAACACTAAAGCAAAGGCCCCGGCAGCCATTGGTGCGGCACTTGATGTTCCGGCAAATGTCGTCGTGCATTTTCCATCAACGTCGGATGCAATAACACCGACGGGAAATCGTTCTTCATTACTAAAAATTTCATGTTGACCACCGGTATACGCAACAGCTAGTGTTGATGGACATTTTTCAACAAAATAAGGTGTTTCACCAAGGTGATTAATAGAACTGATTGAAATCACGTTGTGATGAGACGCATAACCATCGGCACCGCAATCATCTCCCTTACTGCCACCATTACCAGCTGCCCAAACGTATACAGTACCTTTTCCCTGACGTCCCTAGAACGTAAGATCAACGATTTTATACAGTGTTCTTCTTCAAAACAAAAGGCTAATTACATGTGTAACACCATACTCCAATGCAGCCCTAGTCATACCGTGAGGCGCTTCCATCTTCGTGCCATCATCGGCCGGTCTGAACGAAAAGAAAGAGAAATGAAAACTTAGTCTAAATGTCTTTCAAATACGAGAATCTCACCCCCACGAAGCACTTTTAATGTCCGTATTTTCGACAAATAATGCAATAGCACGAGCTTCTAATAGTGTTGAAATTGGCCCATCCAAAACTCGAATACCTGTACAGACCAAACCTTGCATGATTTCAAACTGGTCAAATTTAAATTATCTTACCAGCTATGTCTCCATTATAAGCTACACCGACTCCACAAACTTCATTGTTTGCTTTGGCAGCAGCTGTTCCAGCACACTGTGTACCATGGCTGTCAAACAAAAAAAGCTCAAACATGTTGAATTCTATTTCATAGCTTTTAACCTTACCTATTTTGACCATCGTACGAGCTTGGAATGGGGTCATGTTTAGGATCATCGAGGTCATTCAGATCGTAACTGAGATCGGGTCGCTAATCAAACAAAGAAACGCTTTCATGATTCGATGTTTTATTTTCTTAAATCACATACGTAATGATCAGCTAAGTCTGGATGTGGATGGTCGAGACCATCGTCTACGATACATACGGCTATTCCTTTACCAGAATAACCAGCTAACCAAACTGGAGCAACGTTGATATCAAAATCTGTTGGTGATTTGAATTGTCCTTCATTTTCCTGTTAATAATCAAAATTTCTTTGCTAATCTCTTTTCGCAAAAGAAGTCACTAACCAGATACCACTGCTTTCTATACAAATTGTCATCGAATGAAAGTTTGAACTCGGTAGATTCGACGAAGTGATACTGCTGGCTTAGTCGAGTCTCATGCTCTCTTACTTTATATTTTTTATAAAGATCGATTAATTTATTATCAGAAACAAAGTTCCGTTTTTGCCGTTCTAACCGTTCCCCAACAGTTACAGATGCAATCTAAATAAAATTCGCAATTCTATTTTATTTTATCATTAATTAAATTTGATTTTACTCGTTCATCTTCTTTAAGTTCATCAATTAATTGATTGACTTGACGTTTCGACCGGCGATTCCGCTTCCTTCGCACTTGAAAATGATACATGTCAACACCGGGAATCTATTCAATCAAATACTCTTATCGATCAATAAAGAATCTCTGCTTTACTCACATGACCAGCACTAATCACATGTTTTTCTTGCGCGATTAAATCCGCAATAAGTTGATCCCGGTTCTCATCTGTTAGTCGAACCCCTATATCAATATATTCCTCATCTTCATCGATATTGTCCGATCCATTGGTGTTTAAGATGTTTAAAAACAAAACTAATAAGAAGCACTGGAAAATTCTTCTTGATGTTACATTTTTATACATCTAAAATGAACACAATGGATATCGATCGGTTGTCAATGACGCATTCCATAGTTTTTGCATTTCTGTTAGCGACGAAAAACACAGAAACTACCCTGAATAAATACAGTTTGATTGTGCATTTCAGTGAAGCGTAACGATGACAAGTCATTTGCTTTCATCACTCCGCTTACGAGACCGAATTTTACTCAACGATGAAAAGAGACTTCCATTTCGAAATCAATCGTCTGACCTGCGAAATTCCAACTGACTTTCAATTCGTGCCCAACCATTTCTAAACCAGAGATACGGAATACCCTGCAAAACATTCATAGGGAACACGATGACTGTATTCCGAAACGGTAGAATACGAAAAATAACTTGTGTAGGTAGAGAATGAAAAAGAACATGCGTAGGAAACATTTATTAATCGTTTGTAGACCGTAAAGATTCGAACATACGAATGATATGTTTGTGTACAGGTGAATATGGATGGGCGACATGTGTAGAGATAGATTTTATATAACATGTCATGATGATTAGCGACATCCACAAATCGGTCAATGAGAAAACCGAAGATATGTTGTTGTTGTTTTATGAATAAATAGCGTCGATGTCAATCTGCCATGGAAAACAAAAATTTCGAAAATTGTTGTGTTCTGTTATGAAACAAACGAAGCATTGTTATTCAAAATAGACGTCTGATTCAGTCGAAAAGAAGATGGTGAGATATTTCATCTGAATACAGAGAGCAAATCATGTCAAATTTCGGCGTAGGATTTCATAATCTTCTCAAACACATTCATTATCCCGGATTGAATCAATATGAACCTTACAATTTCGATTGGTTTGTTTATCAACCAGGTCTTGAACCATTTCTTACTTGGATAGTCAACAATCTCTCCGAAGACAATTTCTTATCCGAAGACGAATTGAATCGGTCCGTATAACCCATTTCTTTCTTTCTTTTCTTTCAATTGTTTCGTCCTTTAGATACGCGTTATTAAGTAACGAAGTTATCGAAAACAATGATGAACGGCAAAAACTTTTGGATATTCTCATTTCATTGGACAATGGGTAATTGGACACGAAACATGAAAATATCGATGTTGATTTGAATGAATATTTAGGAAAATGGTCATTCCATGGACAAATTATCAACGGAATCTAACTGAACAATATTCGTGTATGAAAGCACAGAGCCAAGCATTGAAATGCCAATTAAATTGGAAACAGCAGCAGTATAAAAGTTTGTTGATGAAGGGACCGAAAGGGAAAGAAAAGATTCGAGAAACTCGCCGACAGATTGAACAGTTATTACAACTTGTAAGAGAATCAAGGTGAATCTTTGATTAGATGCGATTTTTAGTGAATTTTAGTCATCACCACAGAATCTTCTTCAATCGACAACTAATCCACAGAGTATCCAAAACATTGGAATGAATTTTCTTCAAATGGAAAAGAATTATTTGTCTGCTCTTCAAAATATCTGGGTAAACTTCATTTCTTCCACTTTCCCAGCTCCCCGAAGTTTTCCTTTGATCAGGTCGATGAAAATCTCTATGAACCAAATCCAAACAACGATTTAATCACTCAACTAAACAATCGAACCGTTAAGTACGTTCTATTTTCTCTTCGTATTCTCGATTAGGTCTTTTTTCATCCTCGAAGGCTCGTTCGATTAGAAGTCGAATCCGCTTTAGCAAGTGTCGAATTCGAAACCCTCAAATCCCAACTACAACTATGTACTCAGTTAAAAAAGTATTTCGATTCAACGCCTATCGACGATCTCAAGTAAGTCTCTCACTGGAAATATTCCAGAGAAAATTATTATCACTAGAAAACTCGCCGATCGTCTCGCTTCCAAGTCTCATCAGCACCACCAGCAACGCACACAATATGAAAATCAATTATTAACTGTATACACATCACGCCATGAACACGCGCTTGAAACGATTTATTTGAACATTTTGGAAAAGCAATACACCACCGATCATCGTCTCGCATTGAAACAACAAATGATTCTCGATAGTCTAAATCAACACGTGCTTTTTTGTGGATTAGTTGATCAGTTACTCTCTCATCGGTTGGCATTGGTTAATCGAACAAGTGAGCAGATGACGAAGATTTTGAATTATATTCAAATGATTATCGAAAATTCGAAATCGTCGTCGGAAGTTAAGAAGATTCGAGAGGAAAAGGCGAATGAACATCTCGAATTGAAGGTCTCGAATCTGATTGAACAAGTCAAACAGATCGAAAGCGAATTCTCGAAAAAGTAAGAAAATCTTTCTTTTGAATTATTCTACTTGGTGAATTTAGTCACTCAATCGTCGATTCATTTCTTGAGTATGTCCATCGGCAAAACGACGATTTTCGACCTAAAGCAAATGATTTAGCCAATGAACTTGATAATCTCATTCAAACAAAAACAAATCAATGGAAAAATCTCAATAATGAACATATTTCATTTTAAGAAAAAAACAAAATAAATAAAATTGCATTAAAAGATGTTTGACAAAGTAATTTTAATGAAACAAAAATAGATTTTGAAGACGATACTTCAAAACAGAATGATAGTAAACGGGAAAAATGCTCTTCACTCTAATTACTGTTCGATCAGAGCGTGTGTATGAAGTACAAAACTTTCAAAAAGAACAACGTGTTCTTGGTTTTCTCCGGAGATTCTTTAGATAATTGTCTAAACTTTACCTCACAAGATTCGAATAAAACAAATTTGTTAGAGCTCGTTTTTCAAAGGAATTTAATTCGAGTTTGGCGAAGAATTCCTTTGAGATGAACGATCGGGCAAAATCTGACGGAACGATTTAACAAACGTCCTTCGAAACACTCGAGATGTCAATGTTGATAAATAGAACGATTTGATATTAATTAAATAGTAAGTATAATTACTAAGTGAAAAAAGAAACATTTGAAGAACTTTGTCGTTCGCATGATCAAGTTTGCACGCAGTAAACATATGATAAACATAAAAAATAATCCATTGTAATATTAAGAAACTTGTAGTTAACACTTGAGTAAATATCATTCGAACAAACGGATTGCCAGAGCGATCTCTGTTTATTAGATTCTATACAAAATAAAACAATAGCAAAGCTTTCTTTTTTTCGAAAACATCCGACTTACTGCTCGATAATGACTCTTCGAAACATTTCGATATGTCAGCAAAACGAATATTAACATCACACATGGAGTCAAAACTCCATGAACAAGAATGTATAGAAGCCCATTCATCAGCGGATCGATACAAACGCATCCGAGACCAGAGGCTACATCGTAATACAACGGAGAGTATAATGACATGAGACACGCGAGAAGAATATTCAAAAATATGATGCACGGAATGGCGGACAGTTGACGAATATATCGAATTGGCGATGTTAACGAACATGTACATGCGTATCGATCGATGACGGAGAGAATAAGAAAATTAATGGATAATTGAGGTAGAAAGACAAGACAGAAGAGTTTGAATTTGCATTGGAAACGACTGGAGATTTCGAGAACAATATTTTTCGGTGATCCGTGTAGATACGCTGGAAATAGATTGACAAATAAATTGATTGTATCAATAAACGATTCACAAAGCAGATAAATGCAACAACTATTAAATCGCAGTGGCAATTGAAGAAATGTAAACGCATTACCAACAAAACCAATCATACCGAGTGTAATAAATACCAATGGTAAATGAATGAGAATTTCCTGATCGATATAGACAAGTTGACGCAGGAAAAAGGTCAAAGTATCATTGGAATTTTCAGTGTCATTGGACGGCATTTTCTGGATTAGAATTCGAACAAAGAAAATGATATTTTCTGACAATGTCAGTGACCGCCTCGAGTTCTTCCTCTAAGATAAACGCTTGGCAGATATAATCACGGAAATGCGATGTAATATAAATGTCTACATAGAGCAAAAAGAAAACGAGAAAGTAAAAGAATTCTACGGAAAGCATCATTGATTAAATGAATGCAGTAAATTCAATTTGAATTCAATAGAAAAGAAGAAGAAACAAAAAAGTCGTTCTTTGTAGTGCGAGGATGTCACACGAGACTAATGGAAAAGCAACGACAATTGCAGATAATATTAATTTTTTCAGAAGAGAAAAAACTGCTCTTTTTATCGTCCAACTGAAGATTTCATAACCTACGCAATCACGGAGATGAAATACCATGCGAACGAATTAGCTAAGTAGTATTTTTTAAAGATTAACAGCTTAAATCTTTCAAAAAAAACTTATAGAATATTCCATATGGAAGAAGCCCGCTAACATTACATGACGACATTTCTTCTGTTTCGACACGCACACATAAAAAATACAATAATTTCGTGATATAACAATCACATGAATTGAACATGAAAAATCTTAGCTCGAAACAAGATAATCTAATCCCAAGATCAGCCTAGGAGCATTCATTTTTCGAGTTTAATCGTGATTGCCCACTCGCATACAGCATTATCAAAGGGAGCAGGTTTTTCAGTACACATCTCCCGTATAATTGAAACAACACGTTCAGGAACATTTCGTTGAACGCCTTCCAAAAACGAACAAAAGAAAAGATCTGCCAATGATATGGTGTACTTCAATGAACTCACGCCATGAGCACAAAACCGATATCACATACACATGCAATCAATGTAAGATACGGATGAATTTCTATTAAGCAAATTGCATACTATTTGCATTGATAAATAATTTCTAAAACCTTCACATGTCTTTAACTATATTTGTTTTCTATTAAGCGAACCGAAAGATCCTGAATAGAAGCTTGTCAGTGCAATATGCTTCGTATTAATCATATAGATCACATCGGCTATGTATTAGAGAGCTATTTTAACGAACAATGAGCTCGTTGAAACCAGAAGGAACACGAAATACGTGATGTTTCCCAAAAATCTCTCTCTCTCATTGATTGACTTACCCTCACATCTTCACCCTCATGCTTCGCTCATCAAACGATACTTCCCATGCTTTTCCTACGATAAAGCGTACATCGAGTAAAACTAAAGTCTACGCTTTTAGATTTTTACAAAATTCCTTTTAACGCTCACAATTGTTCTATATTCCGTCATGACATTTATAAACTGGCTGTCTCGATTTAATTACGAGAGAGATGTTTTACTCCTACCTGTCGACTGAATTTTTCTTTTAGAAAATTTGAATGCGTTCGCCGTAGAAGAATAATCAAAGGAGACTCGTATCATCACACGGCATTACAAAGTATCTTATTACACTAGAAACATGCTGAAATCTAAGTTGTTCTCATCCTTATTAATAAAGACAGATCTTCGATGAAAGACTTTCCTTCAATACTCGTGAACTCATTCATATGATGAAGACAATAAGTGCGATAAGATATAAACGAGATGGCAATGCATAATCTTAAAAAAAGTCTCTTATGATATGTTAGAGTCAGGAAGTCCTTTGACTGTGAAGTAAAAGAAATTTTCATGTTTTTTTTTTCAAGGAACTTCACCGAAATTTCTATTTGCACGCATGAATTGTTCGCTGTACCTCGAATGTTTTGTTTAACTGAGAACAGATACTTATTACGAGAGGATATAAAACAACACATAGAATGTGAAAGTACTTCGAATGATTACCTGTCTCAATGAAGAAAAAGAAGATGAAAATCCTCTGAAACCAAATTCGCTAAGCTTCTTAAAAGCTTATCTTAGCCCACATTTGTTGAATTAAAACGATTCCTGACTTCTTGATTCAAAACATAATACTTTTCCAAATCTCAGCTCAATGTACTCATTGTAAGAATTTCCTTGTCAGACGCGACAATTGTTAAGTCAATGTTTCGCTTGCAGATCATTCGACATTAATCACTTGATGTTTTATTAATGAGGCTATTGATCGTCCCCAGGAGACAAAGATGTTTTCTTTGTTTGTAGACTTCAAAAGTACAGATAATCATTGAGAGAAAACTCTGTTCGTCATGTTTCAGTAAACATTTTCCTTTAGGATGCAAAAAAACACATTGATCAATTAACGTCACAGGTGTGTTTGATTTATTTTCGTTCGAGGTATGCACGCGAAACTTGCTCGTCACCTTTCGTCCATTAGAATGTGTTATCGAGCAACTAATTTGCATATATGGCTTGATCAACAGCATAAAAAAGACTTCATTTACCGGCGACGAGAGATGAAAGATTTTCTATTCGATTTCAAGTGACATCTATTTTCTGTTTCAAGGCAAAGTGCCGGTTCGGGACTGGCAAAAGTAAAGAAATATTGAAAACGAAAAAGAACATAAGCAATCAAGTATATGAAATGAGAATAAACACAATAAAATATCGAAAAAAGGGTATGTACATTTCGAGAAAATGTCTGATTTGTTCTGTTCTGTTCTGTTTCTTTTTTTCTTTTTTTTCCTTTTTTTCTTCTTTTTACCATTGATTTATTTATTTTCTATGTCGTAGTTAGTCTCGTCTTCTGCCACTCGTTTTTTCATCGTTTGATCGCTTGTCCTCGATATGATCTTGTTACCGGAGTGATCAATGAACAAAGCAGAAGATTCTGCATACAAAAAAAAAGAAAGCAAAAAGAAGAAGAAACTGACGAGGAGCAGAATAAATATAAATAAGAGCCGTTTGCATGGTTTTTCTCTCTCTCCTTCTCCATTAATAGTAAATCTTTTCGAACAATTTCTTTATCTTGCACTATTGACTTTGCTAATAGATGTTTAGATATTTCCATTGAGATCTTTCTCTACTCATCAAATTCCTTCTTTTTTGACATTTAACGATTATTTCAAGGTTAGAAAACGAGTATAAAACAGAAAGAATTCTTTTTTTTCTTCTTCTTCACCACTTTTTCCTCTTTCTTCGTCCTTTAATCATCGGAATATTGTACGAAGGCTTAATTTTCTTTTCGTTCTTTTCATCATTCAAGAACCCAGCTACTTTTTTTTTTGGTTAAATGTAAAACCGTCATTTTATGCTCGACAATATGCCTGTTCGAAAGCAAGGTAATTTCTAAAAAGATTTTAGCGCCTTTGAAACAAATTCATTTGATTTAGATGCTTATCGAGCTTTGGAATTACTCGAAGAATATTATAATCGTCTTGATTCACCAGAAGATAAACCATTAAGAAATGCCATTGACAGGTAAATAATTTTCTTCCGGTGGTAATGAACAAGTCATTAGACGTTATTTCAAAAAGAAATGTGTTTTGCCTTCTTTCGTGAATCTTTTATGTTTATCCGGCGAACTGGAAAATCTAAGATATTCACTGAAATTTCCGTTGTAATTTGTTCTATTTAGAGTTATCAAAATATTCAAAACTCGACTGTTTCAAGCTCTTATTGGTACGAAAGACCTACGCGTGTTGAGTTCATATTTCATTTGATTTGCCTCGTAGATATTCAAGAATTCTACGAATCGATCCTTCTCGACGAGCAAAGCGATCGATTAGTTAAAGTCAATGCAACGCTAGATCTAGCTGATCAATGGGAAAGGCAGCCGATGCTGAAGCAAGATATTCGAGTAGCTATTGTTTTCTATTTACTTTGATAATTATTTTTTCTTCTTTCATCTAGAATGGCGCACCATCAAACACGGAATCAACAACAATAGCGCCACTTGCAACCGATAATCCATTATTACAGTCGACGATTAGTAAAGAGCCGAGTCCACGACAAGCAACAACAACGCCATTCGCGCGGATAACAGATACATTTGAGTCATCAACGCGTCCAAATACAACTACAGATGAATCTCCACAATTCAATTATGACGATCATTGGAGAGAAATTGAAGTTGACCTTCACCGAGTAAATATCGATCGAGATTCGTCGCCAGTCTTTGTCATATTGGAAGTCTCATTCTTTTTCTTTCGTTAACGCAGTCGCCTGGTGTCGGATTAGGATTTTCAGTAGCTGGAGGCGTAGATACGCCATGTATTAACGATTCGTCAGCAGTAGTGATCACGCGGATTACCGAAGGTGGTCTAGCCGATCGTGATCATCGTTTACGGTAAGCTTTTTCAAATTAATTAAAATTTGTGCGTGTTCGAAGTGAATATTTAGACTTCATGACATCATTTTACGTGTGAACGATGTTGATTTTACGAATATCGCACATCAATCAGCTGTTGATTCGTTAAAAACAGCCGGAAATGATGTGTTTCTAGTAAGATGGATATGTGCGATTTGAAAATTGCCGTCTCCCTTCTTTCTTTTCCGCAGACTGTTCGTCGTTTGGAACCGCCGGCGATGGAAGAAATCGAATTAGAGAAACCACCAAGCGCTCATTTAGGATTTTCGATTGCTGGTGGAATTAGTAATGAATATGTCAAAGGGTTTGTACTCTTATCAAGAGAAAGCAAGAAAACGAAGTTCGGAATGTTTAGAGATCATGGAATATTCATCACAAACATCATTCCGGGTGGAATTGCTGATAAGAACGGACGATTGAAAATTGGTGATCGTTTAGTACATGTGCAATCAGCGGTATAATTAGTCTTATTCTTCTCAAACACGTGCTCATTTCTTGTGCATTCAGAAAAACAACTACGATTTGGAATTTGTTGAGCATCGACATGCAGTGGAATCTATTCGTCGTGCTTGTGATGACGGTCCAAAAATAACGTTAATCGTTGGTCATCCAACAGATTATTTATCTGATGCTCAAATTTTACCAGATCAAACTAATGGACAACTGCCACCGAATCCAGAGCAAACAGAAGAAAAGACAGAGTGAGTGAGAAAAGAAAATGAAGGATGACGCGCAAAGACGCTAAAAATAATTTGATGTGAAATACGAGTGTCACTAGTGGGTTGACGTAAGATATGACAGACGACAGGCATGCAATGTGTCAAATATGATTAGGATTAATAGAGGAAAACATGTTTCTCCCTTCTTTTTCTAGTGAACGACGTGTTGTTCTTCGACGAGGACCAGTTGGCTTCGGTTTCCATATACTTGGTGGCGAGGGCGGACAAGGTACGACGAATATTTAAGTGTTTCTCATTTTCGAAAGAGAGCTTCTGTTCTAGAGAAAGGAATTTACATATCGTTTATACAATCGGGCGGTGCAGCTGATAAATCAGGTGAATTACGTAAAGGTGATCGCATATTGTCTGTGAACAATATAAATTTACGCGGAGCTTCCCACGAAGAAGCAGTATCGGTGCTTAAAAGTTGTGGTGAAACAGCCATTTTACAAGTCACTAATAAATACAACGGTTCGTCATTTCGACACGGGGAACTCTCTATGTTCTTCTCTTCTTTTCAGTAGACTTTGCTCGAGTAGAAAGTCGTAACCATGAACAGCGTAGCAAAATGACCCGTGAAACCGCTGGTAGTACAAATAGTTTGAAAACGTCGACGAAACGACAATTTTTCGTCCGGTAAGATGAACGTTCTATTGGTTCCCGGAAAATCTTTTTCTTCTGCGTTTCAGAGCGGAGTTTGACTACGATCCAACTAGAGATCCAAGCTTGCCGGGTGGACCCGGCTTAGCATTTCACGTCGGTGACATTCTTCATGTTACAAACGCAGCTGATGATTCGTGGTGGCAAGCGAAGCGTGTTACAAATGAACAGGGAGAAGATGAAGCTGGTATAATTCCATCAAAGTCCCGTGTTGAGAAAAAAGAACGTGCCCGACAAAAACGCGTCAATTTCAATCAACAACGTAGTCATAGTCGAGTACGTGGTTTCGAAATACAAAGAAAAACAAAACTTGACATTCTTCGCTTATTTTTAGAGTAGTACACTTGAGCGTGAGAAAAAGAAAAAGAAAAAATTTGGTTTATTCAACAAAAGTGCCGATAAAAAGGACACACAATCAGGCGAAGAGTCAGAAAATGAACCTGAAAACACCGAGCCTGTTCAATCCTATGAACTAATCGTTCAACATGAAAGTAAGTTCAAACACAAGAATCTCGGCGAAGGTTAAAAAATAACTTCATTAGTCTAATGCTCTAATCAGATTCATGACTTTCGAGTGATGAAAGAATACAGATGATATGATAAATATTTATGTTATTTAGTTGATTATACAAGACCCGTTATAATCTTCGGGCCATTCAAAGAAATTCTCACTGATAAATTTCTGAATGATTCACCGGATAAATATGCTAATTGCGTTCCACGTATGTATTCAGACTTGAATTAAGCGGTGAGATCAAAGATGGTTTTTGGTTTTTAGATACGAGTCGGCCGAAGCGTGAAAAAGAAGTCGAAGGTCGAGAATACTATTTTGTTTCGTCCCGTGAACAAATGGAACGAGATATACAAAATTACTTATTCATCGAAGCGGGAGAATATGGAGGAAACTTATACGGCACAAGTGTTCAAGCTGTTCGAGAAGTCGCAAATAGTGTATGTTGACAAATATCGACAAAGAAAAGTGTTCATATCACTTTGTTTCTTTAGCAAAAACATTGTATTTTGGATGTCAGTGGCTATGCAATTCGGCGGTTAATCGCGGCTGGTCTCTATCCAATCGTAATATATGTCAAACCACGTGATGTTAAATGGATTATGTAGGCAGATTTGCCGAGAAAATTTCGATCTAATTCATGATAATTGATTCTTTAGGGATAACGCGGACGGTGAAGTAAACGAAGAACATGCCCAGCAGCTTTTTGAGAAAGTAACTAAGATTGAAAAGTCGTTCGGTGATCTATTCACAGGTAGAATTCTTTCTCGAACACGAATTTCTCATAATGAAATTTGAATGATTTCGTCTTTCAGCTACAATTGAAGAAGAAACCCTAGTTGATGTTTACGATCGTATGTGCGAAATAATTGCTCATGAAGAGACAGTTACTCACGTATGGATTCCATCAAAAGAGAAAATCTAGATTGTTTTATATTTTTTATACAAATTTCTATTCTTCAGTTTTTTTCTTATTTGTTATCGAAAAAAAGATTTCTTACGAAATCGTTTTTCTTTTTGATCACTCCTCATATTTTTCATTTTTGTAGAGATTGACTAAGTTTTCCTTTTTTGATTTCTTTGTCTTGCACTGAGTATGTCTATTCGTTTCTTTTTTTTCTTTGTTGGTCAACTAGGTGAGAACTTGCAACAGTATGTGCGTATGTTGATGTTTTCTGTTTAGGTGTTTTGAATATGAACCATCACACTCAATGATTAGATGATTGATCTACTTTTTTTTTCTTCTCTGTTTTTTGTATAAATAAAATTTTGGATTGAAATTCAATACACAATAGAATAAGGAAATCTTCATTAGGCAGATTTGTTATCGAAGAAGAAAATTTGTTTCGACTTGTGTTTACAGACTCTCTCCAGTGACTTGAAAATAGATACTTATTAGTGCTCTTTTTCTTTTCTTCACGTCAATAGAAGATGATGTCATCGTCATTCGGCATATAATCAGCACCATCAAGATAAAGTTTTAGACAAACATTCCGGCGCAAGAACAAGAATATGGAACTAGTGAGGAAGAAAAGAACAGAACTCGACATATAGCGATGTAATATACTCCTGAGGTCGAATTTCTATTTCTTCTGCTTGTCTTTCATCGACATTTCTTCTCCTTTTTCTTCTCCTTTCTTTCTTCTTCTCCCCTAATAATAACACAACAGTCGAAGATTTTTCTACATCTTTGCTACTGTTGATTTAACGTTTCCGATTGATTCGTTCCTCTTGGGAAACATACGAGAAAAGGACGCATGCTTCATCTTCCTTATTAGTCAATCGAGTATACATACGTTGAGAGTGAAGACATATTTGTCTCTGCCTTTTGCATCTTCATTCCGACAAAGTTAACTTCACTATCGACTAATTGGGTAAGTCAGTAGTTAAATATCGTTCCCTCGTTTTTTTCGAGACTATTTCTCTTGATCATATTTGTATATTGAGTATAATGACAGTGAGAAGAAGAAGAAGAAGACGAAGAAACCTCGATGAAAGAATAACAATATTCTTCTTTCTTTTCTTTTAGCTTTATACTTTTTTGGCTGATGACTTCGTCCATATGCTACTGTCGCTATCTCTTCTTTGACTCTTAATGTCTTGCTATCGATCGTCATTGATTGTCGCACAAAGTATCATATATAAACAGAACGTCATCAACAAAGTGTACTTTGTCTTTCATCGTCTTAACGACTGAATATGGCAATCATTGAGTTAATGTTAGTTATATTGTTATTCGATTAAATAGGAATCTCGATAGACATTATCATGATTTGTTTAACGACAATTTTCATACATTTTCTAGTTTTAATTTGGTTTGGTAAGATTGATTGGCCGAAAGCGAGAGGAAAGATTTGGATTCGCGTTCGTTTAGGAGTTGATGCGAATGCTGAAGCAAAGCGATTGTTACATGAACTTATGAAAGATTATAATCGATATGTGTTACCTGTTCCATCGATTAATCAAACGGTCAATGTCAAACTAGGCTTGAAACTATCTCAATTGTCAGATATTGATGAACGAAATCAAATCATGACAACTAATGTTTGGCTTGAACATGTAAACATTCTTTTTTTGCTTTTTATTCAATCAAACGGTAAGCATCGAACATTTTAGGAATGGACGGATTATAAATTAACATGGATACCGAGTCAATATGGTGACATCGATGTCGTAGAAATTCCTTCATCAGATATTTGGGTACCAGATATTGTCTTATATAATAATGCCGATGGAACGTATGAAGTCAACACGATTACCAAAGCTCATGTGGTAAGTTCTGTCGATGATTTCTATTCGGAATAAATATGGATTTGTTGTAGTTCTGGAATGGAACGATTAAATGGGATCCGCCGGTTATTTATAAATCCTATTGTGCTATTGATATTCAGTATTATCCATTTGATATTCAAAACTGTTCGATGAAATTCGGTACATGGTCACATGATGGAAATTTGGTAATGATTTTTCATACGAAGGAAGTCAATGAGCTAGTTCTGTGTTCCAGGTTGATCTTTCGCATAAATCCGGACTAATATTCGTTGCTGTTGGCGTTGATCTTACCGATTATTACCCGTCGATTGAATGGGACATTCTCTCAGCAGTAAGTAGAACTTTTTCTTGTCGAAAAGTTGCACCATTTGTGAATTTGAGGAGATAGATACTTAAAAAGTACTTTAGAAGAAATCAGTGAACAGCTGTCAGAAATTGAATGACAAATCTTTCTTATGACGCGTTCATATTTGATTTATTGATGAATTTTAGGATGCTGTTCGTCATGTTCTCATTTATGATTGTTGTCAAGACGATCCATATTTTGATGTAACATTCACATTAAGAATTCGACGTAAACCACTATTTTACATGGTGAATCTTGTTGTACCTTGTGTTAATATTGCATTTCTGACCATTCTCGTCTTTTACTTACCTAGTAAGTAAACAAAACCGGACTCTTATTTCGTGATACATTTACATGATTTCTTTGCAGGTGATTCTGGTGAAAAATTAACATTATCAATCTCAATTTTTGTCGCACTTCAAGTTTTCTATCTTCTTCTAGTCGATCTTATTCCTCCGACATCATTCACCCTTTCTCTCCTCGGAACATATTTGCTATTCACATTAGTTCTCGTTAATGCCTCTATCTTTATCACGATTATAACATTAAATATTCATTGGCGTCATCCAAACACCCATTACATGCCTGATTGGGTCAAACGATGGTTTTTCGAGATAATTCCACCATTTATATTAATGTCAAAGCCACATATCGCCACCGCGATGTCGCAATTGAAAGATGATAAGACAGATGAGGAGTTACCCTTATCCAATACGAACGATAGTTTACATCGTTTGAATCGATTTTTGAAAAATAAATCAATTGAAAAATATCCACCGACCATCCAACAAGCAATTCGAGACATTCGATATATCAGTGAAACTCAACGTGAAGCTCAGCGAGATGATATTGTAAGTTTTTCGTGCTTTCGACTTGTCTGAAACTCCCTTTCTCTTTCTCTTGAATAGGAAAGAGAAGGTTGGCGATACATCGCTCTGGTCATCGATCGATGTTGTTTAATAGTATTTATTTTTTTAACTACCATTGGTTCGTATGTGACTCTATTCACAGCTCCACATATTTTTAGTAAAGAAATTCCAATCGAACGACTGTATTCGCGTCATTATAACACACATTCAAGTTGATTTGTCACTTGAAGATGTTTCTTTTTCGTGCTATCTTACCAACGATTGTTTTTCTTTTCTTAATTTTGTTTCCAAACGCGCTAATAAAGTATTTTTCGAAATGTCCGTCACTTCTCCACGAACTATTTTCGACAGTCAAGATATGAAAAGACGTTTACATGAAATTCTGCATGAGAATCTCCATGACAAACGGTACGATTCGAATCAATGTAGTTCATTAAGTAAAGACTTGGCAAATCGGATCAAAGACGCGTTGAAAAGATTCGGTTACGAACGGTATAAATTCGTTATACAAGTTCTCATTTGTCAAGAATATAATGAAAACATACAAATGAATTGTCGAGCTTATTGGGATTCGGAAACGGACAGATTAGCACAAACCATTTATATGAATCAATTTCTGATATGCATAGCGACTGCATTTGCGGTGTATTACTATTGAATTTTGTGAAAATAACTGAAGATTTCAATGAGAAAGGAACGATTCATAGCGACAACTGAGAGTGAAAAGCATAATATTTGTTCTGTTTTTGTTTTGGAATCGATCAGCCAATGAGAAGCTGTGCTCTCTTTTGGCTACCTACGCTATATCAATAGACAGAATCAGAAGAATAATAATAACATAAGAAAAATATCGTGTGCGAGATGAATCTGCTTTCGTGTTTGACCGGACAGAATAATGAAGGGGGAGAAACACCAGAGACACCTAATATCGATCAATTACGTACATTTATTAGTCGGTTTCAACAAAATCCTGATACTGACAGCGCATTAATCAAACGTCCGGACGCTACGGAGCTTTGTGAATGGACAAAGAAAGTTTGCGAATATTTACCAAACGCAAATGAAGCAGCTACGGCTAGCGGCGATGATATGCGTCCGATGAAACAGCATTTTGGAATTATTAAACAGTTCTATGGTACGGTTCAACAAGCTGGATTTACACAAATGCCACCTGTAGTCGAAACATTTCTGTCGAGCATACAGATCTATGAGTCAGTGTCCGGTTTAGCTTGTGTTGTCTTTGCTGAACATCCGGAAATACTTCGCGTTATCGAAAATCAATTGAATGAAGCGCGAGAAGCGATAACGGAGCACGGAAATTTAGGATTTATTGGATTACTATGTTGTGGATCGGGAATGCTTTTGGGAAGGGTAAGAGTAAGCGATTAGATTGACAACGTCTCGATTTGTACGTGTCTAGTTTAATACAATTCTCCGAGTTATTGACGAGAAACTAGGAGAACTCGGTATTGGTCGTGTTTTGGATTTTTTGGGACAAATCATCGATGTGTTTTGCAAATTCTTCAATGTCGATATGTCGAATATTATGGATTTACAAAACATAGCCGAAACAGTTAGGGAATTGATCGAAAAAGTTGGTCAACAACTGAGTTCTATATTCGGTCGATTAGCCTTGACAGGTAAAACAAGTCGTTTTTATCTTTATGATCTTGGATAATAATAAAATCTTTTAGGCGATAAACGTTCGACCAATGATCGATTTGCCCCATTGGAGATGACAGCAAAGATTCATCGGAAAATTTCTAAATTTGGTACCAAAGCTCCGGTTGTTGAAAAAGCTTTGAATTCATTCGAACGCTTCTACCAAGCAGCCAATAAGCTTGATGATAATCTTATTCAAAAACACGGCGCACGAGTTGCAGCGCAGGTCAGTTTTTCATCCCCACACCCAACTCTTCTACACTTCTCATCATTCAGGCGGATGCTCCCGTTCAATCGGGTGAAGTCTTGTTAGCCACTAGTCATGATGTTGATTTAACTCGTTCGGATGCTGTTGAAGTATCCGCTTCGAACACTGTGAAAGAAGTCGGTGTCATCGGACATATGATGCAAAATATCGAACTGGTTTTAACTTATGGTATACTTGCGTTGAAGAATGAAGATGATGTTCTACAACCATTATCGACTTACATCGATGAATGTACACAAATTCTGGAAAAGTTCGCGCAATTACATCCGCTGTACAAACTTATCTGTGGTAGTAATTACCTTAGTAAACTGCGTGTGTTTATCGACAAAATTGTTGATTTATTGAAGAATTCGAAATTGAAATTGAACTCGCCCGAAGAATTCTTTCAGGAAATCAAAGAACGCTATCCGGAATTATTGAAAATGTTAGCGGATGATATCATTCAAGATAAAATCAAGAAACATATCACGGATAAACTACCTGATGGGGTAGACAATCTTTTCGACGATGCAGTGAAAAATATTTTTGGAAAATTTTCTTCGAAGTTCTAACCTCTCCCATTTTGATGCTTCTAATTCAACTTAATCTCAACTTATCGGTGCTTGAATAACAACAGAACACATGTCTTCTTGATTTTTTCTTATTTATTTGCTGTGATTGGCTTTTTTTTACTAACAATTTTATATATAAATCATGACAGAGTATATTGATAATAGAGCGTGCCAATACTGTCAAGAAAATCTTGAGGGTAGCAAAGATTCGCGATCGAAGAGAAGGAAAATTAGAGCTATTCTAACAAAAAGTAGAACATCGAGTACAGAATGACGATGTATCCAACGAAATTCATCTGAAATTGTTTTCGCGACGAACGATTACTTTGACATTTCCATCCAACTTGCAATTGATCATTGGCAACTAATTCTTCAAGATATTCTCGTAATGGTTGAAAATATTTCAAACATGGTTGAGCAGAGAATGTTCGTACACCTGCAAATTCTTCTAAGATATCTTCCCAAGATTTGGAAGAACCCAAACCAAGTAAAATTCTATCACATCAAAAGATTCAATTGACGAGTATCGAAAAATAACAAACTATTTACTTGAGTTTTCGTCCGGCTGCTTTTGAACCATGTAAATCACACAGATGTAAAGGTCCTTCGTAACCGGCTTCGCGGCAGAGAACATCAAAAATTTGAAATTGAAAAACATGTGCGAGAAAATATCTGAAATAACACAATGGTTTATCGATTCTTCATTGGAATGATTGCACATTACTTGATATACGAGAGATCGAACGCAACGTGAAGTTTCGTTCCAGCATCGAAATATCGTTCATTACGAGGCATGCCCGGTTTCATACCTTGATAACGACATCTATCGTGTATGAAAATGAAACACAAATGTTGAGAGAATGTTAATAGTTTTCATTTACATGAGATCCCAATAACGTTTATTGTACTCGAACGGTTGAATTGATCCATTATAAACGGACCATCGCCAAATGTCAAGTGCGTAAGCATAAGGTGGTAAGAACAAACGAGTTAGAGCCTGGGATAGCAAAAATTGAATATTCTCCTCTGAAATTCACATGAAAACGAGAGAAATCTTTCCTTTTTCTTCAATTACCTTTTGTGAACTTGTAGTTTTCTAATAAACCAATTCGTTTAAGATGTGCAGGCGACATGGTTGCTAATGCAATTGCATCGCCAATTCCTTCACTAAATGCGCCGTGAGGTGATCGTCGAAACCAAAATGGTTGCTGATGATATTGTAAATAATGTTGGATATGACCCATCTCATGATGAACAATATAGAAGTCACGGGAGGTGATGCTCGTACACATGCGAATACTGAAGAAAGTTTGAAATGAAACGTGAATTGATGCATTTCGAGTGGAAACATACCGAACATCATCGTATTTGTAAAGATCGAACGCTGTCGGATGACAAGCCATATGATGATTGGGAATTCTTTTAAAAACCGAAAGATTCCAGAATGAATCGGGTGCACGAGTTAAATTCAATGAAACGAAAAACTCGTCGGCATATCGAAAAATCTCTTCTTCGGTAAAATTCTACAAGAGCAAATTTAAACAGTTGAATTCGTTCACATCTCAAACCTTTCGTTTCATTGCTGGACCAAGATCAATCCCGCTGATATGTGAAAACGGAAGAACGTCACGTTCGAGATGTGTCATCATCAAACCGAATAAATCCTCTACAATAAAACGAGATTCTTTCCAAAGACTTTGCTTGATATTTACTTGTTAAATGAACGGGAATCGGTTGGTCAAATTCAATCAGTCCAGGGTACAGTCGTGCTATTTGCTTTCGAATATAAGCATGTATTAATTCATGTAATGGTTTCAATTCTTGCCAGAGTTGTTCAACAATTCGACGTTCTTCGAGATTCGCTGGTGTATCACTCTTTTCATTCGTACCTGGAAAAAGACAAAACGCAAACGAGCATTGACGAAAAGGTTTCACCAGAAAATTGGGAAAGATTTTCAAGCAAATAAATCAAAGATAGGAGTGGCTAGAAGAATGGGTTACTGCTAAGGTACGATTCTGTTTGGCTTGTTCATGCTGCACGGCGATTAATGTTGAATAATAATCACGCATTGGTGCTGCAACTTCATAAGTTGCATTCCATAACGAAAGAAGGTCAGCGGGAGAATTGAGTTTGCCAAGAAGCTCTTGAGCTTCTAAACGAAGAAAAATATACAAAACGATCGATCGGAATGAGAAATTTTTGCATAACGAACCATCGATGCCGAGTTTTGTATTGTTCCAAATAAATTTTCGATGGTAAATTTCTTTTATATGACTTTTTAGTTTTTGTAACCGCAATTTGATTAGGGGATCATTTTCGCCCGCATCACCGATTGCTTGTGTCCGTTGCAACAACCAGTACAGTGATGAATTTTCGTTCGTGATCAATTTGTTAAATCGCCGAGCAACTGTCGCGATACTTTTCAAACAATTTCGATAGACTTCATAATATTTCTCCTGAAAAACTTTGATTTCTTTGAAAAAAAACAACAAATCGATCGCAGATTAAACCTCACCATCGTCCGTCTTCGATTCGTATCGTTAAGATACAGCTGCGATTCGAATTCCGACGACGATGTGATGTAAGCAAGTGTTGTCAAGTTAAGATTATATTCATGCAGAATCGTTGTCGCCTAAAGATTCGAAACATGATGAAAAGAATCGCTTTTTAATTACCAAAGATCACGACATGAAACGGAAATTTGAACAATTAGTTTTATCTATGAGAAGACAATACGATTTTGTTCTTTCTTATCGAGAGATTTTCACAAAGATTAGCTTAAGTGTCTGAGAAAACTCATCAGAGAACTTCCGGGCGAAAAGGAAAAACGTAAAATTTTATTTACAAAAGTTTCTTGCTCGTTTATATTCATCGCGTTTAATTGAGATTGATTGATAATCTTCTCGTTACATTCCACAATATCGTCGTGAACCTGAGCGTGAATTAAAATCCATGATAAACATGATAAAACCAAGGGAAAAATCATCGTCTCGATTGATTCTATCTTAAGAAAGTATATTCAAGGAAAGAATTCTAATTAAATCCTCCTTACCTATCACCGACTGAGAGATTTGTTTTCTGAGAACGAGATTCTCGTTTTACAACAAGATAGAAATGACAAACGTTCGACGAGTATGTCAAGAGCACCCAGAGAAAGAGAAGAAATTTTCTTTCCAATCTGAATGATTGCCGAGAGGAGAATTAACGATGTATGGTTATCGACAGAAGATACATAATCGTCATTCGTGCAATACAACACATAGATATCATTTTTCTTCCGCAGACAATCTCTTCGCTTCTCTCATGTGCATGTCTGTTAAATCATCAATTCATTTCCTTGCGTTTTATTAGTATTAGTTTGCTCTCTCTTTTCTCTCGTCAATTCGTTTTCTTTAGGTAGATTTTATCGATCCCAATTTATCCAACACCATATCAATATAAAAAAAGATCTGCACAGCAGTGTTCATTCGTTTTCATATACAAAGAAGATCTTTCTTGCAAGAGACAGATTTCGCTGACTAGCAGCATCCACGTTTCTTCTTCTTTGATGAGATATCGACAATGTTTTCACCTTTACGTTGTTTATCATCTTTATCTTGCATGATTCTAAAGATAGATTTAGATATCAGCATGTTAGTTTCATCAAAACGAGATCCATACCGAGCAATCGCTTCCATAATCTCGACGATGGATGTACCTAATTTTGCACTACTTTCGAAAAACAGACAGCCATATTCCTAAAAACAGAAAACACAAATAATGTCAAAGAGAGTGAAGTTGATCGAATTACATCAGCCAGTTTCGCTCCATCTTTGTATTTCACCGGTCGTTTTCCATCGTCGTCACAAAGATCAGTTTTGTTTCCTACAAGTGCCACGACACAATCATCTTCCGCTGATTCCTTCGAAAATTTACATATTGATTCGATTGGCAAGAAAGATTTTCTCGGTTTGGAACGTACTCGAACACTTGTCATCCATTGTCGAACGTTTCGAAAGGTTATTTCTGATGTGACATCGTAGACAAGAATAACACCATCTGATTTGCGGAAATATTGTTTTGTTATGCTTCGAAATCTACGATAAATCCGTTCGATGAGCTCGTCATTTGACTCTAAACTAACCTTTCTTGTCCCGCCTAAAAAGAATTCATTCAAACCAAATCGTTTTAAACTATTCTCTTCTTACAGTGTCCCATAATTGTAAAGCGATGATTCGGTTTTCGATATTCATCATTTTCACTTGAAGATCAACGCCAATCGTCGCGGAAAACGAATCTTTGAAACTGTCCGTACAAAATCTTTGAATAAAACTTGTTTTTCCCACTCCACTATCGCCTAGAAACACACTCGTCTCGATCATTGTCATTCATTTCGCACAAAATTATACAAACCAATGAAAGCGACTTTAAACATTCGTTCGGGCACTGCATTCGGCGAAACATTCTTGAATAAAAAACATTGCTCCGAAAAGCGACGTGGAAAACTAACGAAACTCGTTTTACCATTAATTCTGAATGTTGGAAAACTGTATTCGCACCGACGGGTTGTTCTCGTGCGCCTAATTCGTGTCCTCTAAATAGTAACAAAGACGCAATGGTCGATCGATTTCCATGTAGATGTTAAAGAAAAAGAGAAAGAAAGGGTAGCGAGTTGATTTCGTACGGTTGGAGTAAAGCTCGTTTGGACATGTAGTTTATTGTAAATTGATGTTTTTGAAAATTTGAAACAAGGAACCTATCGAGATTATCATTCATATCTTCCGAATCACTGGAAGCTGACGGACGCGGCTGATGTCTAAAACAAAACCGGATATGTTATTGATTTGATCAAATCAGAGGAAGATTTTCTTTATGGAAAAATCTGTTTCTAAACTGACCTTCGTGAGTATCGTCGTGGTCGATGGGAACGTTTGCTTTGCTGATCTTGTTCGGATTCACTATCAGTATCTTTCGAGTACCTAAAGGAAGATGAACGAACGCGCAAAGGCGGTAGACTATGCGTAGAGGGTGTGTCTTCGTTGGATATTATGAGAAGAACAGAATGGGATGCGCTTTGCAGATAGAAACATCGATGAATGAAAGGTGTTACCTTGAACGACGTCGTCGATTGTCTTGTGATGGAGATGTTCCATCATCGTCTTCTTCAGGCTCACTAAGTACAGAAGAGGGAATGGAATTTATAGAAAAGTAATATTGGGATCTACCGGTGTGAAGGGGTGAAATAATCGGAAAGAATTGAACCCTGTTTTCGCATGGGTTTTCTCGAAGAATGTGTGGGTGATGAAGGTTGATCTTGTTGCTAAAACAATCACAGATGTAAAAAGATGGCCCAACATTGTTCTTTTTCTCTCTAGCAAATCATTTACTCGAGCACCATGATGAAGATCGCGTTCGTCGACTAATCGTTTGTTGATGGTTCTGATCATATAAAGAGATGTTTATCGATTTTGAAAGAGTATTTCGTTACTTTAATGAATCGAGTTGTTTAACGAGATTCTCACGTTCAAGAGCAATACTCTCTGTGAGACTCAATGCTTGTCTAAAAAAAACATCAATTCATTTTTTCTTGTTTGTCCTCTCAACTGATATACTTGGCTCGATCTCGTTTTTCTTTTTTCGTTTGAATTTGTAGCTGAGATATGTAATTTTTCGATTCTTCTAAACTTTTTGTAATCTCTTGTAATTGTTCTTCCAATTGACTTTTTTGCTTGAATGAGAATGCGGATAAATAAAAAAAAGATATGCTTTGAAAAGAACTAACTTTTTGTAATCGATCGTTTTCACTTTTCGTTTCGGTTTCATTCATATTCACTCGAAGTAATTTCAGTTCTAATTCACTTTGTTTCTTTGTGATTTCGGCTAATTGTTGTTCCTTTCCACGTAATTCTCGTTCCATCTGTTCCCGAAGTTCACGTTCTTTCAATTTTTCCTATTCGATTTCCAATTCAACAAAAATCCTTTCTGGAAAAGTCAAGAAGTTACTTGTGCGAGAACTTTTGCTTTTTCTGCTTTGATTTGTTGTTCCATTTCGTCGTACAATTTCTTAATTTCCGATTCGTGCACGGATGATTTACTCTGCAGAGCAGCTTCGATCGACCGGTGATCTAATTTCGATCGGCGGATCTCTTCTGTCACTTTACCGATAAACTGTTCGAACTGTCGTAACAAAGTCGGATCATTTTCGCGTAATTTCATCCATAATCCCATAATCGTTTCTTCGTCATCGTAAAGATCTTTCGCACCAAGAGATTCTAATGTATCATGAAATAATTGTTGTTCTTCTTTCTCATTTGGATCATGCTCAATCATTTCTTGATCGTTCGGATGTCCGCCACCCATTTGTTCGCCGAGAAACATTCCGAAACCCGCTAAACTTAAAATTCTCGATCATTACCAAGAAACAAAATCAGTAACTTACATGTAAATTCTTCTAAAGTTAAATATCCATTATGATCGTTATCTAACGAGTCAAACACATCTTCGAGCTGTTCGGGTTCCACGCCAAGTTCTTCTCTTAAACGCTGCATATCTTTCTTAATAATAAATCCTTTCTGTTCAGTATCACACAGATTGAACAGCTCTTCCGCTTTGGCAGCAATGAGTTGTTGCATATTACTTCCCATATCATCATCGTGATCCATTTTTACGCAAATTTTATGTACAAAATCTAAATTTTCACACCCAAAATAAATCTGCTCGAATGAAGGCTAACACGATGTTTTTATGTCTCTATGCTTCTAATGTATGAAACATCTGCTGCTGTGACAGTGTATAGTTCTTTTATTTTCATTATATTGTCCGCCCACAACTTCGTTGACGCGAATATGCATTTCAATGGAAAACGTTTACCTGGAGCATTTCGAGGAGTCGAGCGACTGAGTCCTTTTCTTTTTTTTTGTTCGCTTCCATCATTTAATGTTCGTCCTTTTTCGCGCCCATCTCACAGCGGTTTCGATGCCAATACAAAATCAAACAATAAAAACGAACGATTCCATCACCCCAACCAGCTGTTACTCAAAATACGTCACTGATAGTTTTATGAAACTGCGACAAACACAAAACATTCATTTACAAAAGTTCCAAAGAATAGAAAAAGGATTCAATGAAATATTCATTTCCTTCTATACACTTCTAATGCATAATGAATCTATTTATGGCTTGAATGAGATTAGAGTTCAACTAACATTGATGTAGTTGCAAACGATTGTTATTCACATGCTCCTGAAAATGAATAATAGTCCGATAAGAAGAGAAAATGCTTCTTTTTCTTGATTTCTGTGTCATGTGATTAAAAAAAAGCTCTTATCACACATTTTTCTTTTCAATATATGAGATAACAATGATTTTACTAAATTTCACACTGGTTAACTCGAACAAACGTATATATACAAGAACGTCGAAGAAAGGCAGTACTTTCTTTATCTGGAGTTGAATATTGTTTGCTACAAAAATTAATTTAAGTATGAACAAGATTCTTCTGTACTTTGCTTTATTGATCGTTTGTGTTGGTAAGAAGATTTTCTTATGTATTCAATCGAAATTGATTGTGGGAATTAATAGGTACGGCCAACGCTATAAATTGTTACTTTTGCGGCAACTGTCCGAATCCATTTTATCCCTCATCAGCTGTATCTGTAGCACCATCATCGACTGGATATTGTGCTGTAAATCTTTGCCAATTTGTTAACTAAAGTTCTATGCTACGGTTTAATATTTTCTAGAAGAAAAGCCGATCATCGGATTATCGTGTTCAAGCTACGCGAGGACCTGCCGAACCTTATCTTTGCTCATGGTCTGGGTGCCGATGGTCAGCTGATGCTGGTGGCCCTCTCTTTGTTTGCTGTTGTAGAGGTAACCTTTGTAACACAGGCAGTATGACATCGAAATCTACTATTGCTGTAATTATTGGTACTTTGGCCCTTGTTGTTTTCAACCGATTATTTTAACAAGACTTCTCTGTTTTTTATTCAAACTTCTCGCTTTGGTAATGAATAGATTTTTCTGTCGATTTTCATTCATTTTCAAGTAAAACAATGATACACAGTAATGTTAGTACTCAATGAATGTTGTACGAAATTGAACTTTTGTGATGATGATTGATTAATAAATGACAAGTCAAACTAAGCGTTTCTGAGAAGTAGCATCTTCTCATTCTTATAGCAGACCTTCAGAATGTTCACGTTTACTTTAATCAATAATCATTTCATATGCTTCCGTCTTTTTTTTTCCGAGTGTACAACGGATTTGATTTGTCCGAAAGGAATGTATTTGTCTTTCTCCTTCGTCGTTTGTGCGACATTTAAGCAAAACAACAACTATTTTAAAACTTCATCGCATTGCTATTTTCTTTACAGAAAAATCAATACACTCATTTGCTTTTCACTGTAACGTGATTGAAAGAGGGGGGAGAGAGAAAAGGACGAATGTTTTGAAAGCATTGTCGTTTTCATCGACTTCATTGTTTGCATTTCGAACGAAAACTGCAATGTCTCAAATAGGACCGACAGGAAATCAAAGCCGAAAATCGCAGTCCTATGCAGCTTCGTCGGGAAATCTGGACGTACGTACAAAAAAATAAAAGATCAGTTTTCAGAGAGATCTTTTCGTATTGTGTAGCTATTCGATAAAACAAAAGATCATTTTGGATTAAATAACAATCAAGGTCGGCAGGTGATTCGGACTGAACCGACACAAGTACCAAGATCTCGAGGACCTCTCGACAAATGTTGTACTGTGTTTCTGTTCATTCTTTTGGTTATTTGCGTCCTAATTGGCGCAGGTTTGTCGAAGTTTTTGTTGTACCTTTCACGAAAATAACTTTCCTTTTCTTTCAGCTGCAATCGCTCTTTGTATAGTTTATTTTAGTAAGTTTATTCTTGGTTATTTCAAATGTGTATTCCTTGTGGATTTAAAGACACGGACAGTAGCTCGATAGGTTATAAAATTGGTGGAATTATCCTTGGTGCAGTAACGGTAGTCGTCGGAATCGTTTTGATTGTTTTGACTGTGTTGAAACAAAAGACCAAACGACCATGGAAATATAAGAAAGAAAAGAATTTCTTTTATTCGCAAGATGCTCAAAAGACTCGGGAGAAGGATGACCAGTTGAATACCGAACGAAGAATGGACAATACCAGTCAAATGTATTTTGGAAATAATGATAATAGTTTAACTCGCAGTAACGTTCGCTCAGTGAACAGTAACAATAACAATACTCTAAACAACAGCTACGTAATGTCGAATACTAGCTTTGGACCATTGAATTTAAGTACTGGTGGACAAAATACTAAAACTAACTATATGATTCCAACACCTGTAAATACTACTTATATTGAGTCGTCAGGCATAAAAAGTACTCATGCCAGTCCGCGAATTAACGATGATCCTGAATATCAACCTGTGATGTATTCATTAGCGAATTCAGTCACTACTTCTGAACCAATGGTTAGTTCAATGGTTGAATCAGCACCTTTACAGACAGGTAAGCGATTATCTTTTTCTTTTAAAATACGAAGAAGCTAGAGGAGAATTTTATCATTCTGAAGGAAATGTGTATCCTGTACAGCATCGAACGACGGTGAGAGCAACTCAACCGGATTTAATAACTTTTCCTGCACAAAGTCAACTGCCTGTTCCAGCAGCACGTCAAGAATTTGTGATGGTTAATCAACCAATTCAAAGAACAAATCCAACATATCGACAAGATCTGATTTCATTCACGGATGATGACCAACGAGCACTTCGAAATCGTGGAACATTCACTTCATTCGATCGACCCGTAGCAAGTACGGTCTTACGTAGTAATCAGAGCGATATTACTCCAGCTATTAAACCAAATCTAACTGAGAAATTTATTGTTCGTCGTGTACCCATTCCAACAACAAAAGTTATTACACAACAAATACAACAACCGGCAACTAAAGTCGTGATTGTCAAAGTACCTAATGTTGCTGGTCAACTCGTCATGAAACCGAAGACGAACCAGACAGATGAACAATGAGCACGATGATCATTTAAAACAACTCTTTCTGACATGTCACAAGCAACTGTACTTTTCTTCTTTTTATGAATAAATACTTATCGAATAGAGATGTCCTTTAGATATGAATGCCTTCAATTAGATTTAATAAACTCAACACTTCTTCTCATTTCCTTTCTGTCAATTGTATTGTGACTATTTCGTCTCATGTATTTTTCTATTCTGTCAATCGGTCTTCGCAAACGAAAGAATACTCTTCTGAACATATATTGTGCATTACATAGAAATATCTTGCTATCTGCTGTTTATATATACACATAATTCGAGATGCGTCAATCCCAGTAGCGAATAACCGCAATCAACAATAACAAAAACAACTGCGAATTTCTCAGATGTATATTTTCTCTCGTTCTCTCCGAACCAGTGAAAACGGTTTGGGAAAGAGACGGTTTTCTTTCTTTTCTCATACCAAATGACAGAACAATAAGGATACGATCGAAGAAGAAAAAACCCATCGTTACTCTTGTCATGATGATATTTTCGTTGTTTTTCTACACAGTTAATGGTACCATTATCGGTTATAATACCAAGTCAACGATGGTTAGCTTGTTTTTTTTTCTCTCTTCGCCTTCCTTTAAGGAAATCTTGCCGGTAATATGTGTTGTTGCTATGTACAAGGCCGATTAAAAGAAAAAAAAAGAAATACATCAGAAAAACCATACAAAAAAACTACTCGACAATCTAACCTATCAAGAAGAAAAGAAGAAGAAAATATAGAATAGGATTAACACATCGCCAGTGAAGGATTTCTGTTTTCTCCTTCCGATACTAAGTGTATGCTATTCAATATAGATAGATAGATAAGTAACTAATAACTGTGAGTACGCTGTGTAGTCAATGGAATTTAGTTTTGAAAAGATGTGAAGGTTCGATGAAAAAGGATTTTTATATACGCAATTGTAGATTGATATGTTTCCTCGAGCGCGATCAGTAAGTCGCCTGCGTGGTGCATCTCCCAGAAGAGAAACTACACCATCTATTTATGATTATGGTCCATCTGATAATCTTCTTGTTGGCGGAGGTGGTTTGTCATCACGGTTGAACGTCTATTCATCGGATTTTTATGCTCCAACATCTCGTTCAAGTCGAGCTTTGTCCGTAGCTCGTTTCAAGGATATTGAGGATGAAATTCTTGGTACTATTTATGAACCCTACGAACGATCTTATCGAACCCAGTCGTCAAATCGTTATAATAGTTACAAAACAAGTCGACCTCAGCTAACATCTGGTACACACGATTTTGATCGTTACACCGAACGTATCCGAAACAGAACCCCTATTGCCTTCGACAGTCATTATACACATTATCGACCCTATGATTGGTATCGTTCAGCACCACGCACTTCATATTACCTTTCCCCGCACGTTTACTTGCAGCCGTATCGATCACTTTCTGTTAACCGTTCACCTTCAATCTATTCATCATTAGGTCGTGATCTATCATTAAACTCTCGTTTCAATGACTCAATGGACCGTGTCTCATCAATCAAACGTTCTATGCGTGATGTAGATTATTCACGTGAATTACGTGAATTACGTCGTCCAACTCCATTAACATATTCGGCTGTCACACACGGTGACGATCTATTGAATCGCGCTCGAGAAGATGTCCGACATGCAGTTGAATCCCGTGTTGGTGCTAGCGGTGTATCTGCTAAATTGAACAATCCGCGTGACTACTTTGGACGAACGGTAGGTATACAATAACAGTAAAACCTTTCATTCTGTTACTCCGTAACCTGAACTTCTCACGCTAGTCGAACTATCGTTCAAGATCTTAGTATCAACACACTCTCATCCTTATCCTTTGCTTTTTCAGTATGTTCAATATGAAAAAGATGGAATCACTGATGTGGGTGTCAAATATACTGGTCTATCGAGAAGTGTCGATGCTAAACCAAGCACGTGGAAAGCAGAAGATGTTATGGACATGGCATAGTAAGTTTCGTCCGAACTGACGAATTTAACCTTCAACAAAATACTTTTAGTGAAATCCAAGCATTGAACGATGACACTGTAGATAAACTCTACGAAAATCAATTGAAAATTCACAAAAATCGTCAATGGCTTTTACAAGACAAAGCTGGTGTTGCACCTCGAATGTATCATTTCGATACGAATACAGTAAGTTGCTGTTTTATCTATCGAAATCCTCGATCGAGTGATTTTTAGCGACAAGCCCGCCGTGATGTGGATAATGCATTGCGTCTTGTCCGAAATTTGAAACAATTAAAGAATGAAACGTTTGCTCGATTATCTGAACCATGGAAAATTGGCTCATATATGTAATGAAGAACAAATTTCTTTGTACGAAAATGAAGAAAGGAAAAGATCGTTTTCCTTTGGCTTGGCGTTCTGACAAGCATCTTATTTTTCACGTGTGCATGACCCTTTTCGCTTAGTTTTGTATGAAATTTTCAAAAGAAATCAAACAATGCTTTTTGGTTATCTGCAAACTATCTTTCTACTGATTTATAATATAATCTCTATGAATGACAGGATTCGTTTTGCAATTATCTCCTCGTACACCATGTTGCGTTACGCATATACTGATAAATGACCTTTTATAGCTGTAACTTTGCATAGGAACTTTTCCGATAACTGTCCGTCTAAGTTGCAGCTAAAAGACACACGAATTCATATGTAGAAATAGAAGAGTAGTGATTTTTTCGAGATAACCTGTGCGTATAAACATGAATTGAATGTTTTATTTTAACCGACAAAGGTTGTTTTTGAGACGTGCGTGAGTAGGTTAACATGTGGTGTCTGTTACGTACATACTAATAATATCAAAAACGTCGCAACAGAACAACACAACACACTCGAGAGTCGTCTACGAATGGCGAAGTTGAATCTATTTTTGTAAGTTGGTAATTTTTTTCCAACTTGCATTCTAATGCATTGCAAAATATTTGTTGAAGTGATTCCCATTACCAAGCTTCAAGGTGTCATAATGTGTCGAGTGTAATCAAAACAGAAGGACCTCGACAATATCCAGTCTTACTAAAGTTATAATCAATCACATAAACGAAATAAAGATTGTGTGCCTCTTCGCCGAAAATGAAGTTAGTCGAAACTTACATCGAAATGCCTATACACGAAAAGATAAATCGCCGAAAGGAAGATAACCTATATAAATATACTCGAAATACACATCGCCGAATCATTTCAGTCATTTATAAAAAAATCTTTACAATGTACAAAATGCTATACTATATCGGTCTATGTTCTTTTCTTCGAACATTATTATCTACGGTAGTGTTCATGTATACTGACAGACAAAAAGCTAGTATAGTGTCTTTGATGGTGTATATAAGAGCAAGGAGCGAAATCATATGTCATCGAAATGCGTTTCGCTGAAAGTTAGATACTCGACTCAGAACATGAGTGAAAGTCATATTGCCGAAATTTCAGATGATCGAAAGGTACATCGGCGAATTTCCGTGAAGTGCATATCGACCATTTATTGTGATTTTCTTTATTGCTATTGTATTTTTTACATTCATAAATTAAAGAAAAATATGTTGGAAACTCTTTTCTTTCCAACAAACACATTAGTAATTGAGTTTAGATTAAAGAAAGCGAAAGATCGTATGTCTTCTTGCTATTCAAATATTACACAGAAGTTTGTACCTCAAGATGGTTGTACATAAGGGCGACACTTTAACTTTATTTCAATTTCGAAAAAATAAAGTAACGTATATTAAAGTGTCACTCCTAGGTGCACCTTAGCCCACAATAAAGTTTTGTGAAATATACATTTTAGAAGAAATGGTAAGTTAGATCTTTTCAGGTGAGTGTCAATGATCTGACCGCGGATTGAAATTATCGGAGATGAGGAGTTACTGATGAGCATATTCATTTCAATATTAACAAAATGAGAATATTGGACGAACAGCAATAGAATCAGTTATGTTTATCGGCGACTTGTGTTCTTTATTGACATGAAGCTTTAGCCAATGAAAAAATTTCTCGTGTTACTCGTCGAGCAATAAACTGATTTTATCACAACGTGATTCATTTCCTATTTTAAAGTGAAGTCATTTGTTGATTCTACGACCAAATGCATCTTAACTTTATTTCAACGATAAATATGATCGATAGCAAATAATTAAAAATATTTCCAAGCGTATTTATCGAGTTATTTTGCCTTTGAAATTTTACCTGTTACTCAAAAGCCACGCGACGCTTTTTGCAGCATCATGACTAAGAAAGCATACCACTAGACACATCTGGCATTTACCCATATATAGCATCTAGTAAATTTAGTTGGGAATTTCCTCTATATATTTATTCTTCCTTGTTAAACTTCTGCCGCCGATTGGTCTATCTTTGTCTGTAAGTCAGTGTAGTTTTGTTGATCATAAGATTTTTTTACGAGTATACAACGCGCTGATCGTTTACTGCTTTTATACATGAGAGAAAATATATTGTATGCTGTAGATATCCTGAGCATGTGATTTTATAGTAACTGTCTGATACACTTATCTTATTTACCGGCTCTTTGACAACATACAGTAAGGTAGGAAGAAGAAATAATCTTTTCTTTTACCTTGAAATCGTTTTCTGATCATACACGTTTGGAAAAATAATCGTAAGAGTGAGGAAAGGTGAGTTATATATATATATTTTTGCAATTGATAAGAATACTTTTAAACTTTTGTAGACATAACAGTCTGAGTGCTGTTTTTTATGTTTTTTCGCCGAAAGTCAAAAATAAAAGCGGAAAACTCGATAAGAAATAGGTAGTAGCTCCATTCGGAACAATGATAACGACATAGAATTATGATATTCCCAATTCTTAATGATCATGAATAGATTACTTGCGAAATATAACGAACAAATAGCTCGATAAATATACGTTAAAAAAGATCAACTAACGATGTAGTGGAAGGAGTAAGTGCGGACTCGTACTAGCCAATCAACTGTAAGTTTAGAATCCACGCTAGCTTGGTAAATATTGAGTCATCAAAATAACAGCGTGATTATATTGATGTGAAAGATTTACACGAGTTCTATGCAAATAAGAATGCAGAATGTGTATAGGTTTCACTGAGTTTAGAGAAATTTACGATGTATTTTTGTGTCTGTGCATCTCTATTTTAGGAATTTACTTTGAACTGTTAGAAAGAAAAGTTCCCGCACCACTATCTTCGTAAAGTAGATTTAACAACGTAATAAGTAAGATTTTACCAGCAACATTTAGTGACATTATCTATGATTCAATTTTATTGAATGCATACATAATAAGAGACTTTGGAGGGTAAAGATATTGATTAAATAGATCACTAACACAACTATTTTATTTGACCCGTGAGGTATTAGAGAAAAGCTGACGAGAAAGTTACACAGATACTTATAGTGAAATAAAGTAAAATGGATATAAACCTGGTATGTTGGAAAAAGACAAGAGAGCAGATATTGTTTATAATGATAATGTAGATAAGATCTATAGGACGAGATATTTCGAGGAGCTTCATACAAAAAGATAGGCACGAAACGCTGATGGTTATTCGCTAAGGCAAACTCTCTCAACAGCGAATAACAGGAATGTTGTTACCGTTTAACAGCATGGATTATAGTGTATTACTAACCGTGCATGTAATGAATCGTGGATTTTGGTGTACAGCAATGTGAACATTTAGCGAGTAATGTGTATATGTAAGATTGATTTTTGGCAAAATTCGTCTGTTATGCGTAGGAATTTATTATGGATAAATGTGCTCAAAATTGCGAATCATCGTACTGTCAGAATTTGGATTATTCTTGATCATCAAAAAAATTTCATTGTAACCAATTCAAATTGCCTCTCGTCTGGTGAACAATGCTGGTATGATCATTTCCAAGCTTGGATATAGATAAGCGGTGAAAGCTTTAGCGACTACCAACGACTGAACCACCATACACTGCGAACTTCATCTTCTATATTTAAATTCTACCTCCGAGAGAATCTTCGAAGGCATCGTTCTCAAAAGCTGACAATAATTTATCGGAAAGTTCGTCTGTTGAAGTCGTGTAGAAGCTGACATAGAACTTTTCAATGATATCGTTTTTACCTATTCTCTCCCATATCGGTCCAACTAATTCGCGATAGATATTCTAGGATTGCACTTTTGCTAACCCAGCGCATTTAACGCATCGCATCAGCTGTCATCTATTTGCATCTCCTGATCCTATCAATATATTCACAAACTAGTTCTATATAATGAATGTCCATCGGATAAAACTCCTTTTTTTCTAATGCAATGTATATGTGCTTGAACTTCTAGATTGTTCATATCTCGTTTCAGACAATATTTCTCGTCGATCGAAAATTTTCTCCTATAATTACCACTGAATTTCATAATGGTAAAATTATTACTAAGAAAATAGTTTTTGACAATAACCTTTGCGATTTCAGAGTACCACATCTTTTGGAGGATATATTGTTAAAAATAAAGAACAATACGAACGTAAATATCTATGCTATATCTGTACCCATTTGATGAGAGACCCGATGCAGCTTACTTGTGGTCATAGAATGTGCCAAAGCTGTCTCAAACTAGACGCTGAGTAAGGCAGTTATTTCTGAAATACTGTATATCGATTGTTTTGTTTCATTGCAGGAATCTCCCGTGCTGTCTATGTGAGGAAATCAGTAAGACTTCTGAGGTAATTTCCAAATTTTGACTTGTTGTTAAACGCCAAACTTTCATAGGTAAGACTTGATAGGGGATTTAGAAAAGACATGGACACATTACAAGTCGTATGTGGACTTTGTGATTGGTCAGGACAACTACTATTCTATCAAGTAATTCCTGTCGTCTGTGTATGCATACAAGTATTTCCTATGATTCGTTTAATTTAGACGCATCTCGAACAATGTCACAAGCAATACGTATGTTCGTTCTGTAGTAGCATATTTGATTCTCAATTGCTATTAAACGAACATGAAGAAAACGCGTGTCCGAAAAAGCCAGTGTACTGTTGTCTAAAAGAATTCGGATGTAAAGAACAGGTTTGTTTTCTATACCCCACTATATTTTATTTTAGTTGTTTTGAGTAGATGTTGCGCAGCGAATTGAAAACTCATTATCTAACGGAAGAGCATGGTAGAAGTTTGACAGCATGTGTGGTTGAAATCCAAAAAATGCAATCGAGTACAGATGTCGATATGAAAACGGAAGCATCGAGTTCAGCATTCGAAACATCGACAAAGGCATCTTTAGCGACAGAGCTGAATGAAAATGACGATACAATGGAGGAAGTTTTTAAAGTATTGGGTCTTTTCTCTGCTGGTGCTCGAAGTGTAAGAGAAGAACTTCAACGTTTGGCTCAAGAAGAAGCGCAAATGAATCGAGCTGTTGAAGAGACAGAAAAAAACTACTCATCCATCAGAACATCGACGGAAGATTCAAAGAACATGTTAAGCGCGATACAAACAAATTTGACCGTTCTTCGAGAAGATCTATTAATGTTGAACACTCGATTCGAAGAACAACAAGTCACTTCTAATGATGGTATACTCATCTGGAAAATTACTGGAGTTAGTACGAAATTCAGTAAGTATTCATAAATATATTCGACTCTGTCAATTTAGCATTCACTATTTCAGATGATGCTCGGTCCGAACGACAAACATCAATCTACTCACCGCCATTTCGATCATCACCATCGGGGTATCTTATGAGGGCTCGTCTATATCTTTTCGGCGATGGGAATGCACGGCGTACACATATTTCTCTATTTTTTGTGCTGTTACGTGGTCAACACGATTCTATTCTGCCGTTTCCGTTCAATCCTAAAGTAACATTTTGCCTCTACGATCAAACTCCAGCGAAAGCTCACATTGTGGAATCGTTTCGACCTGACCCAAAGTCGAACAGTTTTCAACAACCGCGCTCGGATATGAACATCGCAAGCGGAATTCCCAGATTTGCTCCTCTAAAAGTAATCGAAGATTCTGACACTCCCTACGTCAAAAATGATACAATGTTCATCAAAGTAATTGTGGACTTTGAAAATATTCCGAAAGTAGTCGTACCATTCGCCGCAAAATTAAATCCGGGTTTACCTACGCATATTCAGCATAGACTAATTCAACGCGAAATCGAACAGAGAGCACAAGCGGCCAAACCAACGAACTTGATATCTACGGATAACAAAATAGAAACAAATAAAAGCTGAAATTTTGAAAAATCAAGTGATTTTTATTAGGCCAATATAATATTTTCATAAACGTTTTATACAATCCGATAGATCTTAGCGAACAACATCTGACAAGGAGTGACTACGTAATCGTTCCGAGTTCTATATCGATGTTGCCTGAGATCGTTGAGCAATTGTTGTCTTAAAGTCATTGTACGGAGGATCGATTGATTTCGAATGTTAACACTGTACATCGTCGCTATTCGACGAGATTTCTCTCTGATTTCGATTAAGTTCATAATCGATAAAGATAATAGCAGCAAGGAATTCATCAAATGATAATATATCATTGTGATCTCGATTAAAAGCACGAAATAAGTGCATTGCACGATCTTGCAAATGCTCGGAATTTCCCCATGGAAGATGAGAATATAATTGAGTAAATTTATTCATATTCATTGCGCCATCGTGTTCCGATGCTTCGATATATTTCGCGTGAAATTGATCGATTTGATCTTGAGATAAACCAGTCGTCTGTTCCAGTCGATTAGGACTCCAAGTATGCGCAGTAAGACGATTCGAATGGTTACCCATCGATAGCGAAATGCAATGAAACTTCTGTCGTCATACTTTTGTACATAGAGTGTCATTAAGTGCAATAAGAAATTGTACTGATTACAATGTACATTCATCGGGAGAAGTCAGAGATATATACATATTTTATCCTGTCAAAGAATGACGTCAATGTTTTTACCTGACATGTGTATATGCAAGAGAAAGAATGATCAATGATGTTTTGTTCCGACGAAAATATTTATTCTAGAAAAGTATTTTTCACATATCTCAAGATGATCTATATAATAACAATAACAGTAACAATAATAAGTTTTCTTTCTAATACTATCGTATTTTTGTTATTGAAGAGCATTACGAATGTGTCATATGAGATATTACAACAGTTATGTTTATTTATCATATTAAATAAGGATATTTTTTCTTGCAATTTTATGAGAGAATACACTCGGTGATCTTGTGCACTTCACGAAAAGAAAAAAAAACACAAGAAACTTGATTAATATTGATAGCGTCGATTGTACGCATCTTGTTGACTGATATATTCGATAAGTTCATCTTGAGTAACATAGCCACGATTGTTTCGGTCAACTTGTTTCCAGCATTGATGTTCGGTACCTTGAGGTAAACCATAGTAATCATTGATACGTCGGAAAACTTGATGGCCATATTGCGGAGAAATTCGACCATCACCGTTTTGACGTCCGTTATGATTGTTTTGTTGAATAAGATAGTTAATTCGTTGACGGCGAGGTACATTGTGGTTCATCATAACCACAGCACTGAGGAATTCATCGAAAGACAGTGTGCCGGAATTATCGCGATCGAATGTACGATAAATACGAGGAATTTGTTGCTGCATGTATCGTGGATCTTGTTGTTGAGCACCGGGAAAACGACTGTAGAAGTTCATGAATTCTCTCTGATCCAGCTGACCATCGCGACCAGCTGCCTTCATAAATTGTTGATGGAGTTGGTGAACTTGGTCTACAGGAATGCCAGTTTGTCGAGATAATTCATTTAAATCCCATTGCTGATAGGACTGGCGACTTGAACGAGCACCCATTATCAAATTTGAATATTTGTTATCAAGTATTGAGTATACGAAAGCCAAAGGATTTCGCTGCGTATTAAATACCGCGTGCAAACCTCGCGTTGATTCAGTCAAGCATAAACAACAAACTATGTCATCATGATTCACATATGAATAACCATACCTGGAAAGTATCTTGTCGAATTTGTTTCTTTTTCTATGGTTAATCATCGAAAGATTGTATCTCAGTTCAAATTCGTCAAATCTCTTTCTCACTACGATATGAATCACGCGTTGATCACAATCAAATGTCCAACATTTCTTTTACAATTCGTTTAGGATATTTGTTCAATAAAAAAACAGCTTATTTTGAGGATTTCTAAGCGTATTGTATCGTGTTATTCACCATTGCATCGTTGTTGAGGAGATTCTTTTTTGTTTGTGCTTGCACGTCCATTTCCGTCTGCTCTCATATTCATTCATCATTCATCTTTGTTTCCTCTCGATGACGCGAAAATGAGGTTACTCTCACTAGCATGTGTGCATATAACCAAAGATCATATTCCTCGATATAGATTGCTCAGCATTGAGGCACAAACATACAAATGTCTGACTTTTCCCGTTATGCAGTCTCGAATATGAAGAGGGAGAGAGAGAGAGCATATACACACACACGTAAAGTAAATACATCAACGAGAACAGATGCAGTACGGAAAAACCTAGACGACTATACTTAACTTTCTTCTTCGCCGTTACGTGTGTGTGTGTGCACACACTCGCGTTCGTTCCCGACGAACAACATTGCAGCAGCAGAATAGAAGATGTTACGACTGCTTATTCCACCGCCATCATCGGTCGTCAACTTTCCGAGCGCAAGACACACTTTTTTCCGTCTCGTCCGCTTTTTCGCCTCGCCTTCTCTCTTCTCTTTCTTTTTTCATCGCTATTGAGAATATGTCTTGCCTTCCATAGAAGATATTAATGTGCAATTAAACTCGAAAATATGTTCTTTGATTCTGTCTGAAAAGAAAACGTTCGCTGCATGTATTCGGGAAATCAATCTCGATATGTGTATGTAGCGATCGTATCGATGATATGATGATAGTCAAGATGAACTTTTTTCTTTTATCTTTGCTCTCATTTGTTTCTGGAACGACGTAACTCATATCTCTCGTCGTGCATCCGTTCTTTTTCCCTATTCGGAATGTTTCGTCGAACGAGAACGTCGACGAGCGACCGCGCGCGCATGCGGAAGTTCAAGAAGAAAGAAATTCTACAGATCGTTAATCTATATATGTTCGTGTGCAGTTTTTTTTTGTTGTACATATTCTGCGTCTATACACATTTGCAGACGATTTTGTTTCTTTTTCCTTTCTCTGAGATTATTTTTTCCGATGGTTAGCTACCCTTCTTTTTCTGTTTTGCTCTTTTTCCTTTAGTTCCGTTCCCTTTCTCTCTCTCTCTCTCTCGTCTTCCTTCACTATTATCAACATCGACAAAGAATAAAAGAGTTCGTGTGTTTCCCATTCGTTTTCGGCCCCAACGTTTTTTCCTCTTTTTTCCCTCTTTTCTATCTGTCGACTCTCGCTCGTATTCATGTATTTGCAGACGCCAAATGCGCGCACACATACAGAAAAAAAAGACTGAGAATGAAGAAGACGAACACACACACACAATGAAGAAAAATAATGCTTGACGTTGAACACAATTCTTCTCGTTCTTTCCACTTTTTTAACTTCCACTCGGTGACTATATATATATATATATGTGAAAAAGAAGTCGAATTGAGCACTTCGGTAGCAAACAGAATAAAAAAAGTTCGTCTCGTTCTCTTTTTTCCCCTCTGTCTCTTTCTCTTTCACACACATACACACTTTTTCTGACATTCATTTCAGAATGAAGAAAAAAAAGTAGCAGGAGACGACTGAACTTATTCTAACAAACTTTTTTTGTTCTTCGGTAAAGAAGACATTCTCACGAAAGCAAATACTTTCCTCCATATATATAGTCAAATAGAACTTCTCTTTTTCTTTCTTTTAGCCAGATTTGACTTCAATGAGTGAACATTCAACAGCAACGAAAATGACTAATTCACATGCACCGACACCATTAGGTTCGGTCGCTAATACTCTCAGTACTCAACATCACCAAAAAGTTGAACCAATCGACTATACAGCCGATGAAAGTATGATCGCAGTAAGTGAAGAAAAGAAAAACAAGTGTTTCGTGCGATAGAAAACCTAATTTTGTCAATGTTCGAAATAGGATTTTATGGCTGTTTTACCTCAGCTTGATCCAAGTGATTCATCTTCGACAGCAACATCTCCGACATTAAAATTAAAAGGACAAACAAACGACTCAGCGAAGAAATTCGATGCATTCGCTGCTGCCGTTCAACAACAATTTTCGACTGTTCAATCATCTTCGTCATCTCCACCAGCAGCGAGTCAACTTGACTATCAAAATAATAAACGTCGACGTAAAATTGAACGTCCTGCGCAAAAACGCATCCGCGGTTCGTATAAACTTGTTTCACCCGAACAAAAAGTTCGAATTCATGAGTATGNTTCCATCAGACGAGCGCTTTGTTCGATGGTTCTCGCATCATTTCCCGTACCGACTGAATGCGGGAGGAGAAGGGCGAACATTAGCGCAACTGTAGCAAGAAAAGCACCGAATAGAAAGGGTGGACCAGGTACTTCGCGATTTAACATCGACGAGTAAACTGGTTTGGCATTCGATAGAATTGTTGTAATGTTCGAATTGCTTGGTGGGAGAACTGTATTGGGCGAAAAGCCAAAATCGACATTGAAGAGATAGAAGGTGAATCCAAATAGAGCAGGCCCGAGACCATTGCATAGACCACGGACGCCATTAACCATTCCTTGGACAAGACCTGAAACGGCAGAAGGGATTTTCGGAATCTGAACGAAAAAGTCTTCGTTGGGCTCACCTTGTTGATTTTCATCTGCATAGACGGAAACGAATGCACTAATCGACGGATAGGTTAAGGATGAAAGTGCAGCTAAGCCGCCCGCAAACCACATGACCCTGAAACGAATTGGTTAGAAAACGAAGCAATTGTCTAGTTTTCATGAATACCAAGTGGATGTGGCAATTCCAAATGCTGCTAGTTGAACAATTTGAAAAAACAATCCAACCATAATTGTTTCTTTTGCACCGAAGTATTTTTGTAAACATGCCAAAAAGGCAGTCTAACGAAACAAGATGAGATCTTATTTGGAAATTTTCTCTTATTTACTTGAGCAATACATGAAAGTACACCGATAAATGCGATGAAATAAGCAACTTCATCTTCAGAAAAGCCCAATACCTAAACCAAAGCGGGTGTGAATTCAAACTAAGTGTTCAATCGAGATTTACTAAGCGTAGATAAACGAAAAAACAGGAATATTGCCCAGCTTCTGAAAAAGATCGACTATCATCGAAACAATCGTTTTAGAAAGTAGATTCCATACCCGGAAGATACGATAGAAGAACGATGAGACAGATCAGATAAATGAAACGATCGTGAGTTATTTTCCTAAGAGCCTATAATGATAAAATCAGATGATTGTGTTCACTGACAATGAGAAAATTTCCGATAACTCACTGAAAATGGATCGATTTTGTCCCATGACACTTTCTGATCAATGCGCAATCGTTCTGGTAAAGATTCCGGTACCATGAAATAGATAAACAATAAATCTAACACGGCAACTGCCGTACCTGAAATTCGACAAGACCTAGTTCTTCTAAATCACAAATCTTTTTCGAATACTAACCGAGTGCAATAATAAAATTATCACTGTAGAGGCGAGCGAGATGTGCACCAATCGCCGGACTTGTGATTAATGATGCAGCAAATGTCGCCGTTACCAATCCTAAACAAATCTCTCTTCGAATTGGCGAAGAATACTTTCAACAACAAACCATATGCCGCACCACGAGAATTCTCATCCGTAACATCAGCTACATACGCGTAAACGACGCTGAACGTTACAGAAAACAGACCACTGATGCTAATTAAAGCAAAATACCACCTAAAATTATCATCGAGAAACTCAATAGGATACATTCAGTTGAAAGAAAGTTACATCGGACTAAATTTCATCAATGGTATTGGACAGCACGTAAAGAAAACCGTAAGAAGCAGAAAAGATTTGCGTCCCCAGACGTCAGAGTAAGCACCTAACAACGGCGAACTTAGGAATGTCAATAAACCTCTAAAGTACAAAATTAGATCGAACAAATGAATCTTTGACATGAGTTTCTTCTTGTCTCACTTCATTCCATGAATAACGCCATTCATTAAAAATGTGTGAGTCGGAAATGTTCGATTGAGTGTCTGAATGAATGAACAAATAAAAGAAGCATAGAGGACGGAACGTTATCCTACTGAGATAATAGGATTTGTTAAAAGACCCCATGCGAAAAATTCGAGAAAAATAACAACTAGACCATGATAAACACTCGGTTTACCAAAACCACCGGGCTAAACACAAACAAATATTCTCGAAAAGTATGAAGCAATGAGATGAAACGTTTTACTTTGATGAGTCTGCGTTGTTTGATTTTGAATTTGACTCGTTTGACTTCATCAGTGTCGGAATGTGCTTCAACATCACATTCATTGACAGATTCTGTCATTGTCAATGACGATGTACGTCGTAATTTACTAGACAAGACTGTTGTCGCCAGTGGTTTGTTTTAAACATGTACAATTAGACGAATCAATGTCATCATAATAATCAACACAATGAAGAGAGAAACAAAAGAATTGCAAATAAATACAAAGAAAAAGAAAAATCTAGAATATCTAAAAAATTAATTAGTTTTTCTTCAATAATCATGAACACTTGAAGAAAACTTCCTACTTAGGACTTTGCATGAGAAAATCTTTGGTTTGAAAAAGAAAACGTATCAAGGCTGACAGTCGGCCTTACTCATCTTCATGAAAATAGAACACACCTTTCCTCTTTCAACAAGAATAAGTTGTATAACTAGAATTTTCGCTCGATTAAACGTCGACCCCGACGCAGTAAATATCTATATTGCCTCAATCCATAGGTAGATGAAAGAAATGGTGATTTTATGCGCGTGGAAAAGAATCAGCCAGGAATCAAGAAAATCTTTCTTTCTTACCAGATACGATCATAGAAACCAGTTGGTTCTCTTTCATTTCGAACATTCTCATTGGTCATCAAGATAAACAATCGAATATCATTCATAGAGAGCGTTCGAAACTCATTTTTCACAAACAATTGAATCATTCGAGATTCTTTCAACGAAAAATAAAGAAATTTTGTCGATGTTCCAATGAAAATCTTCCATTCTCATCGGTTTCCTGATCAACCACTCAGGTTCGTGAATGAGTCATACATTTCAGGTCTTTAGGTTCGTTCGAAACAAATCAAAATAGTTTATTCTGATCTATTTGCAGAAGTCATGCAAACATCTCATCTGACTCGATTAGCTTCGATACAACATTTCAATTTGATAAAACGGTCATTAACAAGACCAACTGGACCCGTTCTACGTAAACTAATCGCATCAGGTAGGCACGAAGAAGAATTTTCAAAATTCTGTACAAATTTATTTCGTTCAGATGCTTCGCCAACAACAAATTATGTTCGTACAACTTGTGAATTCCGATTCGCGTCGACAACAACGTCATCATCTAATGATGGACAAAATTCTCACGATGAAGAACAAAAGAAGAAGAACATCACGAACTTAATGTACTTAGCTGGTGCTGTGACAGGTCTCGGTGCAATTTACACCATCGTATGTTGTTGATTTTCGGTGATAACAACGAAAGATCAATGCTTTTCTCGTCTTAGTTTCAAAATCGAAAAAGTTCGAAAGAGAAGCAAGATGCAGTTAGTGCTTACGATACCAAACAATTGAAATCTCAACATGCAGATGATAAACTTGATGCATCCAAGAAGACATTGGTGGAAAAAGTCGGGGATTTACAGGATCGAAAACTACTCGGTTTGAACCATCGAAATGTATTTGCTACGAACTGCAGTTTTTCGTTTTAGCTGAAGAAGAACAACCCGTAGAATTGAGCAAAACAGATTTAACACCAGTTATACCCAGTTTTGCACAATATTTGATCATCGGCGGTGGAACCGCAGCGTTGAGCGCATTCAAATCAATTCGTGCTCATGATGCAACAGCTAAAGTTTGTTCTGCTCTTATTTCTTGACATTTTTCAATCTTCGACATCTTTCAAATAGGTTCTTGTGATTAGTTCGGAGAAATACTATCCATACATGCGTCCTCCATTATCGAAGGATGTTTGGTATACAGATGATGATAATCTTTTAAATCAATACATGTTTAAACAATGGAATGGGCAAGAGAAAAGGTTTGTATAGTTAGTTTGATGGAAGTAATGCGAAGCTCGACTGTTGTTTTAGTTTATTCGTTTTTGATAATGAGTTTTACGCTGATGTGAAGACATTAAATGACGAAGAAAATGGTGGCGTAGGTGTTGTCCTTGGAAGAAAAGTAAGAAATTATGGCTTTTGAGCTGAAGTGACATACTTTTGCTGTACAAATTAGGTTGTTAATTTGGATCTGAAAACTTCCGTCGCTAAGTTAGATAATGGTTGGGAAATATCGTTCGAAAAATGCTTAATTGCAACAGGTGGTCAACCGAAAAGTTTGAAAGTGTTTCAAACAGCATCGAATCGTTTGAAATCGAAGTTAACTTTATACAGAGGAGTAAGTTCGTCTCTCGAATGAACGAGTAATTGCGAAAGAAATTTGTTTTAGATTGACGATTTTTTTGCGCTGAAAAAAGTCGTTGACAGTGGTGCTGATGTGACTATTATTGGTGGCGGCTTTCTTGGCAGTGAATTAGCATGTTCTCTAGCACATCGTGCTACGGAGAACGGTAAAAGGGGTAATCCAAATGGAAAAATTACTCAATTGATGCCAGAAGCTGGTAAGGAGTCATACTTGATCTCTTTTTTTATTGGAATTTCTTGTTCTTATAGGTAATATCAGTAAAGTGTTGCCGGAATATTTGAGTAAATGGGCGACGGAACGCGTCCGAGACGGTAATATTTCAAACTTTTCTTTTGTCAATTAGAATTGAGATTTTATTTGAAATTCTAACAGAAGGGGCAGACGTTTTAACCAATGTTGAATTGGTTGGTGCATCAGTAGTACAAGACGGCAAAGTGAGTCTATCCTACATCGATCCCCAAAACCCCAAGAAAACCAGTTATATCACGTCCGATCATGTGGTTGTTGCTGTTGGTATCGAGCCGAACACTGACTTAGCTAAATCAGCTGGCTTAGAAGTTGATCCCGACCAAGGTGGCTTTCTTGTCAACGCAGAATTACAAGCACGTCACAATGTTTGGGTAGCTGGTGATGCCGCATCGTTCTACGACATCAACTTAGGTCGACGCCGTGTCGAACATTATGATCACGCTATTGTTAGCGGCAAATTAGCCGGAGAAAACATGACAGGTGCACATAAACCATACTGGCATCAATCGACGTTTTGGTCCGACTTGGGACCAAAAGTTGGCTTTGAAGCAATCGGTCTAACAGATTCTCAGCTGCAAACTGTAGCTGTTTATGCTAAAGGAAAACCTACTGATGAAGAACAAAAGCGCGATAGTGAAGGCAATCGTGAACAACAAGACGTTGCTCCCGAAGCGACAGCAAACGATTTGAAACATAAACTACCTGAAAGCAAAGGAAATTTGGATAAAGATGATTATAGTAAAGGTGTTGTGTTCTATTTAAAAGAGAATAAAGTCGTGGGAATTGTCCTCTGGAATGTATTCAATCGTATCGCAATTGCACGAAAGGTAAACAGATCATTTCTATCGTCGAAATGCTCGTCTGACGAGACTTTTCCTTTCTTTTTAACAGATTATCAAAGATCAACAAGAGATAACAAATTTTCAAGAACTAGCCAAACTTTTTAATATTCATCAAGATTAGTTTACTATTGTGATTTTTCGTCGATTTCATTTCCTTTTTTCTTCTTCTTTTTCCAACATAGATCTAGAATGTATACGAAACACGTTACTAATATTAAACCATGCAACGCTCTCTTGATCACTAGCTGAACTGTGATTTCAGACATACGATCTTCTTCTTTTATTCTAAATGTTCGTTTCCTCAACTCACAAAGCACAGAAACGTCATTTAGCTTTTTCTTTAATTAATCTCTCAGTTTCGTTCCAACATTGTTCTGCACGACGGGTATCCATTGCTAACTGACTGCTTCTTCGCACTTGACAATCAGAATGATAGCAGCCGGGCTTTGCATCATCAGACAGCGCACAGAAAAGTGTTGTCATTGATCCTTGTTCAACAGTTTTACCTATCATCGATAGAATTTGAAAAGCCACTCGACGAAAAAACGGCCGATTTCGTTGTAAATTTGTACTAATAATCGTCCCAGGATGTAGCGAATACGCTTTCACACCATACCGACGTGTTAATTCACTGGCATGATAGATTTGTGCTAACTTCGATAGGGCATAAACTCTTGATCCGTGATACTTATCTTTGAATTGTCTCAAGGAATAGTCGAGGTCTGCTGGTCGAACGAGATGATGAGCAATACTACTAACATTCACAACACGACCATGCTTCAATCGAGGTAACAATAGTTGAGTTAAATAAAAGTGTCCAACTAAAACAAAAGAGAATTTCCAAAATCGATTCTATCAAATTATTTCGATCTTAACCGCAGTTCGTAGCGAATTGTTTTTCAATTCCATCGATCGTAACTGAATACGTTTCATAAAGACTACCAGCATTATTGATTAAAATATCAACGGAATCGATTCTCTCCGCGAAATTTTTTACATTCTCTAAACTGGATAAATCGAGATCATAACCAATGACTGTTCCACCAAGGGACTCTTTTGATATTTCTTCCGCAACTTTTTCCGCTCGTTCTTGCCCGCGAATTCCAATGATAACTTTCGCACCAAGCTGCGCTAGTCGCCGCGCGCATACACGACCAATGCCTGACGTGGCACCTGTGATAATCACTGTTTGATTGGGAATTTTCTTTATTGGTAAATAATGCCGACCGCAAGTTAAGCCATGATTAACGAAAAACATTAGAAGGATATACAAACATGTGAAAAAAATGGATAATGGCCATGTTCGTAGAATGAAACAAACGATGATCGAACCGAAGAAGTTTATTGAAAGGAATAAAAATGAGAGGATCTCTGGTTCGAAAAGTAATGGATGAAGTTTCATTCTATATCGCAAAATGCTGAATATTTGTCTTGGATGTCGAAGTGTTTCTTATCTTTCATGATATCATCGTTAAAAACAATATGTTTGTTCTGAAACATGTCGTTTCTCCGTGTAAATATCAACCTTTTCGTTCTGTATTATCTATACCACACTAGTCAAGTCGTTACATACAAACATTTTCAATCACCTAATGAAAAAAATTATAAATAAATGAAATTATTGGATGATTAGATAAAAGTTTTTAAAAAACCCACATGCAACATTCTTCGGCTAACGATAGTCAGATTGTACCTAAACAAGACATTAAACAGACAATGCAATATATTCGAGATCATTTCATAGTACAGATGAAACGACTATTATTGATTATCACGAAATATTCTACATTATTTTGACTGGATAAAGTTAACTGAAAACAGTTCATCTTCATTCATACCTACAGGTATATTTAGCGAGCATGGAACTCGTTAAATCTTCGTTGTCTTTGTGCGGATTACGCCATGCTCATAGAAGAAACACGTAGAGTGTGTTTATAACTAGGCTGAGCAACATCATCGTAAATTGCGCCAGAATTTGAGCATGATAATACTATATAAATGCTTTTGGATGATAGATTTTCTTGAATTTGATCAATCTCAATGTATCGAGAAAAATTTGAATGCCAACGCATTAATAAACATACTCGGTGCTGTTTTACATTGAAATCATTAGTAGCAGAAGGGTTCGTCGGGAACACTTTACTAACAGTCACATCGTTCAAAAACGTCCTTATCGAGAAGACGACGAAGTATGTGGGTAGAGCGCTATGTCAAAGATATTCATACTCTCGCTTTCGTTCGTTTTCTATTCGGATTATTAGATTCAACATTCAACAACCAGTAGAAGAAAATCAACTTCGCTGAGGATTTCATCGGAAATATAGTTCAGAAGATTGATTATCGATAAATAACGGGGATTTTCATCAGAATGTCAGCATATAATGACAACGTGCTTTAAGTGGAGTTATAGGCATCATTCTATTCATATTTGTATACACGATAGGTGTTACGTTCTTCTGTTCTCTCAGACATTTTCCAAAATAATACATCTGTGTTTCCGATTCCGAGTGTAGTAGCAATTTGGATATCTTAGGTGGGAGCGAAATAATGCAATTTTACGAAACATACAAATGCATATATTTTCACAATGCGAGAGTTGTTTATACTAGTGCTCGTATCGAATCGCAAGATGCTTTTCTCGATTCACTTAGTACTGTCTATCCGCCTGTAATGACCCATCGACAAACTCTCTTTTATTCCATCTGTAAGACAGCATTTTACTGCCGACTACCGTTTGTCCTAGGATGACAGCTACGCTTGATGAATATTCATTGTTTCCTGTTGTCTATAAAAGTGTGGGTGCATCTTATAAACGAAGACAGTTTGTTACGTGACGAAACCAAACATAGTGTATGATATTCCCAAAGGCATTTCTCTAGAGTTTCTTATGTGCATTTTTCAATATTATTTCCCGTTTATTTCAAGATAATTTTCCTACGACATAAAGCTACTCTTTTGAATATAGGAAATATTAGGAACTTTAAGGAGAAGTTTGACTTTTAGCAACTAATACTACAAGTAGCGCGCATCCGTTGGATTCGCTGACACTTTTCTGAAAGTATAAGAAAACTAGTAGATAAACGCTCTCACTTAGATCTCAATCTAATTGAGTTCGAATTGAAGTCAGTTTTATGCTGATTCTTTCATTTTCTGCTTCATTCATGTCAGACTACTTTCAATTCATTTGTCCACAGATGTAAGCAAAACGAACACCGGTTTATAAAAATTTATTCATCGACTCTCTTCGTACTACTCTGAATAAAAACTCAGTTTATTTTCACTTATTTTATTTCCTCTAAGCAATTCAAATAAAACATCTAGTTGTTCGTCAGCCTGCCTCCGGTCGGCCACCTAGGGTGTGGATGAGGGTGATACTCACCCAAACTATCTTTGCGTTTGTTAACGCTAAGAAAGCCATCCAAGATGTGCTAGATGCTGTAAAGCCCGAAAATCCGTTCAAAGGTGATTTGTGTTCAAGTCTGTTGTTGATTTCAGAGAGCTAAAGTAACGCCAATATGTTGGTAGCAACAGATTAAAAACATTTTCACGTCATAATATACTGAGAAAGCGAGCGTATTAGTAGAATCATACACTGTGCTCTATTGTCGGTCTAGAATATAACTGCTGAAAGGTTTATTCGATTGTGATGGAATTTCAATGGCGTATTGTTACGCCAGAATCTCACTGGAACTCGAAGGTCAGACTGATTGGATATCTGAGTCCTGAAGTATTGAGAAAATATCGATAATTCTCTGCATTTTCTTATTGCCTTGCATCTGATACATTTTTTGCAGCACATCTAACTTTCGGATAAAATCCGACATGTTCCCATTGATTTAAGTCTGTTTTGAGTTTTACATGTGCATTGATTAAGATCATCAACGATAGTTAAAAGAATCGATCTAAATAAACTACAACCATTGTTTTAAATCATATTCCTTGTGGAATTAAAACAAGTTTGTTTCTCCTTATCCTCAAATGCGATTCTTTCAGGAAAAGAGTGAGCGAATTCCTCCGATGAGCGTTACTTGTATTACCTGAGAAATGTCGGCAAGACAAAGTCGGAAGAAAACAATCAAGTTTTTAACTGAATTCTTAACTTCTTTACCTGTTTCGAGCATAGTGAAGTAACTTTTTTATGAGTGTTGTTTGCGATAATCTGCTTAAAAACCAACAGACAATAAAAATATTTTTCGTCTCCGCAAAAATACAAAAAGAGAACGACGTCATTCGCTGTCTATATAAAAAGAGAAGCGAATTTCTTCATCTTCACAACAAAACCAACACTGTGAATTTCAGTTTATCCGACAGAATGGACGCACAAAAGTCAAAATCAAGTTCCACGACAAGGAAGCATGGTAATCAACCGCGACAACGCATGGTTCAAAATCACCTCTTAGTTTGGGTGGATGCCAACATCGATGAAAAGGGTCAAGACTGTCAGAACACTTTGACACACTTACGAAGTGTTGTCAATGATGTCAATATATACACTCAACCAGATGCTTGCGTTCAATTCCTCAACAGCATTGGTGACGAAAAGGCTTTCGTCATCACATCGGGATCCTTAGGGCAACACTTAGTTCCCGAGATTCACGACATACCACAAGTGAATGCCATCTACATCTTCTGTGGCGACAAATCCAAGCATGAAACCTGGACAAAGAGCTGGTCAAAAGTCAAAGGTCCTCACACAAATATCAAAGAAATCTGTGAAGCACTGACCACGGGTGTTAAACAATATAATCAAGACTCGATCGCCATGAGTTTTGTCACCGCAAGAGGAGAGAGTTCCAATGCCAATCTCAATCAACTAGAACCCAGTTTTATGTACACGCAAATATTGAAGAAGATTCTCCTCGACATGGAGCATGACCAGCAAGCAATCAAAGACCTGGCCAATTACTGTCGTCAGCGTTTTCAAGGCAACATCGAAGAGCACAAGGTTATCGATGAGTTTGAAGGTAACTATCGTCCGGACAAGGCCATTTGGTGGTATACACGTGAGTGTTTTACCTACCAAATACTCAATCAAGCACTTCGCACTTTGGATGGCGAAGTCATTATTAACATGGGATTCTTTCTCCATGATTTACACAAACAAATACAACAGCTACATCAAGCACAGGTCAGTAGTTACAGACGAAAACCTTTCGCCGTTTACCGTGGACAGGGACTATATAAGACAGATTTTGACCAGTTATCCAAAACTGTAGGTGGTCTTTTATCGTTCAACAACTTTTTATCCACCAGTATCAAACAAGAGAAATCTCTTGTGTTTACCTACAGCGCTCTCGGTGATCCCGACAAGGTGGGTGTTCTCTTCGTGATCACCATCGATCCCAATATTCCTAGTACTCCATTCGTATCGATTGGGGATCTTAGTTATTTCGAAGACGAAGCAGAGATCCTGTTTTCCATGCACAGTGTGTTTCGAGTTGGCACAGTTCGACAAATGGGTGACAAGAATAAACTTTACCATGAGGTGCAACTTCAGTTGACTGCTGATGACGATCCACAACTCCGTGTGTTAACCGACCGTATTGAAAGTGAAGTTCGAGGTAGTACAGGATGGCAGCGTTTGGGTAGATTATTGCTTATACTCGGGCAGTTGGATAAAGCAGAAGAACTCTACACTGTGTTATTGGAACAAACGTCTGATAAGAATGACAGAGCACTCTATTATCAACAACTTGCATACTTAAAATATGATCAAGGTGATTATAAAATGGCTACAGAATACTATGGAAAAGTACTTGAAATTAGAGAAAAAGCTCTTCCCTCGAATCACCCTTCATTGGCTAGTTCGTACAACAACATCGGGGCGGTGTACCACAACATGGGAGAGTATTCGAAAGCGCTTTCATTCCATGAAAAAGCACTTGAAATTAGAGAAAAAACTCTTCCTTCGAATCACCCTGATTTGGCTAATTCGTACAACAACATCGGTGCGGTGTACCACAACATGGGAGAGTATTCGAAAGCACTTTCATTCCATGAAAAAGCACTTGAAATTACGGAAAAAACTCTTCCTTCAAATCACCCTGATTTGGCTAGTTCGTACAACAACATCGGTGCGGTATACCACAACACGAGAGAGTATTCGAAAGCGCTTTCATTCCTTGAAAAAGCACTTGAAATCCAAGAAAAAGCTCTTCCTTCAAATCACCCTGATTTGGCTACGTCGTACAACAACATCGGTGCGGTGTACCACAACATGGGAGAGTATTCGAAAGCGCTTTCATTCCATGAAGAAGCACTTGAAATTAGAGAAAAAACTCGTCCTTCGAATCACCCTGACTTGGCTATTTCGTACGGTAACATTGGTGGGGTGTATGACAACATGGGAGAGTATTCGAAAGCACTTTCATTGTACGAAAAAGCACTTGAAATCAAAGAAAAAACTCTTCATTCGAATCACCCTGATTTGGCTAGTTCGTACAACAACATCGGTTCGGTGTACAGGAATATGGAAGAGTATTCGAAAGCACTTTCATTCCTTGAAAAAGCACTTGAAATTACGGAAAAAACTCTTCCTTCCAATCACCCTGATTTGGCTACGTCGTACAACCACATCGGGGCGGTGTACAGGAATCTGGGAGAGTATTCGAAAGCACTTTCATTCTATGAAAAAGCACTTGAAATCCAAGAAAAAGCTCTTCCTTCGAATCACCCTCATTTGGCTACTTCGTGCAACAGCATCGGTTGGGTCTATGACAAGATGGGAGAGTATTCGAAAGCGCTTTCATTGTACGAAAAAGCACTTGAAATTAGAGAAAAAGCTCTTCCTTCGAATCACCCTGATTTGGCTATTTCGTACGGCAACATTGTTGGGGTATATTACAACATGGGAGAGTATTCGAAAGCACTTTCATTCCATGAAAAAGCACTTGAAATCCAAGAAAAAACTGTTCCTTCAAATCATCCTGATTTGGCTACTTCGTGCAACAGCATCGGTGGGGTCTATGACAAGATGGGAGAGTATTCGAAAGCGCTTTCATTGTACGAAAAAGCACTTGAAATTAGAGAAAAAACTCTTCCTTCGAATCACCCTGATTTGGCTACGTCGTACAACAACATCGGTTCGGTGTACAGGAATATGGGAGAGTATTCGAAAGCACTTTCATTCCATGAAAAAGCACTTGAAATCCAAGAAGAAACTCTTCTTTTGAATCACCCTGATTTGGCTACTTCGTACCACAACATCGGTGCGGTGTATGACAACATGGGAGAGTATTCGAAAGCACATACCTATTTGGATCGCGCTTTGGACATTTGGGAACGTGCATTACCAGCGGATCACCCTCGCATAAAATCTGTGAAAGAAATTATCGAAAATTGTAAAAGGGCAATGAAGAAATAAACGATTACTGTACCTTTTTAGTTTGAAATAATAAGTGTTGATTTATCCGTGCGCGCGTACAGAGTAGAACTCTGTATAGAGACAGTAATGATGAAACATGGCGGGGACACATCCATCCAAGAAAGGCAATACACATACATACGAAGATATGTATGTGTATCGGAGGCCTTCATGGACATAATCGTGTTTGAAACATTACTCGGTATCAAAAGTGAGGTCTCCCGTATGATTTGATAGGATTGCTTGTTTGCGTTGTTGAACGAGGCCTCGATTACTGTTAATACGAATGAACGTGAAGGAAATCGATATATATTTATATGGATGACTATCTATTATCCAGAATAGACTGAACACGAACAGAATAGATATAAAAGAGAGAACGTCAGTCCATGTTTTCATTCGTTGTTTCTGCCCGTTGAGTGAAAGTGACCGAAGAGAGAAAATGAGCCATAAGATGGGGAATATGAATTTGCAGCAAATTCGTTTAATTTTAAATAGGAGTAATTTGTAGTAATATGAAATAGAAGGACATCAATGTGGTCAATGTGGCCATTGTGGTCAAAATATAAAGTCCTCATAAAATATATAGATGTTTAGTTTATAAAGATTACACAGGCTATAGACTTATGTAGGCTTGGTAATTTTTGTGGTCAATAAGTTCTTCACAAGTTATATGTATTTAATTTTATTGACCACATTGACCACAATGACCACATTCACCACATCGATGGGAATGCTAATATAATGCAATAACTGCACGAAATGAACAGTCTGATTTCGAAAGGACATCATTTGAATAGTTGAGGTAAAAGGTTCAAAAGATCAGACTACTACGATATTTTGTTGTTGTTGGAATATTGATTGCCACGACAGTGGTAATATCACTAAGCTGATATACGACTTTATGACCCGTAGTTTATGTGCGTTTCCGGATTGATATACACAGATACTTGCTTAAAACAATATTTTTCATATAGTGTGTGCTTGCAATCGTTCAGTGAAATCGATTATTGACTTAGAGAAAGTCTGGATTTTGTCAAATTTTAATGCTAAAATTGATTTTGCCGCAAAATCAAATTCCCCATGAACTCAAATGAACGTCGAATCGAGAAAGGACGGATAAAGAAAGATATTAGTCATTGTTCTCTTGTCTGAAAGAACACGTTATAGCCGCGTTCAAAGTTCGTTTGCTTAACCCTAGTCGTACCGGGCGGAGTCAAAAATGACCCTGTCTAAAAAAATATCGAAGTACATTCGAAGCATTTGTTGTGTACTCAAAAAGTGAGTACACTATAGAATCGGTCAGTAAGTCCGGCCGTTAATCCGATAACTCTTGAAAGAATAATCCAATTTTCATGAAATTTGCTACATAGCATTATCTTGTAAATCCCTCGGTCGAGTTCAAAGATGAGCCTGATCGGCTGTACCCTTGCTGACTTTTGGCAAAGTTTTCTCTAATTTCTGTATGAAAAAGTTGAAGATTTGCGTGTTTATCCGCTTGTTTGTTTAGCATTTACTTTCTATATCAGCTATGGTCACCAAACCTAATATATGGGTTCCTTAGATCCGGAAAAACATGGAGGAAGTGCTGATTGACCAGTGAAGGGGTAGGCCTGGGTGGGATCTGGGTGGAATTTCACTCAAGCAGTTGTGCACTGGAAAAAGGCGCGGAAGCATTCATGGGGCTTCCGTGAGCGGGGCGAAACATCAAGACAGAGTTAGTAGAGTAGTAATGCGGCTCGGTCAGGATGGCGTGGGTGAAATCTCATCCAAGTAGCTCTATGGCTAAAAACGCCGCGAAGCGGTGCATGCAACTTCCATATGCCTAGAGAACTTCGGAATGAGTATTTGTACACTAGTGAAGATGATAGGTGTTGCTGATCTGGGTGTAGTCTGAGTGAAATTTCACTCAAGCAATTCTGTGAAGGAAAACGGGCGCACATTTCCATGGAACTGTCTTAAGCCTCGGGAAACGTCGAAGGATGTTGGCAGATTAGTAAGGAGATGGATTTGAGGTAACCTGGGTGAAACTGCTATCAAACCGTTTTCGTGACAGATAAGTGCATGAAACACTCACCTATCACTGCTCGGTTTTAGTAAAGGAGCACAACTTGGTTCAGAACGCCATAATAAGGATCTTGATAGTGTGGATGAGGGTGAAGGTGTATTTCATCCAGACCACTCATCTACTAGTCATGGATCTCTATTATAGACATCGTAGTTAAAGTTTGGGCGGTGAATTCAGATTTAATAAGTGATAAAAATGCCTGGAGGTAATAAAAATGAGGGGTGGGGTGGGTATTAGACTTGGGTGAAATTAACCCAAAAGAAGTTTGTATGCATTAACGTTAACAAATGCATTCGAGATGTGCTGAGCAATGTAAACCGTAAAAATGCACTCAAAAACGCGATTTTTCTAAAAATATGTGCATCAGTTGAAGGCAGTCAAAGTGTCAACAATATGCTACTAAGAACAGATTTCAAGCATTTTCAGTGTTATAGGACACTCATAAAGTGAGTGCATTACTATATAGGTCTGTCGATAAGTTTTTTGCGCGTTCCCTTAAAATTATATCCTAAGCAGTTATATCCTGAAGATTGTCTTTTTTCTAACAATAAATATTTGAAAGTGTAAGAACTTATTGACCGACCTATGTAGAACCAATCAATGTGTCTCTACCGTTGGTCTATACTACAGCTTCTGACAGGGTAATTTGAATGTGATAGAATTTCCCATGGCATACTGTCACATTAGAATCTCGCTAAAATGAAATGATGAGGCAGTTCGGGCGAGTGATTTCTGAGTTGTTGAACAACTATTACTAATTCCCTATGACTGCTAATGTGCTTCATCTGACACACTTTTAGCAACACACCTAACTTTCGGATAAAATCCGAAGTTTCCGCATTTATTTTCTATATCATTCCACTCCTTGATTTAAGATTCTATGTCTTTAGTTCCCTTCTCTGAAAGAAAGGATTATGCAGCGTTTAAATGCTGGGCTAAAAAGCTCAAAGTTTGCCTGTCGGTCATTCTGATTGTCCGATTCAATCACAAAATCAACATTTCTAAAATCAATGAAATTGATCGGTAGTTGTTAGAAAATGATTATCCGTAGGGTAATCGAGGTCGAGGATCACGAATCCGAGGTTAGTGTTGCTTAATTAATTTTTGATTAAATAATCACGACTTATTAACATCCATTGTCATAGTAGATCGAAGGGTGTCTGATGTCGGGAAATTCGAATTTGAGGGTGAACTCCGTCTTATTCGCTGAGCGTGGGCTTGCTCCTTCCTCTTTACAAAGGAGATACTTTACTTTATCTGTTCTGAAATCTTTTGTAGAAGATGATGAGCTGAACGCTATGCATGAACGTTATGCGTACAAAGATAGTAGCTCAAGAACTTACACGAAAACATCTAATGCATTGCACATAATGATGTTTCTAATTGAAGAAATCCGAAAAAGTGATATGAGCTTAGTGTCATGTTTGCTTTGTAGACTACGTACATCATGTCTTTTCATAGGATTTTAGTAGAAGTAGTTCGCAAAGTGATATACCCGTCGGTTAAATTTCATCTTAGTAACTACAGACGCGTGGACTATACATACAGTATTCTGAACACATGCAGCACTATGAAAGATGTTCGTTTCGAAGCAAATCACACAATAAGACTTTCTTATCAAGTTTCTTTTGATAGTCGAAGCGACAATAAAAGAAAGCCCAATCATTCAGTTTGAAAGTTAATAAAAGGCGAAAGGAATAACAGAGACAGCATGGCAGCGGCTAGACGTTTAAATGCTAGATTAATCATAAAGTGTACGCTTAGAATAATCTTGCCAGGCTTCAGATAATTTTGAAAGGGATTTGACGAATGGATATTCCTCAATGAAAATATTCGACAAGGTATCATTTCGTTGATAGGAGAGAAAAGAATCGATTTATCGTTGGAAGACACAGGCAAAGATTGTCACCGTACTCCTGGAATTTTCACTGTACTCCCAGGATTTTAAAGTATTGATTCTTCCAAATATTTATCATGTTTTGTGATGATCTTCTAAAGCTCAAAAACCACAAAATACTCGACACTGTTTTCAATAAAATATTGAAGAAAAAAGAATTTATCGTCAGATGTTTAGACAATCACAGTGAGATATGAGTGTAAAAAAACTGGAACAATGTTCCCTCGACTGAAAGGAGGGTCATATGAAAAAAAAGTTTGTTTGTCTGTTTGTCTGTTTGTTTGTGTCAGGGTCAAAGGTCAAAGGTCAAAAAAACATTTTTTTTGAAAATGCTCAAAACTTCATAAAACATCGTTTGGAAGGTGTGTTGAGGTTAGATCTTGGTTGAGGGGAGGGGGGTGAGGGTCGGGGTCAAGGGTCAAAGGTCAAAAAAACATTTTCGTGAAAAAGGCTCAAAACTTCGTAAAACATGATTTTGGAGGAATGCTGAGCCTCGAGCTTGGCTGGAGGAGGGGTGACGGGGCAGTGATGTGACAGAAATGAAGAAAACATTTCATCCCCTCCTGAGAGGAGGGCTTTATAGAAGAGTTGATTACGAAAAAGTAAAAACACACTCGGTTGACTGCCACATACCAAAGGCCAGTAATCCAAAAATACACTCATTCACAAGGTACATACTGGAGAGCAATCTTAAATGCTGAGCTTCGATATATTGAGTGTTTTTGTAGGTCTTTAAGCTTTTTAATTAACCCTGAAACGCCCACCTGGGGTCCAAGCGGACCCCAACCAGTTTCATTCTAATGTTTTACATAAACGATCATAGATCATATCCCCCACTCTAGGTATGCTCCAGTGAGAAATAGTAGAGTGTACTATAGAAAGCATTCACTCAGTTCTTTTAGTTATCTATGAGATAAACTACCTCAAAGTGCTTATATACACATATTGCCCACCTGGGGTCCAATCGGACCCCATAATATAACATTGATTTTCTCTTAATATTCGAATATAAATTTTTCATTCTCATACTTTACG